TGTACATACGACGACAAATACATTATTCGTTTTATCACATACACGTAACTGAACGCATTAAAACTGGTGATATTAACCTTGTTTTGATGTTTTACGAACGCAAGCGTTTCGGTTTTATTCAGTTTTAGCAGGCAGACTGACGGACAGATAAGAAACCTATAGTCAGTCCAACGGGTGACAAGTAATAAAGCATTTCTTAGTCAACTTATACTTGAATTTGACGCCTATAGATCCGGGAGTGTTCTATGACGATGCATTCAATCATTCTTTCTCAAACGTGACACTTGTCTCTTAGGAACAATACATGTCTCATAGTTACAATAAAGTCTCGGCATGATGAATGAGACCAATTTATCAACTGTCTTCTAAATTGTTTTAAGGTCTAATCATCACAGTTTGTTATGATAGTATTCCCGTGCAACTGTATTACTTTTTAAGTGACATAAAATATAGTCGCATGGATGTGAATAATTTCCCACCCTTTTTTTTGCAGACCAAAAATATCATTATCCTTTTTCCATTACCAAAAATATGTTTAAAAATTTTTTCCCTTTATGATTTAAAATTTCTGGGGCCAAAATTTGTAATGGTGTAAGGAATGTTTTTTTAATGAACAAATTGTTAAATTCTAAATGAAAAAATTTTATTTAAAAAAATTTCATTTCAAAATTTTCGTATTTTTTTTTTTTTAAAATTTATTTTTCACTTTTCAGTTAAAAATTTTTTTCATTTTTTTTTACTGGTTTTCTTGCCCGGGCTACTGTTTTTTCTTAATTTAGACATAACACACAATTTAAGGGGAAAGTCTTTCGAATTGTAAGGTCAAAGAAGTATATATAATAAACAGAAAATAAGGTATTTATTTTCATCTTGTGGTATGAAAATTATCATATTTCACTACATAAAGATGTGACACAAAAATTTAATTCAATTTCTATTGCCTTTCAGGCAAACTATTGCTTTTGAAAATACATACAGAACATAATCAGATAAATCGCTGGAATTATAACATATAATACATACAAATCACATACTAGTATTATGCAAAATTTACAATTCTTGTATTGTTTATAAAACACTAGATCTAAATGAGAATGGCTTATCTACGTAGAAATTTACATAATTGCACCATTTTATCATTATTGCATGTTGACATGATGTAATAGAACTTATTTACAGTTAAGGAAAAAATAAATGTTTTATGAAAGATTTTCCTAGATCTGAATATGAAGGACAACATGAACAAAAGTGATATTCTGATTCATCATTTTTCGCGAGCATAATTTGCAAAATATATCATTTCTGTAATATTCCAGAATATCTTCCTGTTTCTATATTAGAGAACAATCTAAAACACGATAGCTGTTCAAGATTGTGTTAAGTTATTCCCCCCAAAAAGGGAAATGCGTTCTTTAAAAACAAAAAGGGTTTGGCCCATACAGGGCGTGGCACTGGGGTTTTATTTAAAAAGAAACCGTCGGAGACTAACTATTTTTTAGGTTTTTAAAGTGAAAAAAGAACCCCTTTATATTCTTTGAACTTCCCAAGTTCAATGGGCCATAGTTTTTATCCCAAAAAAATTTAAAGTAAAAAGTTGTGGGGGGGGCCCTTTGGGGGGGTTTTTTTCAACCTAATTCCCCCCTCTTTAATATATTTTTGAAGTTTCAGCCCATTCCCTTCGTATTTTTTTTGGAGTAGCAGCTTTGCTTGCAAAAAATTAAACCCAAAAATTTGGGGTTGGGAAAAGGGGGGTAAAAAGTTGGGAAAAAAAAAGAAATCAAAAGTTTAAAGGGGCATGTGCAAATCATGTAAAGGGTAAACAAGAAAACAAACGGTTGGGAAATTTCAACCCATTTCCGTAAGTAGGGTTTTGGGGACAACAACTTTCACGTAAAAAGATAATCCCAAAATGAGACGGGCCCAAATTTTTTGAATACCGAGCTTAAAAATGAGATTTAATGTAATTATTTCTTTTTTTAAAAAAACAAATTTTTTTCCCTTTTCAACGGGAAGGGAAAACACGTTTTTCGAAATTTTTGGGTACCCCTCACCGGGCAATATGGCAGTCTAAACTCACGAGCGTTATTCGAGTATTTCCTTAATAATAATAACTCTAATTATTAAAGGGAAAAAGGGAGTTACGTTTCATTAAAAAACTGCCCCTTCTACCATTAAGAAACTATCTGCTACCCAAAAATTTCTTGTGACTTTAGAGTTATTTTCCCAGACAAAGTTCCCAAAAAGAAAAAAAGGGGGAATAAAATCCAAAATTTAGGCATGGCAAAAATCACAGTTCTTTTTCAATGCGATTTGGCCCCAGATCTTTCCCAGGTTGATATCACTTATTTTGTTGCAGAGTTATGTCCTGGAAAAAAGTTCAGTGTTTAAAAAAGAAAAAAGGGGCAATACCTCCAAAATTAGGCAAGGAAATTTTCGGTTCTTATGCACTGGGACATATACCCCCATGTGAACTAGGGCCCCCTTTAAAAGTTTTTTGGGTTTATACTCTTGTTTGTTTTAGTTTTTGACCCCAAAAAGGGAAAGGGGCGAACTGGGTGGAATCCGGAAAAGTGTGGACATATCTCTCCCTTTTGGGAGCATAAAAAAAAAAAAACAATACAATATGGTACATTATTTTTTTTAAATACAAATTTTTTAATAAATATACACAACATCCAGTTCCCACTTTTACTGTTTTTCTTTCCCTTTTTCCCCCTTTAAAAAATATTCTTTTGCAAAATAGAACAAAATTATTTTTAAAGGGCATAATAAGTTCATATGGAAGATGCTTCAGAACTTTTTTTTTTTTTAAAATTTCTTTTTAAAAAAATTTTTTAAAATTAAAGCTTTTCAAAAAACAATTTCAAAGTTTACTTAATTTTTTTCTAAAAAACCTTAAGTTTTCAAGTTTTTTTTCAAGATTTTTTCCCCCCTTACTAGGGTTTTTTGGGGACTGGCATTATGGGTTTAAAAAGTTTTTTATTGTAGTAAACCTTTCACGTTTTTGGGGGTACCTTTTTTTCATCTTTCCCGCCTGGGTTAAGCAGCATTAACCCCGACTTTGGGGGGAGGGACATTTACATTTTTCAGCACTGGGCTCCATCCCATTACAAAAACACTCACTATCATTCTTGTTTTCCCCTTTTTAAAAATGTTTTTTTTTGTTGGGGGGTTCTTTAATTTTTTTTGGCTCATCAGGGTTAGCCCCTTTTGCTTTAGGGCTTGTGAAAGTTGCTAGAGTTGTAATTTGTACATTTCTCGGCTTCCCATCAGCAGACCTGACTTTAATAGAGGGGGTTTTGGGGGAACCCAAATTTTCAGAATCTGTTTTTCCTGGCAGGGAACTTATCGTGGTTATTTGTATATTTTTGGGTTTACCATCAGAAGATTTCACCTTGATTTCCATTGGTTTAGGTTTGCTCACAGGGGAGGTAGACTTGTTAGAATCAGTTGTTTCCCTTGAAATTTTCCCTTTGGGTTTTAAGAAAAAAGATGAAGGTTTATTTATTCTGGTTTTTAATCTCCAATTTGGCCCGAATCCTAAAAAAATGAAAAAAAATTCAAATTAAAAAAAATTTCAATTTTTCCCTTTATAAGGAAAAATTTAAAGGGTTTGATACAAATTTCCCATTTCAAACCCCTTTAATTTAAAAATTTCCCAAAACACAAGCTCTATCCAAAATGTTTTTTAAAAGTTTTTGATGATTCAAAAAATGTATACCCTTGGGTATCTTTTAAAAATGGGTTTGGGCCCCAATGGGCCCAAAACTTCCCGTCAGTTTTTTTAAATATCGGAAAAAATTGTTTTTTGAAATTTTTATCATTTAAAAATTTTTAAAAATGGTTTTCTTGAAAATGAAAAGAAAGTTTTTAAAAAATTTTTAGTGAAAGTAGAACGTGTGGGGAAAAATTTACTTGATGAATAAAAAATTTTTGTTCTAGAAAACTTTTTTTGCAATATAAAAAATATGTATCTCACACTTGCCAACAAAATCCTTTTATAAATTTTTTGAAAAGATTTGATGTTATTTATGATTTCTTAAATTTCTAGCCCTAACTATTTATTTTAAATTTCCTACCCCTCCCCCTTTTTAGGAAAATTCCCCTTTTTAAAATTAAAAAGTTTAACCCATTTTTAATCTCATAAACCCCTTTTTCTTCACCCTTATGGGTTCCTCCCCATAAGGTACACCAATTTCACCCCTTTTTCAAAAATTTTCCACGTACAATAAAACCCCTCTGGGTTGGGTGAGCCAAAAAGGGTTTCCCACCATCTGTTGGGCCTGGTGACATTAATTTTAAAAAATTAAATTCCCAAACTTAAAACCCGAACCAAAAAGGGTAATAAAGACTCCCCAGATTATTTTTTGTAAAATCTAAAAGCATTGGGTGACTACCCTTTTCCCCCTTCATCTTTTAGGGCCCCGATAATTTTTTCATCTTTTAGAAATTTTTGAAGAATAGGAAGACAATTCTATCTTCACTCCAGCTGGCAATTCATTTTAAGTTTTTTAAAGAATGAGAAGCTTTTTTTTTTTAATTTGTGTAATAATTTTAATCGAAATGATGGAAAGGAATAATTTACTAAAACAAACAAACAAACAAACAAACAATCTGAGAAGTAAGACTAGATCTAAGTACCCAAAACACAGAGCACTGCAAATACACATCAACATAATGCTTTACTTTATAAAATGTCAAGAAGAATTATGGTTTGTGTATTTACTATAAAAATCTGGAAACAAAGTGATCCCTCGGAAGCATTAATTCACAACACATTAAAATTACATGAAAATTGCAGACGTCCCCGTTGATCGGAGGTCTGGTGAACATTGAGGGGTATGAGAATAAGTGTAAACATCCCTCACGCCCCATCACCGGCTTGAAGCGGTACTTCAATTCTCCACACTTAAATTAGTTCTAGGATCAATGATGCCTGAAAGGTACAGAAAAAATAACAACACTGAAGTGGTATAATAAAACATACCATGGGAAATAGGTCACTGAAGTTGATGATAATGTATATTTGTTATAAAAAACCAAATTGGTTGGGGCCTGTTGTGTATCATATAGCTTTGTATAGAATCTTCTGTAGCTACAGCAAAAACACAAGTCTGGTATGGTAAACTGGGTAAACACATAAACGAAATTACCAACACAATCAAAATGGTATTATACATCTAAAAGGTATTTTTTATTCAAAATTAGAAACAGACCTGGCAAGATAACTGATTATTTAATACAGGACACTCAATAACACAAAAAATCAAATAAAATTTTTTATATCTTAATAAACTAACATATTTATTAGTCTATTAAACAACTAACATACCAGAACAAAGTTGAGTATTTCTCCCATTCTTTTAAATCTTCACTTGCTTTTTCTGTTGATTTTTCTAAAATATTACAAAATTATTATGAATGAATTGTTTATCAGTATCTATTATCATATTTTATGCTGATAATACATATCATAACTGAAACCTGTATGGTCTAGAAACTGCAAAATTTGTATCAAGGCAAATAATCATGCAAATCTTACATACAGGAATAATTACAAGTACTATCTATGTACAAAATAATATAACTGACTCCTAGCATCATCATATGATATACAACATGTTAATTTTCACAACGCTCATTACATTTGGCTACTAAATCTTATAACCCCTAAAACTAAAATTAATAAGAGTGATTAATGATCATGTGTCGCAGCATGACAGCCAATTGCATGTTGCAGCTTCTATGTAGCAGGACACACAAAAATTATTAACAGAGCAAAACGGGCTCTTTATTTTTAAGGGCAATAACTCAGCCTTAAATCATTCAACCAGAAAATTCATGTGATATACGCAAGTACTTGAGCTACAGATCAATCCTTTAAATTTTCATTAAAATTGCATCACTAGTATAAGAGAAATAGTCCGGACAAACTTTAAAAATATAAATCATTCAAAGGGCCATAACTCTGACAAAAACAGAGCTCCAGATAATTTTTTTGGCCAAGGGGTTTTTACCCCTCAAAATTTAGAGTGAGGGGTAAAATGCAAATTCTGAAAAACTTAAGGGGTAAAATCTGTCAAAATAGCATTTTGCATTTTTTATAAACAAATTAAACATATTGTTGTGTTTGTTTGTTTGTTTATTTTCTTTTTTTAAGAAAAACCTTTACAAATTAAATACTGATTTAATGTGAAACAAATACAAAACATGCCATGTAAAGTCAGACTTCCAGAGTATACTGGAACTCAAGTTTAGGATACACAGCAAAATTATCAGTGCTTCCATTTTCAAAATTTGGAAGTCAAAGACTTCAAAATCTCTGATATTGGAAGTCACATTATATAGGTAAAGAAGGAAAGTATTGATTTTCGGAAGTCACAGGCCAAATGAAGGAGTAAATGACTCCCAAACTTCCTCTAGTGGATGCCCTCAAGTTATTTTATTTTCTAGGAGTCAATATTTTTCTTTCTTTATTTTTGTTGGCATGTACCTTATCATGTACTCCAGTTTGAACAATTATAGTTGAAATTAGAATAAAAGAACATAAACAAGATTTTTTTTTATCTTTCCTTGAAAAAAGTCTTGGTCTGAGAGAAAATTGTCCGTAACTGTAGACTGGGTACAAAAATATTGAGTACAAAACTGCAGGTAAAAAACATGTTATTTTGTTCTAACAACAAAAGTTAAAGAAATTAAAATTTTTTTTTGTTTATATTGAGGCATAAGTATGTCAATAGATGCCTAAACAAACTTAATACTGTGTTAACTCCTACGATGATTATCTGGCACAAATTTCTTCAATAATTTCACAGGTTGATAGATCTACGGGAGTTACCTCCCTTCTGTATTTCCTGCTACTTTCGTTTTTAACATGCGTTGTTGACAACAGAATTTTTAGTTTTCAATGCAATAAAATGGAAATATATTGTATTTTTATGCTCAAAACATTTTCTTTCTACATATCAAATGTTTACACTTCTATTCTTTTATGCATAAATTTTGACATACGAGCGTATTTTCATTTTGTTGTGCGTAACTGTGACGCACGAATTTTGAAAGTGATGCGTATTTTAGATTTTCTATGCGTATTTTACGCTTATACGCACGCTATCTGGAGCTCTGCAAAAATAATCAAACCAGAAAATGCTGATATATACATATCTAGACCTGGTATTGGTCATTCCTTTAAAATTATGATGAAATTTTACCAGTGGTTTTTTAGTAGTCCGTACAAGTTTTGTTATAGATGGACGGACAGACATATGACAGAGAAGTGATCCCTAAATATTGCCACTACTCTGTATAGGTGACACAAAAAGACAGTAAGACCATTTAAGGTAGTGATACTTATTTACTGTGTTAGAGTAACAAAGCACTTTGCATATTTATAACATTCAGGTTCTTTAAACCTTTAATTTTACTATGACAGAAATCAACAATTGCGTCAACATGCTTACCTTCATTTTGTTTTCTCTGAATTTTTCTTAACTGAAATTTGGTAGGACAACATCTAACAGCTATTGTAACTTTTTCTGGACTAGGTAGATATAGAGCAGGTCTGTAATATATAAAGTACAACATTGTAAATAAACATTCTATAAACATTCTTAATGACGTATCTTCACCTAATTAAAAATCTGTCTTGTAAAAAACCCTTATTTCACATTATGCATCATATGCAAAATATTCAATTCAGATTTAATATTTTGCTGTCAGTCACACAGTCATTTAAGATGACAGTTGTGATTCAAAAACACCATAGTGCCTGCTTATTCCTCTTATTGAAAAGTAAGATCTAATTGTTAGCCTTCTGATGGCAACTGATTCTATCAATGTGACCAGTGCAGACAAAGATTAGCCAGTACATCCATGCCATCTGATCATGGTTTGCACAGTGCATTATTCAGACAATACATATTTTGAAATTTACCCTAAAAAAGGATGAATGGTTTTGTCCAGATTTAAAGATGGATAAGTCCATTTAAGATATTTAGCATGGTTAGGGTTAAAGCATAAAATCAAGCAAGATTAACTTGACACATAACACTTACTTGGATAAACAATGTCTAGTAAATATGAATGTAGCATTAGTAACCGGATCAGCTTCAACACAACCAGCTGGTACTATCAACAACTCGCCATCAGGTGTAAATGTTAACCGCCGGAAAAATGAACGCATTGTATCATCATGAAACATCCTGTAAGCAACAAATTTATATCTTACTACAGGTAAGGTCTGTTATTTTCAAACTGTAAGTGTGACTATGACCTTTTAGGTAAGAGCTAAGTCTTACACTAACATATCATCATGATTTGTGCCAAGTTATTTTAAAATCCTTCAATGCATGAAAAAGTTACAGTCCAGACACCATTGTGTAAGTGTATCAGTGGCATTCACTCAAGTGAAACTTAACTCCATCTAACACAGAAGAACTGTTAATAAACCCAAGGTATGTGCCTACTTAATATAAAAAACATCTGTAAATAAATGAAGTTGCTCGAAGAAACTTGTGATGACTTTATGCACCGCACTTTATCAGGGAGCATAAAAAGCACATATTACTCGCTCAATAACAATTTATCATAAATATTTCATGTTAAAAGGGGACATAACTCCTAAAAATATTGCATTTAGGATAATGTCCCATGTCTGACAACTGTAAAAATGTCATTACAATAAAGTATTCCAAGTTTCATACCGATATCTTATCATCTACTTAACCCATTACTTCATTCAAGCATTTTGTAAAAAAGGGTGTTTTCATGTTGATAAAAAATTATTAGTTACGTAAAATGGGGCGTAATGCCTACCCCCTAACCCTTCTAATAATTCTTTCAGAATAATGCCCTTTGCCAAAAGACTGTAAATTGCCATGATACAAGTTGATTCCTTTTAAAGATTTGAAATCAGAATCAGAATTAACTTGGACTTTTTCTTCTAAACATAGGACCTGATAAACTTTCATATACTAGAAAGACAAAAACGTGCCATCGAAATTCAATAGAAATACAAAATAAAAAACATTTCACTTTTAAGAGAGCCCATCTGTTAATATAAAACAAATTTTACCTGAAAGACTTTGGTTTAGTATCTTTATTTTCTGTGTCTTTATTTTCATCTATCTCGGTGGTTTGAGGTTTTGAGGGTAGAGTCATCTTGTGAACATTGTGTATACATGATCTACTACATATGTTGTATATCCTACATGATCTAAATATATTATATAAAACACACATTTATCTAAATGCTCCACACCTGAAACCTGCTGTAACATGAGAAAAGACATGTTAATTTGAATATAGACAGAAGAATGACTTAAAAACTATCTTGAGGTATGATTTCTTTACAGCAAGATGTGTATTCTTGGCTCAAACCTTTGTGATTTGGTTCATTTTTGGTCTAGACTACCTGCCCTTAACAATTAAATGCCACCATTCCACATCTGTTTACAAACATCAAAGTTAAGGTTTGTTTTTCAGACCTACTATGTCAATATGATAAAATAAAATGTACTTCACTGAAGTATTTTGAAAAGGTACAACTGGAAATATTTTTCCTAGATTTGTGTACCATTTGCTCTAGATCCGGACCAGTAACCTACATGCAAATTTACAGATCATTCCCTCACCCTGTTTATCCAGAATAATCATTTTTATTGTGCAAAATAACTAAAACCTGAAATGTAATTCTTTTGATCAAATCTTTATTATCCTTTGTAGATTTTTCCACTTTAAGTGCTTCACTTGATACATGTGACAATTAAAGGTTTTATGGTTTTAGACTTTTTGACGTCAGTGGTGCTCCTTTAAGTTCTTATCCCGAGGCACAATTAACCAAAGTACAAAGTATCTAGTTTAAGAAAATGTAATAGCTAGGGTTAGAGTTGTCCACATGTCAACAAACAGAACAATAACAAAATGCCAATCAATATATTCAATGTTGGGGGTATTAAAAGTTGGATAAAAAATCTTTGCTTGTCTGTAAAGGTTAACCTATGTACACATAACTAATTCCATTATCTTCCAGATTGCAAATATAAATGGTAAAATAATAGTGCAATAGAAATGAAAGCCAAGTTTGAACAAGTTACCTGTCTGTACTTAATGTTGCAACAAGTTCGTTTTTCGGATCCCAAGCTACTCCCTGTACAAAACTTTTGTGCTCATTGAAAATGCCCATCTTCTGATCTGGAATAAAAAAAGACATGTTATAGAAATGATCATGATCTAGTACTCACTGAAATCCTTTGATCTCTTCTCTTGGAAAATATCTTCATTATCTAAACTTTTGTCAACTGTAATGACATTGCTACATGTTAACCTCAGTTTAAGATAACTACTGCTTTGTCACTGCCCCGCAGAGATAGAACTTTATTATTTTTTACTTCTTTTGAGCCAAGTTTGAAGAAAAACCATCACAGTGTAAAGGAATTTTACAGCTGACACAAAACTGTCAGACATTTTACCTTTAAATTGACCTTGATCTTGAGCCAGCAAAGTGGTGGCTTGGTTTCTGCACATTGCCATGTTAAAGTGAACTTTTTTAGCCAAGTTTAACAAAATCTGTTCAACAGTATAGGTTTAATAGCTTGGATGTCTACAGATTAGCAGGCAGTTAGTACTTACCTTTAGTAAGATCCCAGAGTATGGCACTGTTATCTACAGACCCTGATATCATATATTTGCCATCAGCAGACCAACATATGTCATATATGTCCTCTAAATGACCTCTGAAATACAATCATGTAATATCACATTTTGAAATACAATCATATAATATCACATTTTTTCATTTTCAAGTTACCAAATTATTTTATAAAGTCTAATAGGGAATCAGAACCACTAACATCACATAAACTTGCTGAGTAACTTGCTCATATAGCTCTAAAACAATCTTAGTGCTGGACTTTAAAGCCAGCTACTTCTATATCACTTTCTTTGCCTAAATGTGTTTATGAAAACATTTGGGTTAAATTCTAGACAAAAACACAAGGTAAGGACATTGCTTTATATACTTCAAGCTGAGATACAAATTCATTATATTGTAGAAGAGACTACCATTTATTTGGCATCTTTTTTTTTAAAACAAGTTGCCGATTAAAACTTTTCAGTTTTGTGGGTATAATAATGGATTAATACCTCAATACTTTCAGCATAGCCCAATTTTCCTTATTGTCTTCCTCATCCTCTTGAAATATATTATTTATTGAGCTCGTCTCACTTAACTTCCAAAATATGATGACACTGTCTGTAAAAATATACATTGAATTGTAATATACACACATCCTGACCAATATGTTTAATATATATATTTTTTGATCTGGAGAAAGGGTGATCCTTCGGAAGCATTAATCACAACAAAATTACATGAAAATTGCAGACTTTGTTTGATTGAAGATAATTAAAAAGTGCAACATGGGTTCTTCACATTACCTTGTTGAGGTGAACATCATAATGTTGAGGTTTAAAACCCTTGTTTTTTGTTACATAGTCTAGCCAAACTGGTAAGAAGGTCTAAATTAAATAATATAACTAAAGAATATATTTAATGAGGTTAATTAAATACAGATGGCATGGCAGTGTTACAATGCTGCAGATTTCTAATAAATATTCATTATAATAACACATGTTTTAAAAATCCACAAGACCATTAATATCCTGAGAGCTGCTTAGAAAGCACTTTTTTCTCAATCAAAATAACAGAACAATCTGAACACCTATATACAAGACTGTATTAGTGTATAAAAACAAAGTATGGATACATACCATCCCCAGCTGTGGCCAAAATGTCACCTGTAAAATTAAATTACCATTATAACACTGAAATATCAAGTGTGTTAAAATAAAACAACAAGAGCTGTCACAGGAGACAGCGAAGCTCGACTAATAAAATACTGGACGCAGTAAGGAGGACAAAACTATGAAAGAAAAATCAATTATGTATAATTACTTATTAAGTTATAGTAAAAAAAATAACATTTGTTAACATAAATTCCAAGATCAAGGGAAATAATTCTAGAAATAGTCATGCTAGAGTTATGGATCTTGCCACACAACATTTGTGTAATGATAAGAAATATATATTTGAAGTTTGAAGTAGATACCTTAAAAAGTAAAAAGTTATTATATTTCTTAAAGAAAATCGTAAGTTCAAAGAGAGATCAATCTGTAAATATTGCTTCAAGAGTTATGAACATTGTCACATAAAATGTAATTAATGATAAGGTATAAGTATTTGAAGTTTGAGGTAGATACCTTTAAAAATAAAAAAGTTAAAATAAAAAATAACATTTTTCTAGTAAATAAATCTAAGTTTATGGGGAGATAATTCTTGCAATATTGGTGCTAGAGTTATGAACCTTGTCACATAAGATGTGGATGATGATTACATAAATATATTTGAAGTATGAAGTTGATCCCTTTAGAAATAAATAAGTTACAGTAAAAAAAAATATTTTTTATGGAAAATTCTAAGTTCAAAGGGAGATAAATCTGAAAATATTAGTGCTAGAGTTATGAACCTTGTCACATAAGATGGGGATGATGATAACGTAAATATATTTGAAGTATGAGGTCGATCCCTTAAGAAACAAAGAAGAAACAGTAAGAAATAGTATTTTTTGAGGAAAATTCTAAGTTCAAGGGGAGATAAATCTGAAAATATTGGTGCTAGAGTTATGAACCTTGTCACATAAGATGGGGATGATGATAAGGTACATATATTTGAAGTATGAGGTTGATCCCTTAAGAAATAAAGAAGTATCAGTAAAAAAATAGTATTTTTTAAGGAAAATTCTAAGTTCAAGGGGAGATAAATCTGAAAATATTGGTGCTAGAGTTATGAACCTTATCACATAAGATGTGGTTGATGATAAGGAACATATATTTGAAGTTTGAAGTTGATACCTTAAGAAATGACAAAGTTATAGTGAAAAATATTTTACTGCACCAAAACTTTAATCTAAAATCTGGATGCGGACGCGGACGCCGGGGCGAGTAGGACAGCTCTCCATATACTTCGTATAGTCGAGCTAAAAACCAAATCTATAAATGTATTAGTCTTCCAGCTTAGCATGGGATTTGTAACACATGGGCCACTAGTTTGATCCTCAGACAATACAAAATTTCTCTGTGACAAAACTGATCTCTGTCATCAATTCTAATGGTCATTTGTCTGTCACCACTGATTTCAGAAATCATATGCAGGGCCAAAACACCATTTTTGGGGAAGGGGCCTCAGCATTTTTCTTTGGGAAAACATGCATGATTTTGGCATACTTTTGGAAAAGGGATCTCAAATTTAACACAAAATTTTAACAAGTTCTTCAAAATTGAAAAGCAAAAAGCACTGGGAATTACTAATAAGGCAGTAAAAGACCTTAATTCAACACCATTTAATTTTGTTCTAAATTCTATGGGAAATTTCAAAAGACTGGGGAATTTTGAGGACCAAACTGGGGGAAAAAAGAGGCTAGTTTGGTTGGGGAAGCATCCTATATTCGGCCTAAACAAAGAAGAGTTTTTTGGCCATGATATTGGATTATAGTCAGTGACTTGTAGAGAAATTGGTAAATACTGGTTAACCAGGATACTGAGCCAAACTGACCGATGAGATATAAATTTGTAACAAGAGCCACCGCCGGGCGGGGGCAACGCTCGACTTTGTACTTTTTCTAAACGCAAACATAGAAAGGTTTGAACATATATATTGATGTTTCCTTTTTATAAATTTAGTTGGTCTGTTTTGTCACATAAGTTTTGTTTATATATTTTGTATATATATGAATAGAAACATTAAGCATATTTCTAAAAATAGCAACAGTACGCAATTTCTAAAAATAGCAACAATGACGCAATTTCTAAAAATAGCAACAATGACGCAATTTCTAAAAATAGAAAAAATGACGCAATTTCTAAAAATAGAAAAAAATGACGCAATTTCTAAAAATAGAAAAAATGACGCAATTACTAAAAATAGCAACAATGACGCAATTTCTAAAAATAGAAAAAATGACGCAATTTCTAAAAATAGAACAAAAATGACGCAAATTCTAAAAATAGCAACAATGACACAATTTCTAAAAATAGAAAAAATGACGCAATTTCTAAAAATAGGAAAAAATGAGGCAAATTCTAAAAATAGCAACAATGACGCAATTTCTAAAAATAGAAAAAATGACGCAATTTCTAAAAATAGGAAAAAATGAGGCAAATTCTAAAAATAGCAACAATGACGCAATTTCTAAAAATAGAAAAAATGACGCAATTTCTAAAAATAGAAAAACATGACGCAATTTCTAAAAATAGAAAAAAATGAAGCAATTTCTAAAAATAGAAAAACATGACGCAATTTCTAAAAATAGAAAAAAATGACGCAATTTCTAAAAATAGAAAAACATGACGCAATTTCTAAAAATAGAAACAATGACGCAATTTCTAAAAATAGAACAAAAATGACGAAATTTCTAAAAATAGAAAAAAATGACGCAATTTCTAACAAGAGGGCCATGATGGCCCTGAGGTCGCTCACCTGTATATAGCCCCCCCTCCCCCCGGGCCAATTTTTACCCAAGGGCTTTTATTTGTTAATTTGAACAGACTTGGTAGACACCCATAAGAAGATGTTTCAATTGCTAAACATCTAAGTTCTAGCTCATTGGGTTTTTTAAAAGAAGATTTTTAAAGTTTTTACTATACACATATAGTTAAAAACAATGACACCCCTGGGGCAGGGCGAGTTTTTACCCCCCCCCCCTTTTATTTGAACAAACTTTGTAGATATTTACTTAAAGATGTTTCATGCTTAATATCTAAACTCTAGCTATTTGGGTTTTTTCAAAGAAGATTTTTAAGTTTTTGCTATACACATATAAGGAAAATCAATGACCCACGGGGCGGGGCCAGTTTTGACCCCAGGGCTTTTATTTGAACATACTTGGTAGACACCCATTAGAACATGTTTCATGCTAAATATCTTAGCTCTAGCTCTTTGGGTTCTTTAAAAGAAGATTTTTTAAGTTTTTACTATATGCATATAGGGAAAATCAATGACCCCCTGGGGCAGGGCCAATTTTGACCCTAGGGCTTTTATTTGAACAAACTTGGTAGACATTCACTAGAAGATGTTTCATGCCAAATATCTAAGCTCTAGCTCTAACAGTTCTTTAAAAGAAGATTTTTTAAGTTTTTACTATATGCATATAGGGAAAATCAATAACCCCTAGGGCGGGGCCAATTTTGACCCCAGGGCTTTTATTTGAACAAACTTGGTAGACACTCACTAGAAGATGTTTCATGCCAAATATCTTAGCTCTAGCTCTTTGGGTTCTTTAAAAGAGAATATTTTAAGTTTTTACTATATGCATATAGGGAAAATATGCATATAGGGAAAATCTATGACCCCCTGGGGCAGGGCCAATTTTGACCTCAGGGCTTTTATTTGAACAAACTTGGTAGACACTTTATAGAAGATGTTTTATGCTAAATATCTTAGCTCTAGCTTTAACAGTTCTTTAAAAGAAGATTTTTAAGTTTTTACTATATGCATATAGGGAAAATCAATGACCCCCTGGGGCGGGGCCAATTTTGACCCCAGGGCTTTTATTTGAACAAACTTGGTAGACATTCACTAGAAGATGTTTCATGCCAAATATCTAAGCTCTAGCTCTTACAGTTCTTTAAAAGAAGATTTTTTAAGTTTTTACTATATGCATATAGGGAAAATCAATGATCCCCCGGGGCGGGGCCAATTTTGACCCCAGGGCTTTTATTTGAACAAACTTGGTAGACACTCACTAGAAGATGTTTCATGCCAAATATCTAAGCTCTAGCTCTTACGGTTCTTTAAAAGAGATTTTTTAAGTTTTTACTATATGCATATAGGGAAAATCAATGACCCCCTGGGGCGGGGCCAATTTTGACCCCAGGGCTTTTATTTGAACAAACTTGGTAGACACTCATTAGAAGATGTTTCATGCCAAATATCTAAGTTCTAGCTTTTAGGGTTGTTTAAAAGAAGATATTTAAAGATTTTTCTTTCGGTTGCCATGGCAACCAGAGTTCTCCATGGAATTAAATTCTTTGAACAATTTTTAAAGGTGACCACCAAAGGAACAATCCTGTGAAGTTTGGATGAAATTGGCTCAGTGGTTTATGAGGAGATGTCATTTAAAGCAAAAGTTTACGGACGGACGATGGACGGACGGACGCCGGACGAAAAGCGATCACAAAAGCTCACCCTGTCACTTTGTGACAGGTGAGCTAAAAATAGCAACAATGACGCAATTTCTAAAAATAGAAAAAAAATGACGCAAATTCTAAAAGTAGCAACAATGACGCAATTTCTAAAAATAGAAAAAATGACGCAATTTCTAAAAATAGAAAAACATGACGCAATTATATACATGTATATATATGTATATATACATGCATATATATATATATATTTATATATATATATATATATATACCTGCATATATGTATATATATTACACACACACATTTATATATATATTTATATATAATACATATACTATACATACACACACACCGATAAATGCACAATCTGAGAAAATTCAGTAATATAACCTTCAAGGTCAAGGTCATTAAAGAGCCAAGCAAATTTGGGTTTGATAAACAACAAGGTCTGGTCCTTAAGAATGTTCTGTTATAATATGAAGTTTATCCCTTCAAAAATAGCAAAGTTACAGTCAGTTACTGTCAAAACAATGAAAATTTCAATAATTTGACCTTCAAAGGCAATGTCATTAATGAGTGAAGGTCAAGGTCTTTCGGTATATTTTTAACAGTTATCTTTGAAGATTATTATGTTCAAGTTTGAAGACAATCCATTCAAAAATAACAAAGTAACAGCCAATAACAGCATGAACAAGCAAAAATTGGACTTTTAACCTTGAAGGTCAAGGTCATTTATGGATGAAGGTCAAGGTTAGTGTGGTCTACTGAAAGGTCTTGTCCCAAGGGTTGTTGTGGCCAAGTATGAAGACAATACACCAAGAAATAAAAAAGTAATGATCCAGGTACAAGTTTTCGGACGGCAACGGCAACGGAGACGGCAACGGCAACGCCAACCTGACTATAACAATACCTCTACTATTTTTTTCAAAAAAAAAAAAGTCGAGCTAAAAAACGATATAAACACAAAATAGACAAATTATGACAACATACAAAACCACTTGTCTAACTCTGCAAATTCATCTACAAAAAAAACTTAATTTTAAAGATTTGGTAGGGCCACATTTAAAAAAGTCTTTGTTTGCTGTCTCCCGACCCTACTTTTTAGAGTTGGGTAGGTAGGTAGGGATTTTTTTTTTTTTTTGGAAATGCATAAATGTTTTTGGTTTGATTCTGTTTGTTGGAAAAAGCGGTATAATAAAATGCGAATAAAAAATTTTAAAATTGATATATCTTGCTTTTTATTTCAGTTTGTATATCTTTCAATTAGTCAACACAAGAAGTATAGTTCTTTTTAATAAAAATACATACATGTAACAAAAGCAAAATTTCGAACATTTACCCAACATGTGAGAGGATGACTAAAACACACAAATAAACTCAAATATATTATGCAAAATAACTACTGAACAACAAAAGGCATCATTATACATCAACAGTTTAAAGTCTGCTTACATTTTATCTTCACTTAATGAATAGTAAGTAACAAAACCAGAAAAAAAAACTTCAAACACTATGCAACTCCAGACAAGTAAACAGTTAAGCCACAGTATACCAACAAAATTTAGGTTCACAGTATTCATTTTTTATAGGACATCTATGGGGTATGATCTATGGGGTATGTCTTTCTCATAAACTGGAAGTACAATCCTAAACTTTGTTAACAGTTTTGGATTTTTCTGTGCTTCTGGCTCATCACAATGGGCACAAATATCTGGTCGTCCAATGTTGGAGGCACAGTAAGGGAACTCCACGTGAGATTGGCATGACATCTGCAGTCATACAAACACTCTCCCTTGCAGAGCATCTCCTATGAAAACAGACAGAAGGTCTTCATATAAGCTTACAATACACCAAGTTTATGCAATACAGATTATGCCAAAAATGCAATTATTTTAACATTTTTAATTATACAAACACCATGGGAAATATGTAAGAAAGAATAAAATCAGGTTTCTACTTTCAGTTGATTTTTTTATTCTTTCAGGTTTCTACTTTCAGTTGATTATGTAAAAACATTTTGACATCACTATTTCAAGAAAATAAGCACAACAATGTGCAATACCAATACTAACCATCAACTGTAATGACTGAAACACAGCTTTAATCAAATTTCTCAAGGCTGTGTTTTAGAGATCATGTTTCCCTGTCAATTTATTCTCTTGGTTTATCCACATTCAGTGCCTTGCATTTTGAGCCACTAGAAGACTATTCTTAAAGTCCTGCAATAATGAGAAAATGTGATAAATGAGTGCTGAAATGGTTCAAGTACTAAGACAGGTGGTACTTGAAACAATAAGATAAGTGCATTTGCTGGTTGAAGAAAATGATTATTAAATAAATACTGGTACTTATAAATGGATGAGTACATACAAGAAACTTTATTTATTTACAAAAACTTTATTTTAAGTCGATTACATGAGCACTCAGTAAGTTTTTAACCCAAACCAGTATTTAAGCATACCGTAAGAACGTCCGATTTTTTTCGGATAAAAATCCTCGACGTCATTAGACAGATCGGCCCATGCCCAGACCAATTCATTCTCGTGGAGGTTATTTTTCAACAAAGTTGAATAAACGTAATAATAAATGTTGACGAGATGATAAAATACTCGTCTTCTTGAAGATCTTCTAACTTTCGTTTTGCAAAATTGTAACGGAAATGTACACAATCGACTTTTACCCGGCGGTACTTGATAGTCGATACACGTGACGAATAATACGCGGGAACCAGTATACTACACGCCATTATTGAACGGATATCGGTAAAAATATGCGGCACCAAAAAAAAAAAAAAAATGGTCGGCGAGAGCAAATAAAATTTTTCGGAGCGCAGCGTTTTTTTAGGGGCGGTCGGGAGACAGCAAACAAAGCTATTTTTAATTTTGGTCTAGTCATATTCAAGTTTGTTAATTTCTAAATTCTAAAATCAATCTTGAAGAACTATTATGGTTACCGTCAGGTGAGAATCTGCAGACATTAACAGCCTTGGTATGTCTTTTCAAGTTGGCTAGAAACTCCACTCCATATTTACCATCTAGATCTTCCTTAATCTGCCATACCTATATTGACAAATATTCAAACTTCAAAATTACTTAAACCGTATAATTATTTAACATCAAAATGTTTGTAAGAAAGAACACAAGTGATAAAAAAACTTACAACTTACAATATGTAATGTTAAATTGTAACATTTTATTGATTATAGATAAAACATTAATTTTGATGCAATATAAGTTGATACACAGATTTCTATGAAGTGAGCTTATTGAAATAGCTCTAAGTTTTCAATATGTTTATCAAAATGAATGATAAAGTAATTGCATCTAAATAAAATAAATTTCTTTTAGCATTATTTACCCTGACAAATTTGTCAACACCACCAGACACCAGTCTCTTTATGGCTCTGTTTCCTGGTTGTACATCCACACTGTATATAGGGTCACGCTCATGCCAGGATATCTCAGGTGTTGTAACCTTCATTATGAGCAAATGTCAGCCAGGACCTGTAATCAGTTAATATACATGTAGTCTGCTAAATGCTTCCAAATAAGTTTTCATATGATACAAGATACTGAAATTTCTTGGCATGAATTTAGAATCCCGGATACTTGTCACCTCAGACATTTGCCCCCCTTTAACGGTGGTAGACTTTGCCCCCTCGTATGTCTTGAAAGGGGCGGACATTTGCTCTTCTAAACATTTTGAAGGGCAGACAATTATCCCATTTTAAAAAATTTTAATTGGTGATCTTAAACATGTGTCGGCCTCATTACATGCATTTGATCATTATTTTTATATCTTTTGTTAAACAGACCCGTTGGCTATTTCTTTTTTTTTCTCTAAGGCAAAATGAAATATAAAATATGCAAAAATAAAATACAATTCCTGTATTTGCAATGCAAAGCTGCAAATGTTATTGAAATCTTAATGTTGTATCAGGGAACTATATCACATCTGATATATATTTCATCAAGGTTTTAATTCATCTGTATATGTATTAAAATCGGTAGTTTTGAAGTTCTATTTGCAAGAAAATTTTAATCCAAACATCAGCAATAAACATCTTTTTATTGGTCGCTTCTAACTTTGGTGGTAAAATTTTTTGTCCTATTTCCTGAACAATTTTGGTCGTTCTGTATTTCATTGACACAGAGATCATGTTTACAAATAAAAAATTTCCCTCCCAATTAATATGTTGATAGTTAATATTATATCATATTGATTGAGATATAACTATTAGATGTCAGGCATTGACCAACATAAACTATACAAGCCTGTAACGTCCGATATATTGGACTAAGCAAGAGGTGCCTAATCTATCTATCTTTCATTAATGTCAAACCCTTTGCGGGGGCGTAGACATAACTCTAGACTAGTCACTTCAGAAAAGCTATGAGATACAAAGGAATCTGGGAACACTGAAAAAGACCCATTGGTTCTTTTACATGCCCAGTGTATAGCACTGATACATATGTGAGGATTACCTGGATTTCTTACCAGTACACCTCTAGTTAGGTGGGAAACACAGAAAGTGTCTCTGAAAAATCCCAGGATCGTACCCGGGACCTCAGGAGTGACAGCCAGCACAGACGCTTGGGGGTCAGATCCTGCCCCCAAAGGTGATGCACCCCCAATCATCTGTGATTGCACCACCTAGGAAATTAACGACAGATTTTTTTTTCATTCAGGAGAAAAAAGTTTATGATTAAAACAGTTGTCCTGCTTGGGTTAAAATGTTAAGTTATTGATAATTTATAGACAAAGCATTAGCCTGATTAGCAAGGTGCTAGGTCTGTCCCAGAATTTCTGAGATTTTGAACATTGGTGAAAAGATTTATATGCTAAATTTAGTAAAAATATGAAAGGATGAATATATTACAACTGGTCCAAACATTATTTCGATATCATGTTATTATTAACATTGTGTTATTTACGTAATTACCTATGAAAACGGTGTTTATTTATTATCTTCACTTCTGTGGACTTCTTTTTGGCGCCTTTTTTCTGTGGTCGCTTATGCGCTTATAAAATTTAACAGAAAAAGTCAATTGCATTGATCTACATAAAGTTTTTGCTATTCTAAGAATCACATATTGACCTTAAGGTTAAAAGTAGTATAAGAGTTTATTACTTATATGGAATCATGTTTAAATGATGATATTAATTGTTAACGTTGTAAGCGTCTTTGAAAATTGTAAACAAAACACGCACCGGCGGAAGATTCAAAGAGCAAAATATACAAGAGATATAACAAGAGTTAGAAAGTATTATTGATTTATATCAATAGCAAAGCCATGATTTTGTTAGAAAAGGTAGCATAATTTCCTTTCTAATTCGAAGTTTTCTTAACATGATTGTTTCAATATGTAGAAAATCTAAACGCAAACAGGACGTTTCGGCCCATAGACGTTTCGGCCCTATTCCGCGAGACGTTTCGGCCCTTTTTATGACATTTAAAAAAATAATTAATACTTAAAGTCATTAAAAAATGAAGTATATTGGTTTGGTTTAAACATATTTATTTTAGCTCGATTGCAAAACAAGTTCTGCAGTGTACACATTCAGAAGTTCTTGCAACTTATATAAATCACTTTAGAGTCCGCTTTCTGGAACCAACCAGTACTGGTGTCATATGAAGAAACATGTCAACTTACTTTGTCATGAAGTTATGTCAATGTGTTCTGACTATTCTAGTATTTTGTTAATTCCTCTCCTTATTTTCAGAATTAAACAGGGAAGTAGGAAAGCATGATTGGCTTCAGTTGTAAACATGAAATCATCCAAAAATATAGGCCGCAAAAGACTTGGACGTATACCCATAACATCTAATGAGCCTTCTTCCTCTGTGATACGACCTTGTCAAATTGTTCAAAGGTAACAGCAATGACATGGTGCAGTCCATGATAACTCAAGATTTGTTTGGTATTAATAATAAAACTTGTATAATTTGATACGCAAAAAATGGATGCCACCAGCAATAAACCTCAACACTGTGGAGAGGTCTGATGACCTCTCCAATTAACCCTGTATTACTAGTGGCAACAATTTCATGCCTAAACTTCTAGTACATAGACATGTCATACTATACTGTGTAATGTGACTATTCTATTTTTAGCATTTGATTTATAATATGAAAAAGGCAAAGCCTCAAAGCGAGCTCGATGTACTTTTTACGTGAAATAGTATGAAGTAATCGCTCATTTTTATTTCAAATGCAGTGACGAGTGCGTGTGACGTCACACGTACTGTATTAAATATGGCTCCGCCATTGTCGTGAAATGAATAACGAGTTTTGAAAACGTTTATAAAACTATGTTTATTTTATTTCACTCTATAATTTTTTAAGCGGAAATAAAATTATTTAAAGTGAAATAAATGTAAAACTTAAAACGTTTGCGACATTAAAAAAGCGAACTTGATTTGTTTGTTTTGCACGCGCTGTTTGGCGCTACATTGTGACGTCACGTAAACAATACTTTAAATGTCTGTACAGCGTTAACGACTGAATAAAAGATATTGGTGTTCGGATTAATTTTCTTAGTTAGACCATTTTCTTTCATTCTAGATAGTTTTCACAACAAAATTCGACAAAAAATTGTTTTTATTTATCAGATTTCAAACAAAATGGCGCCTTCGAATTTCATTTTTTATACACAGCTTCCGTTATTCTGGTTCCCTGTCCAATTATAGTTCCCATAGACGTGCACGGGTGACCAGTCTACACATCCGTTTTCAGTCAGAATTCCTCAGTTTTTATTGTTATCTTTAAATTCGAAAGGTTGCGATGTGTCCAATTCGGTACTTTGGACGAAAGTTTTCAAAACCATCACTTAGCAGGTACTCGCGTTACCGTAAAGCTCGCTTTGCGAGCAGGCCCTTCGTGCCAGCTCGTCGAGCTCGCTATTAAAGTTTAAACCCCTTTGAAATAACAACCTTTCAGATTCAAACAGAGACAAGCCTGTTGTAGTCTAGAGTTAATCATATATGTCTCCTGTTGATTTTATGAGTTAAGAAATTATAGAGATAAAATTTATACCAAGGTACACAAACATACAGATGCTTGTTCTTATTGTATAATGAATGTGTTTGTGAAACTCTTTATTTTTTTAAGTTTTTCAATAGTTTTTTATTCTAATATTTAAGTACAAGTTTTCTTATACAAATATTGTCTACAGTCTTTAAACTAAATTGATTTGATTTATATTTCAGGGTAGATGGAGGGAAACAAAATGTAAGTACGTCTCGAACTGTTGTAAAGTTTTATTGTCAACACTTTTCTTTCTGGTATATTGAGTGAAACAGCTTTTATGAATATTTGTTAAAAATGATATATTTATATGATATATTTGAACTTTTATTTGTTATATAATAGATTCAGGTCTCAATGTCAGAGGGTGACCTTTCGTTCAGTTCGTCATTTGCTAATGACCTTGACAATGATGTTGACCTCATGTCAGCACTGGACAGAATGGAGACAGATTATGGCCACAATAAAATGAAAGGAAATGCTACAACAACAAAGGTAGAAAATGAAAATGTTATCTCTATACGCAACCATCAACAGATCAACATCAGTAATAAAATATCCAGTGTGGAACATAACAGTAAACAGATAAAGCATATAGCCAATAAAAATGTTAATTATTTGTCTACACCAGCAAGAATCAACCATAGTAAACTTGATTCTAAAGTGTCAGCAGCTGATAATGTTGACACAAACTCGTTCCATGATCTCTCCTTTACAAGCCCTATGGAAATATCTACTCCACAGATCTTTAAAACAAAGAGATCGTCTTCCAATGACACTAAAGAATCAACATCGAAAAAGAGAAACTTGTCAGCTTTAAAGAATTCTGCAGATAAAAGTAAGACTTCTATGTCTAAGATTAGGACATCAACACCACAGGTTACCCCACGTAGGAATCTTAGATCAAACTCGGCACAGAAAGAGAAGAATCAGATGAGGAAAAAGCGAGTTTTAGATGGGCTTGGTGACCCAATGGCCACAGAGGAAAATACTGATAACAATTTATCAAATAAAAGTGACTTTTTCAAGTCTTTACTAGTTGAAAATGTAAGTTTAGAAGAGAGTAATATAGCCAAAAATGATATGATAAAGAAAACAAAATCTCCAGAAACCAGATCAAATACCAAAACAAAAAAAGACCAACTCTGCAGTAATTCAGCAACAACACAACAAACAAAATCAGCTACATGTGAAAATAAGGAGAATTACACGGAGGTAACTGACAGTAACCAAAATGATGATAATGAGATCAACATAGAAGATCTTCCTCAGATTCCTACAAGGGGAAGTAATCAAAGTAATATCAGTACCTCAACTTCATTAGTTGAAAAACCACTAGAAATTAAGCCTGGTAAGTGTATTCTCCTACTTGGTAAAAAGTGCAAAGCATTTTTGATGAAAAAAAACTTTATTTTAATTTTTAGCTCGACTATTCAATAAGAATAAGTAGAGCTATTGTAGTCACCCGAGCGTCGGCGTAACAACTTATGTTAAAGTTTTTGTAATACCTCAAATATTTTCAAAGTCCATTGACATATGGCTTTGAAACTTTGCACACTTGTTCACCATCGTGACCCCAACCTGTTGAGAAGAAGAGGTAATTGTATCATGCATTTTGACAGAATTATCCCCCTTTTTTGACTTAGAATTTTAGTTAAAGTTTTTGTAATAGTTTAAATATTTTCAAAGTCCATTGACATATGGCTTTGAAACTTTGCACACTTGTTCAACATCATGACCTCAACCTGTAGACAGGAGGAGATAACTGTATCCAGCATTTTGACAGAATAATGCCCCTTTTCAACTTAAAATTTAGATTCAAGTTTGCATACCACCTCAGATATTTTCATATTCTATTGACATATGGCTTTGAAACAAGTTGAAATTTTATACTCTTCTTTGAGAGCATAATAGGACTCTCTTCAAGGCCTATAACTGTAACATGGATTTAAAGAAAAATGTTGCCCTTTTGTTAACTCAGAAAATTTTACATTATCAAGGCTTTTCTAACTATCAAGCACTAAGAATTGTCGAGCGTTGCTGTCCTACCGACAGCTCTTGTTATAACAGTGATCTGTTAAAGTGCTGGGGTCATTTTTTGAGGGAGCGGGTCAATAACATATTGTACCTCAATGTATGACATAAGTTTGACCTTCTGGTTTATATTTGTAAAATTATCTGTAATAATTTCCATTTTTATTTATTAACATAAAAAAAGAAGAAAAAAAACACGGATTTTTTAACCTTTATCTTTGCTTTTGACAAAGATGTGTCTTTTAGTAAAATATTTACATGGAGCTGATAAGAAGATTTTTGGACATCTTGTGATTTTGTGCAAACAAATTTATTCATGAAAGCTTTGGAAACTAATTCAGGAATTCATATACAAACATGTATTTAAAAATTGATCAAACAAAATTTAAACAGTATTTGATATCACCTCAATGAGTGGAATGTTGTTCTTAGTCCTGTCAGTCACATGTCTTGTATTTTACATATTAAAGAATTATATTTTTGTTTAGATTTAGAGGCAGATCAGCTAGCACTATCATCATGGGGTCTCCCTGACCCTGTTCTAAAACAGTATCACTCTAGAGGTATCACCCACATGTTCCAGTGGCAGGCAGAATGCTTACTCATGGGCAATGTTTTAGGTAACTTTTCAAATATTTCTACCTCATTGCAGAACAACAATTATAATGGCTTAGATGTAATAAGATTGAAGCTGAGTAAAATATTTTTTTACTGTAAATTATAAGTTAAAATGCTTATATTTTAGATAAAGAATATAATTTGCCTGTTTTTACAATTAACTATTACCGCTTTCAGTTTCATGTTTTGTTGCTTGTTTGTGGTAATCATGCTTTATCATTCTTTAATTGTCAAGGGGGAGGTAACTTGGTATATTCCGCCCCAACAAGTGCTGGTAAAACTATGGTAGCAGAGTTGCTGGTCTTGAAGAGAGTGATGGAAACAAGGAAAAAAGCAATAATTATACTACCATTTGTTTCTGTGACAAGAGAGAAAATGTTTTATCTACAGGTAAATCAACATGTACAGTATCAGGGCTCTCGATTGATATGGGTATCTGCATTTTGACTCCTGAAAATCAGGAAAAGCACAAATTTAACACTTGATAAAATCTGCACAAGAGTCAATTTGCGGCTTTTGCCTCATGGGAATTTTCAGCTATGCATTAATTATTACCTTCAATCCACTCCTAGTCACCTATCAAATCCTACAGATGTTCAAATCTCACTCAATAAAAATGTCAACATTTTTCCATGATAGATATTATCAATTTAAACTTGAAAATCTACTCAAAATGACTTCCTTATGCAGTAATTGTTGTAACATGAAAATAATTCAAGTCGTCAAATGACACAAGAAAAAACTGACTTGACTTGTGAAATTTTTGGCCAAATAGTCTTTGACTCGTGAAATTCTGACCCTACTGAGAGCCCTGAGTATAATTGTATATTTTCATGGAAATTTTTGTGTGATTGTCTTGAAAGTTACTATTTCCTTATTAATGGAACATTTTAATGACCTTGATTATCATTTGATTTTATTAGATTTGTAGGGTTGACTAATTTCTTGCAGATATTTTCTTTCATCTTTGATATTATATTTGATAACCTTTTTGATGATTTTTTTTTTGTAGCAGTGTTGTTATATTTGAAGGCGCTAGGAATTTTACAGGATAATTTATATAATATATAAACTGATGAAGTTATTATTGTAGGATATGTACCAGGATGCTGGGATACGTGTAAGTGGATTTATGGGTCACTATGCCCCGGCTGGTGGCTTCAGTAGTGTTGATGTAGCTGTATGTACCATTGAGAAGGGAAATAGTCTGATCAATAGAATGTTAGAAGATAACAAACTTGATCAATTAGGTATTCCATTAATGCTACCTCTATACATTAAATATGTCCACATGGCCTATACCCAAACATTTCCATACATTTAATATAGTCACATGACCAATAACCAAACAATTTCATGCATTAGATATAGCCATATCCAAATATAAAAACCCACCAAAACATCTCCTTATATTACATAATAAGACATTACACAAAGATCTTATTGTATTACATTAATGGTTATCTCTTGTTAAACTTGTTATTTTTGTTGTAAATATGAAATATCACATTAGAAGTAGATCAGTTGTTCATTATCTTGTAACAATGTAGAATATTCTTCTATTTTCCTGAAGTATTATATTTTGTATTTTAGGTATTATAGTAATTGATGAGTTACATCTGATTGGAGATAGACATAGAGGTTACCTGCTTGAACTGTTGCTCACCAAAATCTCGTACATGTCTCGCAAAAATAAAAACAGGTATGCTGCATATATTACTATATATCTGAGTAACTTCATTAAAAAAAATAGAAATAAAAACAGGTGTGTAACTTCATTTAAAAAAAGGTTACATGATCAGTGATTAATCTAGATGTGCGTCTTGCGTAAAATACGCATAAAAATAAAAAAGACGCACAGTTTCAAAATATGTGCGTTCAATTTGACGCATGCAAATCAGGTGGTTTATAATCCAAAATATCACGATTAGTGATTTCTATGTACTGTTTGATTACTTTAATTTCATCAGTTGAATAATTTTTCAATTTCTTCAGTTGAATAATTTAATTTCCGATGATTACTTGTGCAAGACTTATCCCCCATTTGCTTGAAACGTTAAATCTCTGTGATCGGTAACCGCCCATTATCGGCATTAGCCAATCAGAGCGTCCATTTTGCATGAGAGCGAATTGCATACAATGGTGAAATATGCAGAGATCTGCCTGCGCCATTGGCGCTAGAAAATGAGAATGGCACAGGAAAATCGTCAGCAAAGGGCCAAGGGTGCATCTAAATCACAGGTGCTCGTCCAGTCTTGGTGCCCATATAAAAAAAAATGAAGTTTTAAAAAAAAATTGAAAAAAAAAACATGAAAATAACTATTTTGGGTTGAGTGTAAGAAAAGAAAAATTGAATTTTTTTCCTATATACCATTACTACGTATTATTACATGCTTTTCGGTGGTTTATAGAAATATATCAGTGATATAAAACTGGTAATTTCACTGTTTGAAACAGTGAAATTACCACTTTGATAATTTCACTGTTTTGAATTTAAGCCCCTTACGTTGTTTCAGTGCAATACCAGCGTGAACAGTACTGGGTACCAACTTAATAATGTGACGTCGTAAATGACGTCACGTTGTATTATTATTTGGCGCGCTTTTCATTCAGTATTAGGTTTTATGTCTTTTTAAAACGTTTCTTTGCATGTAATAAAAAGAAAATTTGTTAAGTGAACGTTTCTTTGCATATAATAAAAAGAAAATTTGTTAACTGAACTAAACAAATATTCTCTATGTAATGGTACATAGGAAAAAAAAATTTTTTTTTTCAATTTTTTTTTTCTTACACTCAACCCAAAATAGTTATTTTGATGTTGTTTTTTTTTCAATTTTTTTTTTTTTTTTTTTTTCAAATTTTTTTTTCAATTTTTTTTTAAAACTTCATTTTTTATATGGGCACCAAGACTGGACGAGCACCTGTGTATGTATACAGTGTGATAGGGACATTTTGTGCAAATTATGAACAATTAAAATGGATAATGCACAGTATTAGACATAAGTAGTAAGAAAATATAAATTATGCAAATTAGATTTTTGAGCAGCCAATAAAAATTGTTTTGCCTGCAATTAATATTAGTACCAAAAAAAAAAACTTTTTATACACTTTAATTATTTAATCGCTTGTTTTAAAAACATGCAAATCATGTCAAGGATCTGCTATTAAAAAAACTTCTGCTAAGACGCATTTATTTTGCTACATGACTCATTGATTTTGCTATAAGGACTCATTGTTTTCAAAAATGTCATCCGACGCATTGTAAAGAATTTCTAGATTAATCACTGCATGATTTCTATGTTCTTCAGTTAATCATGATTTTTCCTGAAATAAAAATTTAAATAAATGTTCTAACATGTATTTTGTCCATATATATGTAGAGGATAGTGAATGAGTGAATATGATATTTTATTTATCATATATCCAACATAAGAATGGTAAACAGTTAAAAAAAAACTTATTTCACGGACACGTCCATAGTCAACATTAGCATTATTTAGCTCTTTAGCTCTACTGTATTTTTGTATGTGACACCGATGATGTCATGTGAAAGTGTTAGTACACTAGTGTAATAATATTTTTGATTAAATCACTTTATAGCTCCACATAGCTCCTGTGCTGTGGTTTATGTAATAATCTGAATGTATTTCACAAATAAATGTATTATTTTCAGTGAGACAAGCTCTAACATTCAGGTGGTGGGTATGAGTGCTACCTTGCCTAACTTGGATCTTCTGGCCCAGTGGCTGAATGCTGACTTATACCGCACTGATTACAGGCCGGTCCCCCTAGCCGAGTGTGTGAAGATAGGTACAGCTTTATATGACTCTGGTATGAATTTAGTGAGAGACATTGATACCAAATACTCAGTGAAGGTAATGTCTTAATGTTTCATTTGAATTAACAGTGCATTTAAACTCAGTATCGAATCACCTTTGTTTTAAATACAGTACATGGATATAGAACAAAACTGTTTACATTCAAAATTCAAGACAATAACATTGATTTTCTCAACAACTACAAATATTAAAAATATTCAGAAGTTTTGTGATCAAAAGTTTCATATTCTTTTCTATAACTATGCAGTGAAATATTTTAATAATAGCTTTAATTTGCAAATTAAATCATTATATGTTGCGAAGAAGTTGCTTAAAAGGATTAAAGTATTTTTACATTACATTAATTAGTTTATACATATGATTAGGTCTAAGAGATTTTACACATTTATATACAGGGAGATGAGGACCATGTTGTACCATTGTGTATTGAGACAATCCGAGGCGGTCATTCTATACTTATATTCTGTCCTACCAAAAACTGGTGTGAAAAACTATCTGAAACTGTTGCTAGGGCACTCTATAATCTCCTTAGCAACCCGGATGTCGCTGTTGCTGGCAAAGGTCTGTTCACTACAGTTTGTTTTTCATTTCTTAACATACATGAATTTACAAACTTTAAAACACACTAATATTCAAGTATTTTTAAAGGCAAGTTTTTGGTACTTGTGAAAAAGAAAATGCAATATGTAATTTATGTTTTTGAATTGTAAACTGATTGTTTTCAATAGGTAAATACCAATGCTTTGGGTTATTTTCACTAATGTAAAAAATACAATTGCAAGTCTTGCTGTCTAACATTTTTGTCACATTTTGTTCATTGTATGATCATATTGTTAAGCGCATAACTTGCTTGAAGTTATTGGCCTTTGCCACCAGTAATTAGCCACGCATGCCCACACAAACCATTCAATCTGGCCAGGCTCTGTACTGTTAGATATGATTCTTCAAATTTTCATCTTGAAATCTGTAAAATTGATAATGAACATTTCCAAAAATGGAAGCTAGACAAGTCTATTTCACACAATCGGCAGGTTAAGGGTTAAAATGAAAGCATTTGATATATTTATATTTAGTGTTTCTAGTTTCTCTCGTCAGACTGTTTATCTATATTATTTCAGGTTTTGTGAAAGCCTCAGATTTACTGGTGCTGCCTCTTGACCAGTCAGCATTAAGAGATGTTGTTGAACAGTTACGTCGTACAGCAGTTGGCCTAGATTCCACCCTCGGTAGGACCGTCCAGTTTGGAGTAGCTTATCATCATGCAGGTATGTTATAGTTTTACCTTGATAAAACAACGTTAATAATTACCCTGCCGAAACAGAAAGTGATTAGCCTTTACCATCAGTATAGAATAAGGTGATTCTGCATGTCTGTTTAGTTTAACAAGGCTCTTTATTGTTGGCCAATAAAATATTTATAAATATATATACAATATTTTAGAGTCATAATAAAAAATGTTTTCATAAAATTTATTTTTGTCAATACATATGATGTTTGGATGATGTTTAAGGGTTTTGGGTTGTAGAGGGGGAACGGGGGTATAGTGTAAGTCATGGCCACGCGACGTTTACCTGTGAGTTGAAGTTAATGTAAAAGAAATAGTCAGGCTATCAAATTTCAAAACAGTTATTTGATTTGACCTTGACATAGGAAAAATTGAAGTTGTTTATCTTATTTAAGTTTTCAACTTTGGAATTATTTTTTCCAGGTTTAACATTTGATGAGCGTGACATCATTGAAGGTGCATTCAGACAAGGTATACTGAAAGTTCTTGTGGCAACATCTACATTATCATCTGGTGTAAACTTGCCAGCACGTAGAGTATTGATACGTACACCAACATTCCACGGTCAGTTGATTGATTTTCTCACATATAAACAGATGATTGGTCGTGCTGGCAGGAAGGGAGTTGACACCGCTGGTCAGTATATATATTATGATTTCTTGTAGAAAATGTTTCAGCTTTTTCAAAACCCTCTTGAAGTGAGCACATTGCAGAGGAGAACAGCAGGTCAAGCCATCTTAAGTACCAGGGATGATTGGTTGACCTGCTGTGGCTCAAGAAGGTGGCGCTAACAACATCTGTTTTTGTTAAATGATGCATTGGAGGTATTGAAGTCTCAACTTACCACAACTGAATGAAGAACAGGTTGAGGAAGATTCACCTTGAAAATTCGCTGCTGATATATGCTCTACGACCGGACAAGGAAGATCGCAGTTACTCTGGCCTATATGGGTTTGTCCCAGTGGCCAATATAAATAAAAGCAACAACACACACTCAAATGTTTGTGTAGTAGTTAAAAAAGACAAAAGCAAATTATATTTTCTGTAGCTTTTCAACATCTATATCATACATATGTCACTAATGTGGCACAATAATTTGACATTGTTTATTTTTTACAAGTTTTATTATTAGTGTTCCTACTTTTACAAGGCAATAATTGTTGTTTTTGAAAATATATTTATCAGTTGTTTTTCTTCAATGATAAATGTTTGAAGTCAATATATTATGATCAACTAGTTTAAATATATATGTATAAATTTATCTTTATATTCACATATTTATTTTTCTCTAGGGGAGAGTATACTGTTATGTAAGCCAAATGAAAGACCAAAAGCTGTAAAACTTGTTACAGGCTCACTACCTGCTGTACATAGTACTCTAGTTAGAGAAGAAGGTATGATGTATAATTATTGCATTTACATGTATTTAGATAATTTATTCTCAACATATATTCATTAAATGATAATATTTTCAGTTTTATTATAAAAAAAATGCCATTAGAGTCCAGTGATAACGTTTTTGTTTAAGTTTAATGAATTCTGACCATCAATTATTAAAATTAATACTGTAATTGATAGAGCCTTGGTAAAATATCATTTCCACTCAAAAACCACACATATCTTGTAGTTAAAGCCTCATAAATAGTTACCAAGCATTAATGTAAAATCTGTTATATTGTTAGGTGAGCCTCTAAGTTCTAGTCTAAAGCGTGCTATATTAGAGGTGGTAGTGAGTGGTGTAGCAATGTCCCCGGCGGAGGTGTCATGCTACGCCTCGTGTACTCTACTGGCGGCCTCACTGAGCAAGGGAGAGGATCAGACACATGACCTGATACAACAATGTGTACAATTTCTACAAGATAATGAGTTTGTCAATACACAAAAAATAAAAGGCCCTGATGGTAATAGTTAAAATTTAGAGAGTATTATATAGACATGAACCACATTTCTTTTGTCTGCTTTTTGATTAAATATACATTGTACTTATGCATTTAAGATTTTTTCATATTTTTCTTTATTTGCCAAAAAATGCGGTTCTTTATAAAAGAATGGAAATTAAAAAAATATGATTATGTCAACATTTTATATAATCTATGTATAAGTATGTTTATATGAGATACAGACATTAATTCCTTTATGGAAGATGACTGTTCTTGAAAAAAATATGTTAAACTTAACTTTTGCTGTCTCACCTTTAATGTTTATTTTATATTGTGTGTGATATACATCAAATAACATGAACATAAAACTAAAAGTATTTGTTGTGCCACATATTTGATTCATTAACAGATAATGAGAGTGAGAGATTTGTACCGACCCAGCTTGGTGCCGCAGTTTTATCTTCCTCTATATCACCAGATGAAGGCCTTGTTGTCTTCTCTGAGCTACAGAGAGCCAGGCAGTGCTTTGTTCTGGAGAATGAACTTCATATTATATATCAGGTTATAACACAAGTTTATATCATCATTGAACGTATTTGTGATATATAGCATAAGTTTATATAATACTGGATTTAATCTAAGATATATAACACATGTTTATTTTATGCTAGATTTTATCGGTGATATGTTACATAGGATATATAACATGGGTTGATATTATGCTATATAATGGAGATAAAATCATACAGGGTATTATATGTGATATATAACACAGGTGAATATCATTCTGGATCTTATCTGTGATATATAACATAGGTTGATATCATTCTGGATCTTATCTGTGATATATAACATAGGTTGATATCATTCTGGATCTTATCTGTGATATATAACACATGTTGATATCATTCTGGATCTTATCTGTGATATATAACACAGGTTGATATCATTCTGGATCTTATCTGTGATATATGACACGGGTTGATATCATTCTGGATCTTATCTGTGATATATAACATAGGTTGATATCATTCTGGATCTTATCTGTGATATATAACTGTGATATATAACATAAGTTGATATCATTCTGGATCTTATCTGTGATATATAACATCGGTTGATATCATTCTGGATCTTATCTGTGATATATATGACATGGGTTGATATCATTCTGGATCTTATCTGTGATATATAACACATGTTGATATCATTCTGGATCTTATCTGTGATATATAACATGGGTTGATATCATTCTGGATCTTATCTGTGATATATAACATGGGTTGATATCATTCTGGATCTTATCTGTGATATATAACATGGGTTGATATCATTCTGGATCTTATCTGTGATATATAACACAGGTTGATATCATTCTGGATCTTATCTGTGATATATAACACAGGTTGATATCATTCTGGATCTTATCTGTGATATATGACACGGGTTGATATCATTCTGGATCTTATCTGTGATATATAACATAGGTTGATATCATTCTGGATCTTATCTGTGATATATAACTGTGATATATAACATGGGTTGATATCAGTCTGAATCTTAACTGTGATATATAACATGGGTTGATGTCATTCTGGATCTTATCTGTGATATATAACTTGGGTTGATATTATTCTGGATCTTATGTGTGATATATAACACAGGTTGATATCATTCTAGATCTTATCTGTGATATATAACACGGGTTGATATCATTCTGGATCTTATCTATGATATATAATACAGGTTGATATTATTCTAGATCTTATCTGTGATATATAACATCTGTTGATATTTTTCTGAATCTTATCTGTGATATATAACATGGGTTGATATCATTCTGGATCTTATCTATGATATATAATACAGGTTGATATCAGTCTGGATCTTAACTGTGATATATAACATGGGTTGATGTCATTCTGGATCTTATCTGTGATATATAACTTGGGTTGATATTATTCTGGATCTTATCTGTGATATATAACACTGGTTGATATCATTCTGGATCTAATCTATGATATATAATACAGGTTGATATCATTCTGGCTCTTATATGTAATAAATAACATCTGTTGATATTTTTCTGAATCTTATCTGTGATATATAACATGGGTTGATATCATTCTGGATCTTATCTGTGATATATAACACAGGTTGATATTATTCTGGACCTTATCTGTGATAAAAAACACAGGTTGATATTATTCTGGACCTTATCTGTGATAAAAAACACAGGTTGATATTATTCTGGACCTTATCTGTGATAAAAAACACAGGTTGATATTATTCTGGACCTTATCTGTGATATATAACATGGGTTGATATTATGCTACATATCTATTTTATGGCTATATTATTTTGTAGGAAAATAATTTACACCTAGACATTGTAGATATTTACTTTGCAGAATACAAAGAACATGTCATTATACCCCCGCACAACAAAGTTGTAAGGGGGGTATACTGGAATCAGCTCGTACGGCCATACGGCCGTACGGCCATCCGTCGGTTTTTCCTTGTCCGCCCAATAACTTAAGATTCCTTTGGTCCACAGTCTTCATATTTGACATGGAGGTTAGTCATGATTAGTAGATGACCCCTATTGATTTTGGGGTCACTGGGTCAAAGGTCAAGGTCACAGAGGCCTTGACTTTAAAAAGCTTGTCCGCCCAATAACTTGAGATTCCTTTGGCCCACAGTCTTCATATTTGCCATGGAGGTTAGTCATGATTAGTAGATGATCCCTATTGGTTTTGAGGTCACTGGATCAAAGTTCAAGGTCACAGGGGCCTTGACTAAAAAAAACCTTGTCCACCCAATAACTTGAGATTCCTTTGACCCACAGTCTTCATATTTGGCATGGAGGTTAGTCATGATTAGTAGATAACCCCTAATGATTTTGGCGTCACTGGGTCAAAGGTCAAGGTCACAGGGTCCTTGACTTTAAAAAGCTTGTCTGCCCAATAACTTGAGATTCCTTTGCCCCCAGAGCCTTCATATTTGGCATGGAGGATAGTCATGATTAGTAGATGACCCCTATTGATTTTGAGGTCACTGGGTCAAAGGTCAAGTTCACAGGGACCTTGACACTTAAAAAAACCTTGTCCGCCCAATAACTTGAGATTCCTTTGACCCACAGTCTTCATATTTGGCATGGAGGTTAGTCATGATTAGTAGATGACCCCTATTGATTTTGAGGTCACTGGGTCAAAGGTCAAGGTCACAGGGGCCTTGACTAAAAAAACTTGATTTTAAAATTTTCACATTTGAAGCATGGAGAATACATATCTTAGCAATGCACTGGCTTAGTAACCTCAGATTTGGCAGGGTGGTTGTCCTTGAGCTCTAAATGGCCACTGTTGATTCTGACAAAGTGGTATGCGGGGGTATTCACGCCATGACAGTGGCAGTTCTAGTTTTAATCACAGTTCTAGTTTTTATCATTAGCTCACCTGAGCATATGCTCAGGGTGAGCTATTAGGATCACTCGTCCCTCGTCTGTCGTCCGTCGTCCGTCGTCCGTTCACACTTTTCAAACGACATCTCCCCTGAAACCATAAGGCAGATCATAATGAAACTTTGCAGGGATGTTCCTTGTGTGAAGCCTTAACAAAGTTGTTCAAAGAATTCCATTCCATGCAGAACTCTGGGTGCCATGGCAACCAAAAGAAAAAACTTTAAACATCTTCTTCTAAAAAACCCAAAGAGCTAGAGCTTAGATATTTTGCATGAAACATCTTCTAGTGAGTGTCTACCAAGTTTGTAAATAAAAGCCCTGGGGTCAAAATTGGCCCCGCCCCAGGGGGTCATTGATTTTCTCTATATGCATATAGTAAAAACTTAAAAAATCTTCTTTTAAAGAACCCAAAGAGCTAGAGCTAAGATATTTAGCATGAAACATGTTCTAATGGATGTCTACCAAGTTTGTTCATATAAGAGCCCTGGGGTCAAAATTGGCCCCGCCCCAGGGGTCATTGATTTTCCTTATATGTGTATAGCAAAAACTTAAAAAATCTTCTTTGAAAAAAACCAAATAGCTAGAGTTTAGATACTAAGCATGAAACATCTTCTAGTGAGTGTCTACCAAGTTTGTTCAAATAAAAGCCCTAGGGTCAAAATAGGCCCCACCCTGGGGGTCATTCCTTTTCTTTGTATGTGTTATACAAAAATTTAAAAAAATCTTCTTTGAAAAAACTCAAATAGCTAGAGTTTAGATATTAAGCACGAAGCATCTTCTAGTGAGTGTCTACAAAGTTTGTTCAAATAAAAGCCCTGGGGTCAAAATTGGCCCCGCCCCGGCTGACATTGATTTTCCTTATATGTGTTTAGCTAAAACTTAAAAGTCTTCTTTGAAAAAACCCGAATAGCTAGAGTTTAGATGTTAAGCATGAAACATTTTCTAGTAAGTGTCTACAAAGATTGTTCAAATAAAAGCCCTTGGGTCAAAACTGGCCCTGCCCCAGGTGTGTCATTGTTTTTAACTATATGTGTAAAGAAAAAAACTTGACCAGCTAGACCTTAGATGTTAAGCATGAAATATCTTCTACATGTTCTAATGGGTGTCTACCAAGTTTGTTCAAATAAAAGCCCTGGGGTTTAAACTGGCCCCGCTCCGGGGGCCTATATACAGGTGAGAGACTTCAGGGCCATCATGACCCTCTTGTTTAATCTATTTAATCTAGTTCATGATTACAGAAGTTTATTCCTTAACTATTTTTGAAATACATCATGTATTTTAATTGACATGTGGAATGTTCTGTACTTTCATGTTTAGGTGACGCCTATATATGCTCAGATAGATTCTATAGATTGGTACCAGTACTTCAGTATATGGGAGACATTAACACTTGGTATGAGGAAGGTAGCTGAGTTGGTTGGTATACAAGAATCATTCCTGGCTAAAGCGGTACGAGGCCGGATACTCACAAAAACCTCTGCCCAGATGAAGCTGCTTGCAATACATAAGAGGTTTTATACTGCACTGGTGCTCCATGATCTAGTACAAGAAACCCCACTTGGTGTGGTAGCAAGAAAATACAACTGTAACAAAGGACAGTTACAGTCCCTACAACAATCTGCTGCTACATTTGCTGGTAAAGTTACAGATAATTTTTAACTTGACTGGGTTGAAACTTCACACATTATTTTATTGAGATTATAACATGATGGTCACAGGTTCCATCACCCTGACTTTCCTTTTCACAGAGTTATGCCTCTTTTCTTACTGTCAAGCACCTAGACTAGTCACGTGTGCTGTCTAATGGACAGCTCTTGTTAATACACATACTTTCAAATAACTAATTGCAAAACAAGTATTTTCTGTGATTGCATATAACGTCACACTGGTGCTGTAACAGTCTCAGTTATACTGGTTGGGCAAGATCTTAGAACAATCAGATCTTGGTGAGATAAGTCATAGAAGTAGAGAATATAGAAACTTTGAAATCATGACAGATTTGTTCACAAACAAACTTTGATAAATATTTATTAACTTAAAGCAAAATATATCATTTTTCACAAAGTAAAGGAAAAAGCAGCAGTTTTTAAATCAGAAAAACATCACAGATTGACTGACATTTAAAAAGAATCAATATATTAATTACAGGTATGGTAACTGTGTTTTGTGCTAGACTAGGTTGGTCCAACCTTGAGTTAATCCTGTCACAGTTCCAGAATCGTCTGACGTTTGGCGTTCAGAGAGAACTGTGTGATTTAGTTAGAATCTCTGCTCTCAATGGACAGCGAGCTAGGGTGATGTACAATGGAGGGTATCAAACTGTTGCAGCCCTGGCTAGTGCCCATCCTGCTGATATTGAGGCATTGTTGAAGAACTCGGCTCCTTTCCAAAGGTATGTCCTGGTTTAAACCTCTAAACTGCTGAAAACCGAAGTGGTTAGCCTTTTCCACCATTCTAGAGTCAGGCCAACCTTCACAGCCAGGCTTCTGACCAAGCTCTATACTGTTGGCTGATCAGCTTTAATTTTTATGCCCCCACAATGAGGGAGCATATAGCGTTGCACTTGTCCGTCCGTATGTACGTCCCGAAATCTTGTGAACGCAACTCCTCTTAAACCGGATGGCAGATTTTGCTTAAACTTACAGGGATGAACAACTTTCAGGTGTAGATGGTAGTAAAGGAAGGAATTTTTGCTGCGACCAAATTTAACAGAATTATGGCCCTTTGTGGATTTTTTCACTATATAGTATGTAGAAATTTTGTGAACGCAACTTCTCTTAAACCGGATGGCAGATTTTGCTTAAACTTCCAGGGATGAACAACCTTAATGTGTAGATGGTAGTAAAGAAAGGAATTTTTGCTGCAATCAAATTTAACAGAATTATGGCCCTTTTTTGATTTTTTCACTATATACTATGTAGAAATTTTGTGAACGCAACTCCTCTTAAACCGGATGGCAGATTTTGCTTAAACTTCCAGGGATTAACAACCTTAATGTGTAGATGGTAGTAAAGGAAGGAATTTTTGCTGCGACCAAATTTAACAGAATTATGGCCCTTTGTTGATTTTTAGTTTTCAACTTGTGGCACATGTAGTCCAAAAAATATTTGACCTAGAGTCATAAGATTGACAGAACAGTGGCGTGTGGGGGCATCCGTGTCCTATGGACACATTTCTAGTTCATCCTGATATCACTTAAATTTGATCATTGATAGTTCCAGACAAATCCATCAAAGAATTTCAGCATGTTAAGGGTTAAAAGTTTTATCCTGTTGAGTTTAAAATAGTAGGTTAACTTAACATGGATACTGTAACCCAACGAATATTCGCGACCAATTAATATTCGCTTTATTCGCGGATTTCCACGAAGCACGAATATTTGTTTGCGCGAATATGTCCGCACGATTTCGCGAATAAATTTGAGAGAAATTTTTATTTTAGACGTTGTTCATGCAAAACTACTTGACAGGATATATTCGAATTTTACGGGCACCTGTTAGGAAGTAATAAATTGTTATGAATATTGCCATAAAGCAATAAAAACACAAACTAAGTAAACTACTACTATTTTATAAATATCAAAAGAACTCTATGTCTATGGAGGCAGTAGAATACCGCTTTTAGTACAGGTGAGAAGTGCAGTAATTTGCCTTTTGTCCTCAAGTCCAGTGACCTCGACCTGTTTGGACCCTATAAAATAAATGTTTGAATAAATCGTTTGACAAAAGTGGGAAAACTATCGAGCATCACAAAAGGCTATTGTTTTTTGGATCCTTTTAAATAATTGTTTCAGTGAATTGTTAAGACAAAGGTGGTTTAAACCTATCGAGCATCACAAAAGGGTAATTGGTGTACATAATTACAAACAGTGAAATACAAGATGGTTTCATACTAGTATCGACTTTTATCCGTCAAACTTAACAGCCTGTATAGCTCAGTTGCTTTCCAGATCATGATCAGGCAAAAACGATGCCGAAACATCCCTGCATTCTGAGGGTTTATTTTTTATAACGACATGAAGACGAACGATGCGTACATGTACATATACAGTATAGAGAAAATGTTTCGCTGAATTGTGATAACAATTCACTTACCAATACAATATAAGGCTAGCGTATTGTTTATCCCATTTAAGACACCAATAATGACCTCAATTATTAAAGATTAATAGTCGGCTTATGGATTTTACGGCCCCATCGGACTTTCCAATCCGCGAATTTTTTTTTTCGGAAATCAAGAAAACGCGGAAATTAATATTCGCGAATATGTCCGACCTCGGCAAAACGCGAAAATTTGTATTCGCGAATATAAATTGGGTTACAATAAATGTGATACTTATGTGCCTTTGATATCTATTCGATGGGTTTATCAATCCACATTGGCTTACTAAGAGTATAACATTTAAATGTAAAGTTTTATAGAAAATGCTATGAGTCAAGATTTAAGGAAACGTTTATCAAAACACTGATACTGAATAAAACAACAAGTATGAAAAGATCTTCCAATGAATGGCACCAATACTTAGTTAACAGGTCTTTCATATTTCTTTAATATTAATGAATCAGTTATATAACAGTAACAAAAAGCAAGATACAGAGAGTGAGTGGGAGGCAGAACAGAGACGTAAAACCCGGTGTATCTTCCTGACGGGGCGTAAAGGGGTGACAGAGTACGAGGCAGCATTAGCTATAATAAGTGAGGCCAAGTCAATCATACAGGAGGAACTAGGGGGGCTGGGTATACAATGGAAGGAAGGTGATAGTGAACCTCCCCCTGTCTTAAAATCTCCAGTACTTCTTAGTCCATTAGCAGGTGTGTGGATTTATTAATTAATATTAATAGCTTTTGTACTTACCATTTGTAAATAAAGATTTAATGAATAAGTTTTTTCAAAGCTGAAGTTTTTGTGCAAGTAATATTATTGGATTATAAATTCAATTTTTGCAAAACTTCTTTAATGATATTTTTTATGTAGGCAGAAATATGTTTTTCTTTTAAGCCACAAGAAAAGATAAAAGAAGGCTAAACTCCAAAACAATTAAAAATAAGAGCCCACCAAACAAGGGAGACAAATCCAATAAACCATCTTCGTCATGTGTTATTTCCCCTCCTAACAATAAATCAAATATAGAAAGCAGAGAAGAGGTTAAAGCCACAACAAAACAAGACACAGAGTCCTGTAAAGATGTAGCCACCAATAAATCAATTAATGATAGCGAAAGTTCTAAAGAAATTTCAAATAAACAGAATATGTCATCTAAATTAAAGAAACAAGAAATTGAAGATAGAACACCAAGTGTGTTATCAAATTATAAATCTAAGGACAGTAAAATTACTAATGAAAATGTGAAAAACTGTAGACACTCCATGGAACTAAATGAAGATAATGTAGTTAATAAAGTGGACAAAAGAAACAAAATTGTATCTACTAAAGAAAAGACTTCAGTAGTTACAACTGCCATTATTGAAAAAATACCAGAACATTTCAATAATCTGCAGGTTTCAAATGCAGGTATATGTCATGAAAGCCCGGTAAGTAACACAGTTGAACAAATATCTGTTAGTGTACAAGATAATAAAGAAAATGAAAAACAATTAATCAATACAGAAATTAGTGAATTATCAAGTGATATTGTGAATGAAGCAGCAAATAGTGTGTCTCCTGAAGATATTACAGGAAAGTTGGGACACAGTAACGTTCATAAACCAACCATCAGATATAAAGAGTCTTCAAGGACAATACCTGTAAAAAACCAAACAACAGTAAATAAAAATCAAACTGATTTTATTGGAATACAAAACAAATATGTTAAAGGGTTACAAAAAGAACATAAAAATGACAACTATAGAATACAAGCTTGTTCAGAAACTGCAAAAGTTCAAAATAATGAAGAAAGAGAGTTACATGATCTGAATACCAAGAATGAAGGAGATACATCTAAGCATACAGTGTCTGGTGAAACTGGCCAAGCTTTAAATGACATAGTTGATGAAAATGATTTTGGAGAGAGCTTTATGATTGATACTCAAAGTTTAAACAGTTTAGAAAATTCAAAAAACAAGAAAGGAACAATTGGAATATCAGTAGTTGTTGAAGAAATTGTGCAAGAGCAGAATGTCAAAGTTAAACAATTAAATGATAATCATAATGATGAAAATGCACTAACTGAAGCATTATTTTCAGAAGACCTTGAAATGGACAGTTTTGATTTATCTAATGGGAAAATTTTACCTTGTGAACCAGCTCAGGAAAATGACCATTTTAAAAAGCCAGCTTGTAATTCACATGAAAGTCAGATTCTAAGAAACAGATCTACTCTAGATGCTAATAACGGAGCTAGGTTTAATGTGTCAAACAGTGGTAGTGATGTTGATGTATCCCATAATGCATTGGACATGAACATATCTCAGTGCTCTAGTGAAGACATGTTTAACCAATCATGTGACTTGGTTGCTGCCAGTAATTATGAGAGAGTTGTTTTGTCAGATGATTCGAGAGTGGGAGATATTAACGACTCATACCAAGATTTGCACATTCCTTACCAAAGTGGACAAGAAAAATGTTTTGAAGATGTGGACAAAGCTGTTCCATATGCTGCTGATGTTGTAACAAAACAACACATCCAGAATCATGGTGCATCAATGTCAAAATCATGTATTCGTGCTGCTAACTTTCCTGCCATCGGACAGCAATTAAATGTTTTAGGTCAGTTTTCCAGCCCTGCACCAGCTAGATTGAAATGTCCTGAAATATTACATGAGGACTTAGCTATGGCTCTTGAGATGGGAGAATCTTTTTCATCTACATTTGATGCACCAACACAAACTGAAGCAAAACATATAAACAGAAACATTGTAAATGAAGTAAACTGTGATGATGAAGATAATTTTGGAGATTCATTAACTATTTCAATGGTAGAAAAGGTTCTGGACGAGCCCATTGAAACACCACATCCTTCTCATTCAGATAAACAAGTCTCAGCCAATGTAGAAATTCATAGCAGTAACAATATAGATAAAAGTCAAAAGCAATTCTGTGATAAAAATTCAAAATTTGAATCTTTAATGAAGTCAAAGCATACTGTGATAAATAAATCATTATCTATTAACAGTAAACATTTAGAAATGAGTAAAAGTTTAGAGAAAGAACAGTTTGTAACACCAAAGCGAATGGCTGTTAAGAGATTGAGATGCAGCCCTGCAGTTAAAGACACTAAGATACAGAAAATCCAAGATGTTGGTTACTCCACACCAGAAGCTTTGGTAAAACATAATAACAGAACTAATAAAGTTGAAGGCAATGATAAAAACAATTTAGATCAGAGTAAAAGTGATCATAGAATAAAGAGGAAAAGAAAAAGTACAGACAATGTGACTCCTGTTTCTGGGAAGTCAAAGAGAGGATCTGTGTGTGAGATGAACACAAGTACAGGGAGTGATTGTGTCCCACCAACCCCTCCAGATGACACACCTACAAGTTCACTACTTACATCAGTTAGAACACCTGCTAGGTCTCCTCTAGTGAAACTAACACCTGTTTCTCCATTCAGCCCAAAAATTAGACAGAAAAACAAAAGTCAGCAAAGTTACGTAAAAAATAAGATTGATGTCAAAGAGCCAAACAATGTAAATGGTATCAAACCAGCAGTAACTAATAACACTGTAATAGATGCTAATAAGAAACCAATTACTGATAAAAAGACATATGTTAGCACAAAGTCAAAAGATATGGACAAACATGAATGTTCTGCTAATAATAAAGCAAATCCAACAAATCTAATTAATGAAGAAACTAAAAGTAACATAACAGGAAATGAAAGAAAGGAAACAGAAGCTAACAATAGACCTGTGGAAACAGAAGAAAATGACAAAGATCATAAAAGTGATGATAATGATGATGAAAATGAAGATTTTTTGTCACCCTCGTTCATAGATCCGGATCAATCAGGAATTACATTAACACAGTCATCATTTAGCATCATTGATGTATGTGGTGATAAGAGGTTGTTTAAAACATTTATCATGGAGTGGAGGACAAAGTCAAGGTATGCCATATCACTGGCATGTGAGAGATTAGCACCTGATTGTCCTGGTGGGGGTATTGGAGGTAACTTCAAACAAGGTATGTATACAAATGTAGAAAATTAGATAATGTCATATTGTATAAGGCAAACATATATTGATATATAGTCATCAATGCAATATGAATGTTTATAATCGTAATACTTGTATGTAAATGTGGTATATTACAAAGTATGTATATGTTTGTGCATTTTTCTACCTTGAACTCAAACATATAGTCTGGAAAAATAAGATGTAGTTTGGTATTTGTTTAGTCAGTTACTGATTAAGTGCCAAATTTTTGACAAATTAATGAAACATACCCAATAAATATAATGAAGTGTATATACATTTTACTTATTAAAGTCGATTTTCTGTATATTTGTTAGGGGAGACACCAGCAAGGCAAGGTTTGAAGGACAGTGGTATATCAGTGGAAAGCCTGGGTATAAATATAGTTGGTCTGGCAGTCTCCTGGGAAAATAGAGATGCCTACTATATCTCCTTTACTCATGAACAACCTCAAGGTTTGTACTTTACTCATGAACAACCTCAAAGTTAGTACTTTACTTATGAACAACCTCAAGGTTAGTACTTTACTCATGAACAACCTCAAAGTTAGTACTTTACTCATGAACAACCTCAAGGTTTGTACTTTACTACTCATGAACAACCTCAAAGTTAGTACTTTACTCATGAACAACCTCAAGGTTAGTACTTTACTCATGAGCAAGGTAAGAATGTTTGTCATGAAGAACCTCAAGGTTAGTACATTTGCTCATGAACAACCTCCTGGTTAGAATTTTACTCATGAACAATCTGAAGGTAAGTACTTTACTCATGAACAACCTCAAAGTTAGTACTCTACTGATGAACAACAGTAAGGTTTGTACTTTACTCATGAACAACCTCAAGGTTAGTACGTTACTCATGAACAACCTCAAGGTTTGTGCTCCTCAAAGTTAGTACTTTACTCATGAACAACCTCAAGGTTTGTACTTTACCCATGAACAACTTCAAAGTTAGTACTTTACTCATGAACAACCTCAAGGTTAGTACTTTACTCATGAACAACCTTAAAGTTAGTACGTTACTCATGAACAACCTCAAGGTTTGTGCTCCTCAAAGTTAGTACTTTACTCATGAACAACCTCAAGGTTTGTACTTTACCCATGAACAACTTCAAAGTTAGTACTTTACTCATGAACAACCTCAAGGTTAGTACTTTACTCATGAACAACCTTAAAGTTAGTACGTTACTCATGAACAACCTCAAGGTTTGTGCTCCTCAAAGTTAGTACTTTACTCATGAGCAACCTCAAGGTTAGAACGTTTGTCATGAACAACCTCAAGGTTAGTACATTTGCTCATGAACAACCTCCTGGTTAGAATTTTACTCATGAACAACCTCAAGTTTTGTACTTTACTCATTGTTAGTACTTTATTGATGAAGGACTTTGAGGTTAATACTTTTCTTATGAACAACCTCAAAGTTAGTACTTTACACATGAACAACAGCAAAGTTAGTACTTTTCTCATGGTTACTACTTTACTGATGAACAGCTGCAAGATTAGAACTTTACTTATGAACAACCTCAAAGTTAGTACTTTACTTATGAACAACCTCAAAGTTGTACTTTACTCATGAACAACAGCAAGGTTTGTACTCACTCATGAACAACCTCAAGGTTTGTACTTTACTCATTGTTAGTACTTTACTGATGAACAACCTCAAGGTTAATACTTTACTGATGAACAACCTCAAGGTTAGTACTTTACTAGTGAACAACAGCAAAGTTCATACTTTTCTCATGGTTAGTACTTTACTGATGGACAACCTCAAGATTAGTACTTTACTTATGAACACATCAAAGTTAGTACTTTACTCATGAACAATATCAAGGTTTGTACTCCAGAACAACCTAAAAGTTCGTACTTTAATCATGAACAACCTCAAGGTTAATACTTGTACTAATGAACAACCTCAAGGTTTGAACTTTACCTATGAATACCTCAAGGTTTGTTCTTGACTCATGAACAACCTCAAGCTTTATTCCTTAGTTCATTTTTTTGTTTACACTCACTAGCTGTACAGATTATATGGCCCTATGAATCTTATCCATGGGGGGCGCTTAGTAATTGCAGGAGACTTTATATTTAATTCGTCATTTTGGGAAATAATACTTTTTTTTTTAATACTTTTTTTTTTGTTGTTGTAAAATTAAACTGAACATTTCTTTGGTATACACTTTGTAAAATACTGTTGCACTTTGTTAATATGGCTGCTAATAATTTCAAACACAATGAGGCATATTTTATCTATTTCCTAGGAGATCCAGATGACACTTTAGCCCCGCCCCCTTCAGATACTGATATCAGTATTGCAATCAGAATTAAAGCTGTGAAATCTGTGTTACAACAAGCTGTCTGTAAACAACAACCTGTAACCATGGCAATGTTTGATGTGAAAACTCATTATAGGTAAATTATAAAATTATCAGTAATAAAAGTCTATTGATAGGACTTAAAAAGTGGAAAAGACAACTGATGGTTTTATTGAGCAGAGATAAAAGGCTGTTGATGAACCCCTTCCAAGTATATACAGGTTTTATCATAACATTATGGGCAGTGTCCAAATCCCATGATATTTTGCGTTTAAATGAGATATGTTTTAGTCTTCTATAATTTGTCAATTAATGTTGTGAAATGCATATCCTTAATGGAATAAGTATTTTGATTTGGACATTTTATGTACATGAATTCCATTATCCATTACCTTTCACTTCTGTCTTAACAAAACTGTAACCATGTGATTTTAGAAACCTTCAGAAATATAAATTATCAGTATAAATCCAATTTGCTTGTGCGCAACTGGGGTTTATTTTGAGATTGAAAGTTGATTATTGCATTTTTAAAGTAGAACAAAAGCCATAATGTCAAATCTTGTTGACGATTTTGAACTATGATAATGTTAATAACCAGTGTGTATTTTAACTCAGTGAATTTATAGTGTGAGGATGAATAAAGTGATGTAAGCCACAAGTTTACATGAATTTATGATATATTACAGGGCATTGGCAGAAGGTTGTGGTTTTACTCCGAAGGGACAATGTGAAGACCCGAAGGTGGCATGCTGGATGTTAGATCCTGGAGTAAAGGAGAAAAATCTTCATCGTATGGTGACTAATCTGTTACCTACAGAAGTTCATATGTTACATGGTATATCCCTTCCTCCATACTTTAATTTCATTTTTAAGAAGAATCAGAAAACAAAGTTTATTAAATTTAATGTCATATCTTTTAAATGCTAAAAGAAAAAGTTTTATCAGTGTACAAATATATATAAGTGGCTAGGTCCTAAGAAAACTACTTGTACTTGTTTACAGTTGTTGGAGCTGTAAAATCTTTGCACTTGTTCAAACTAGCTTGTACCTTACAAAAATAGGTTTTTTTTTTATATTTATCTCTGTTTTCACAATGAATTACATAATGTGTGGATGAAACCAAAAAAGTCAGTATTATAATAAAAAATAAAGTGTTGTATTTAACTCATTGATATTGAATGTTTGATGACTTGTACAGGTATAGGTGGTGGTATAGGTGTAAGCAGTCTGGGTATGAGCCCTCAGAACCCAGGTTCAGGCAGGTACCGTGCCACGACGGAGGCTGTACTGGTGCGACACCTAGGGGAGTATTTCAGGGCGTGTCTAGAGAAAGAGGAGATATACAGTGTGTTTACAGACGTTGAGATGCCATCTGCTGTCACATTGTGTAGGATGGAACTTAATGGGTTTGGTTTGTACATTGATCAGATATTTTACATTTTAATGATTTTATAGTATAAATTATTTGTAGAAAGGCAAATGATTTTTTGGTATTTTTCGTTAAAGTTAGGGTTTAGGTGAATTGATTTACTTCGTAAAATTTTTTATTGGAATAATTTGAATTTGTTATAAATATTGTGATAAAAAATCCTTAAATAAATGTTCTTGGAAATAGCCTTGTTACTGAAATGGTGCTTTAAAAGAAACATAATGAAAATCATAGAGTTTTAATGACAATGTAAATGTCAGTACTATGTTATTGTAGATCTATGTTTAAATGAGTTTTACACTCTTTGTGCATGTGTTACACATTCTATGTCTATTTGTGATCATTAAATAAATGACTGTGACATGTTTACGCAACATCTACTGTGATAGTTATTACAGATATAACCTCTTAACAACTGAATTATAGAATACATATTTAGCTTCATATTCTTTAGCTTTGTCCAAGTCTATCATTGATATGTGCATGCTGGAAGACATGTAGTTTTCTGATACATTGACAATTCTTTTATTCTGCTGTAATTTATTCATATAGTAGATTATTTTAATGTGAGTTACCTCCCCTTGCAGGGTTCAGTCAAGATGAGAGTGAGAATCAGAAGACAGTTATGACAGCAAAGTTATCTGCCCTTGAGGAACAAGCTTATATGTTAGCTGGCCATCCATTCTCACTGTCAGCTACTGAAGATGTTGGCCAGGTTTGATAATAGTTATCTCCCTTTATAGTTATCCTTTGTTATCTCCTTTTATACTTTATCCTTTGTCACACCTCCTTATATAGACAATTTGAAGCCTGCCCATTTATTTTAGGTATGAGTTGTCAGGCTCTTAGTTACAAAATAGATACATGTCTTAACATTCCTAACATCTGAAAGTATTGTAGTTAGAGACAGCATTTAACTAACAAACATGGTTAGTGATGCAGCTTTTCATGTAATGTTAATTGGTCTATAATGGAAGATCTGTTGTTTAATAAACAAATACTTTGATAGTATTTAGTAGTAGACATCACAACCAATCACAATAGAATTTTATATGGATGTTATTGGCAAGTGCAAGATACTTGATCAGATATAACACATATTTATATAGCAGATAATTAATTGTTCTAGAACAAAATATTACTCATTAATTTAATGTTCATACTGAATCACTTTGAACTTTTAAGGAATATTTATAAGAATATACAAATGATGCATTTCTATTGTTTTTATCAATATCTGAATTTTTTATGGAGAATAATTCTATTTGGACTAATCCAATTTGAAGATGTCATTTTCATATATATTTATTATGATAATTTGTACATTTATAGGTTTTGTTTATTGAGTTACAATTACCACCCAATGGAGATCCAACATCTACTCATGGCCCTAGATCATTAGCTCCTAAAAGAGGCGGTGCTCCAAGGAGGGGGCGGGGCAAACCTCAGTACAGCACATCTAAAGATATACTAGAGAAGTTAAAGAAGCTCCACCCCCTGCCTGGTGTCATTCTAGAATGGAGGAGAATAACTAATGCTCTCACTAAAACAGTATTTCCTTTACAGAAAGAAAAGGTAAATTTTGAAGATTTCAACTCGCAACTTGCAATTGAACAAAATTTGAACATTTAGTACAAGAACCTGCTTACTTTGTAAAAGCTTTTTATAAATGCTTATAAGTTCATGCGTGTGTATCTTAAAAGAGCTGTAACAACAGAGAATTTTGGAATTATCTTTTTGTAACTTTTATAGTTTTTATATTGGTTTATCATGTAACTACAGCATCAGACATGAAAGTCAAAATTTTTAGAATAGTTGGTCGTAGTCATAGTGTTTGTTGTTACCCAGGACTTAAAGAAATCACAGTATCTGCTGTTAATCAAATCATGCTGCATTTTATGTTATAAATAGTATAAACTAAAATATAAGGAAGTTGAGAGTCCACAACCAAACAACATATATACATCTGTTTGTATGATTTAATCATAGGTTCTCTGTGATTGGTTATCAATGTATCGTATCTATGGAGATTGTCAACTTCACACGGCAACAGGGAGAGTAAGCATGACAGAACCCAATCTACAGAATGTACCCAAAGATTTTGATATCCTCCTGCCAGGCATGTATTGTAACGTTGTTTTTTTTGTTGGTATTTTAAATCCTAATGATAATCATAAATTGACTGTAGTGTTACAGTTCGATAACATCATGTCATGCAAAAAGGTGTACCTGAGTATTTTAATCATGAATTTTCCTTTGCTCTGGTACATGTGTTCAATGTGAAATGTTATATACCAGGTGTGCTAAAGGCTATTTATTTTTTATGCATATTTACTATTTTTTCTTACTTTTAATGAAAAAGAAGTAAAATTAGAGCACAAATTTGTACTTTAATTTTTAAAGAAGAAGATTTGCAATGTAAATAAATTGTTTTAATGCTGACAATAACAGTACTAAAGTCTGATGTTTTATGTAATCTAGATTTGATAGGTGAAAGTCCACCTCCAAACACTGCTGCTCCAGTTGGTAAAAGAACAAGGGCAGGTAACTCTAAGCTCAGACAGATAATTGGTCCGAGGCAAGTTGCCATGGTTACAGAAGAAAACACTGGTTCCCAGTTTTGTGTTAGTATGAGACATGCTTTCATACCTTTTAAAGGTAAGATAACATTCTGACTGGATTTTTTTAAAGAATTGTGACATTTGAAATTTTACCAAATTTGACTCTCAGAAGTATTTTTGCAAATTTCTTAATGTAAGAATTTTGTTGTAAGAGAAATAAAAGTCTCAAAATATGCTTTAATTTATAACTATTTTAACATGTTGATGACCAGGTGGTGTTATGCTGGCAGCAGATTATTCTCAGCTAGAGTTACGTATGATATCTCACCTGTCTAAAGATCCCAAGTTAATTGGTATATTAAACAAGGATGGAGACGTGTTTAAGTTGATCACAGCTCAGTGGAAAAACATCAAACCAGAGCAAGTTACACCAGAACAGAGAGCACAAGCTAAACAAGTGAGACTGCATTTTATAACTAATACATTACATTCATTTGATAGTTGAACTTTATCAAAATTTTATATTTTTCCATTGTTTCTAAACACACAAGGTGTATTTTGCCTGCCTTTATGGTGCTCTGTTATTTGTTTCTAAACACTATTATTGTTAAACCTTTCCATGTACCAAGAGTAGCCTAATGTGCTAACTGTAGAATGTTATGGTATGATATATGGTACATGTATTTTTAAATATTTAGGTACATTATGGTATGGTATGTTTGAATATTTAGGTATGTTATTGTATGATATATTGTGTATTTAAATATTTAGGTAATTATGATATTATATGGTATATTAAGAGGATATTTTTTCGTTTGAGTGAAATATGGAATATATTTTCACGAAACATGATAAAATGCCACATATTTTCACGAGCCGGGACGGCGAGTGAAAATATGTGGCATTTTATCATGTTGAGTGAAAATATATACCATATTTCACGAAAATCGAAAAAATAACCTTTTTATTTAATTTCATTTTCAAAGAAAAATGGTTACGAACTATAATTCTTGCTACGCAACAGCAAATGTACATAGCGCAGTAATATATTATTGCGTCTTGTTTTGCACGCGATATTTGGCGCTACATGGTGACGTCACGTAAACAACTGTTTAAACGTCTGTACAGCGTTTATAACATAATTAAAGATATTGGTGTTCGGATTAATTTTCTTAGTTAGACCATTTTCTATCATTCTAGATAGTTTTCAAAGCAAAATTCAACAAAAAGTTGTTTTGTATTTATCAGATTTTTCAAACAAAATGGCGAAAGAAGTCCCTTAAAGTAAATATGAGTTTTGACTCCGCCCACTTTCATATTTATATTTCATATTTATTTAAAAAAAATATGAAATATATTTGAATGATATAGCACCATATTTCATGGGTAAAATTAAATAATTAGGTATATTATGGTATGGTATATTTGAATATTTAGGTATGTTATGATATGATATATGGTATATTTAAACATTAAGATATTTTATGGTATGATATATGGTATATTTAAATATTAAGGTATGTTATGGTATGATATATGGTATATTTAGGTATGTTATGACATGATATATGGTATATTTAGGTATGTTATGGTACGATATATATATGGTATATTTAGGTATGTAATGACATGAACTATGGTATATTTAGGTATGTTATGGTATAATATGTGGTATGTTATAGTATGGTATGATATATGGTATATTTAGGTATGTTGTGACATGATATATGTAAGTGTATTTAGGTATGTTATGGTATGATATATGTATATTTAGATGTGTTATGGTATGATATATGTATATTTAGATGTGTTATGGTATGATATATGTATATTTAAAAATTAAGGTATGTTATGGTACTATATATGGTATATTTGAATATTCAGGTATGTAATGACAGGGTATATGGTATATTTAGGTATGTGACAGTATGATATATGGTATGTTTAAATATTCAGGTATGTTATGGTATGATATATGGTATGTTTAAATATTCAGGTATGTTATGGTATGATATATGGTATTGGTGCAAAGGCTCTTGGTGAACAGTTAGATGTAGAGGAGAATGATGCTGCAGTGTTTATAGAAACATTCAAGGCAAAATATCCTGGTAATATACTAAATATATTCTACAGTTTAAATTCATTTCAAGACAAAGTCAATTGTATTTATGTGCTTGATGAAATATAACAAATATCAAACTTAACTTTTTCTAAATGCATTCTTCAAACTGAGTATCAGGCTATAGTTGTTTTTATTTTTGAAATATTGATAAAAAACCTTTACAAGTTTTCAAAAGTCAAGACCTCACCCAACACAGATAAACAATGGAAATAATTTGTAATCTTGTAAAGTAAAGGTAAATATATTATTAGCTGTTTAGGACTGGATGTTTATTTGATGTTTATACACTATATATATAATTGTTTATCTATCATTGTTATTGTATTATTCAGGAATGAGAACTTTCCTTAGACAGACTGTAGAAGACTGCAGGACAAATGGATATGTTAAAACCATGCTTGGTCGTAAACGCTATCTTCAGACAATCACCAGTACAAATCCTCATGCTCGTGCCCAGGCAGAACGTCAGGCAGTAAACACCACAGTGCAAGGTTCTGCTGCTGACCTTGTCAAAATGGCCATGATCAAGATAGATGAAAGGCTTGCAGAAATGTTTCCTAATACACAGTATACTCATAAACATAAACTTAGTGGTAAGATTTTGTTATTTGATAAACTTAATACTGAATATAGTGTTAAGATTTTATTTTATTTTCCTAAACATAACCATTACAGTAAGATATTTTCATTCTGGTACAATTTACACCCATACACATAGACTTGATGATAAGGATTTGTTTCTTTGTCCATAGTGCACTAACTTTCATAAACATAACATTAACTTAAAGGTCCTGGTACTTCAGATATTTTTATTTCAGATATTCAGTTAACTCAGTGATAAGGGGAATTTTACTCAGTAGATTTATTTTATTTCAGTTATTCAGATTACTAGGCCGTCAGGGGAATTTTACTCAGTAGATTTATTTTATTTCAGTTATTCAGATTACTCAGTGGTCAGGAGAAATTTACTTGGTAGTAAAATTTTTTCAGTTATTCAGTTTTTCATAGGTAAGGGAAACTTTTTCTCATAATAAGAGGCTATTTCAGGTTAAACCCCTCCTTAAAAAACCAACCAATGGAGGGTACCCTTTTGTTACAGCTACTGAGAGTTAATCTTAGGTAACAAATCTCATGTTCACATGTGCAACCTTTTTTGAGGGGCTACAAAATACTTTACGATCAAAGTTTGGGCCCAAACTGGGGGAAACTTAAAATTTAAACTCTGAAAAGTTAACCCAAACTCAGGAAAACCCTTTTACATTTTATATTTTCAAACAGAAAATTTTTGTTTTCTTCCCCGAAAATTTTGTCACTTTAAAATTTTTGTTTCTTTCCTTTACCTTTTGAACAACACATGGATTTAGTTTTATATTTCATAAAAATACTTTTTCGAAATGAAACGGTTCTATATGGCCTGCAGAAATTAAATTTGTGGTTACACTTTTTTTTAACATAATTATGTCAAAAAGAATTTCTACCTCATTTTTATTAGAATTATGTTACATATTCTATGGTTTACTGGATATCATTTTGTTTATTTACCCGCTTATTACAACTTATAATTTTAATAATTGAAGCAAATTGATTTAACAATACATTTTCTTTGTAAAATGCTTCAACTATTGTTTGTTAAAAGTTATTTGGACTGTTTGTTTGTAATTTTATCATGTACCATTGTAAAAAAGTTGTTGGACTGATTTATTTTATTTTAATTATTCAACCAATGTTGTTCACTAAATGCAGTGAATTCTTTATAAATTGTCTTTATATCATTTAATCACTGTTAACTTATTGGATGTCAGTTTGTTAAATTTGCTTAAAACCAAAAAATGAAATAAATATTTTTGTTTATCCATACAACTTAGTTTTTTATGCTTCTCTGTAAAATCTATATATTGAAAGAGAGAAAACCTGGTTTATTTGTTTTACTAATATTTGTTGGTAGCCATGGTCTTTCTGCTGAATCTTGCATGAAAACTATTACATACACTGTTGTCAAAATTCAAAGTATATGTTGAAATAAATTATTTAAGTGTGTGTGTTTGTTTAGAAAATTGCAATTTCATTCAGTCTTTATAGAGCATATAGTAAAAACAACTTTTGTCTGGAGTGCTGGCAATGGCCAAGGTCACATTGGAAAATTCTGCCCAGAAATGTACTTTTGAAATATCAGATATTGCGTGGTTTAGGGTCAATATTTGAAAGGTCAAGATACATATGAAACAGTTAATACCTTATAATTGGAGATGTGTCATATTGGATGAGATAATTACAATAGCAGACATCTCTAATATATTGATGGTCAACAAATGAATTTAGTTATAAGCTTGACATTTTAGAGAATCCCATCTTGAAAACCTGAAATGAACTTTGACAAATGAAAGTAATATGAAAATCAAAGCTAGCAATTAAAATAATGTCTTTTACGTAGTATTTTTTATGAAAGGAAACAATTTTAATGATTACAACTTATGATGGGTAGTTTCCAGTATACCTCCACCAGAAATACCCGACAGTTGCCATTTTAACAGTGTCTGAAAGACTTCAAACCCAACCAAAATAAATCACCAACTATAAATATTTCACCATATATTTATTGGTATAATCTCAACAAAATAAGAGTAACAATATTTAGAATAGTTAATAAAATAGTGAAAATAACACAAGATAACTGCTGATAAAATATAATTATTCCCTCCACTAAAAAAATTAGTTTACCTTTTTAAAATGAAAAAGATATTAATTAAAAGAGATAGAACAATATTTTTAAAATTATGTTAACAAATATTCCAAAACGTGAGAATGTTGTTTATTTCTTAATTAAAGAATGCTTACCAGATTCAAGATTTTATATATAAAAAAAGAATAGTTAGGTTTTACAATTAAATGTGTATGTTTTAAGTTGATTGGTATTGTGACCAAAGCTTCTTTTTTTCTCTTAATAAAACTAATTATTTAGTCTTTTCTCTCTCTGTATATATATATATATATTATTTATATAACTTTATTACACTGGATTAGGATAAACATTTTCCTCAGCATACCTGGAACATATCAACACAAACGTACCAACAACTGTGTAAATAGAGAAATGAAAATATCACAGAATAAATTATAATAAAGCATGTGACACAAGCACTAAATATAGAAACATTAACACAATGTTACATCATCATTAAATATATATGTAGTAATGCCAACACAGTGTTGCATCATGACTAAATATAGTAACCGTCAAACTGGCCTATAATCTAAGCAATTACACACATAATATATTTCATACAAATTTGTACATTTGTGAAAACGTGCAAGACCAAATATCATGGCACAGCAAGACTTTATAACAAAGTTCAATAATATATTTTCTCGCAGTCGTTTACATAAGGTTCTCAAAGGTGCACAGGTAGACGGCAAGTTGTTTTTCAGACTGACCTTTTACCCATGTATATTTTACTTAAAACATGCGGTACTCTGCTGACATTTTACACAACTAGCTGTAACCATTACTGCCTTCTCTTTCTGTTTAACAAAAATTTAATAACATTTCTAGAAAATTCATAATTCATACATTTCTTTTATCTTCATACTATAAAATTAAAGAAAATGTCAAAAAAATTATTTCAATATAAAACTACAAACATAAGTTTACAATATTTACAGCATGAACATGTACAATATCGATTATATTTTGGCATGTTAAAAGAATGACAGGATAGCACATCCAGCTAAACTTTCTTGTTAAAGCAATTACATCAAATATTTGCATCAACTGTTACATAGATATACATTTGGAATGTATCAAACACAGGTACATGTATATAACAAAATAATCCTAACAGAGTACAACTTTCAAAATTAATTGACATAATATACCAGTTATAAACAAGTCTGAAAAAGGTTCTTAATGAAATACTAAGAAAACAACATTAAGATTAAATCTTGTCATGGTAGAAGTGCAATTTAGAGGAAACTTGTATCCTGCAGATTTAGTCTAATTTAAATTTGTGTGACAGATGATTGTTGTAAGAACCCAATATTACAACTACAAAGTACATTCTACTGTACATGTGACTTGTATTAAAGCAATGAACAGAATAGAACCTTGATTTTTATTTCACTTAAGCATTACAAGCTAGTTTAAAGCAAAATGAAATACAGAATGAAAAGTATAAGATAAATACCATAAAACACGAGAACCATGAGGTAAATATAAAATGTATACATTGATAATCATTACACTTATACTGTATACATATTGCACAATGCATTGGCACTAATTAAAAATTAAAATGTCAATACGAGGACTTTATTTTATAATCAACACAACAGGAGCTTAGCCTTCTTATATCTCTGAATACAGAAACTAAAAAACACGACACCAAACACATAATTTGTCCAAATACATGTTAAAGGTATGTTGTCATATTGATTTTTTATTTCATGATATACATACACAATGAAAAATGCACAAAATGTTTGATAAAATAAGAGTAAAATTATTTGTAGTAGATTTACATGAAAATTGATCATGAATGCCCGGATTTACATGAAATAAAGGCTAAATTAAATGTAAATGTTTGACATAAGCACAAAACTGGTAATTGATTTAGATGAAAACAAATTATGCAGGTTATATACATCAAATATATACAACATTGATTTGCTTGTTTTCAACAATAAACATTCATGTGAATTCGCATAAAATAAACAAAACAATTAAACAGATCTACGTACATAAAAAGTACAATAAGTTTAATAATTGATTTATATGAAATAAAAACAACAGTTAATTGATTTACATGATATACCAATACATTACACCAATACATTAATTGATTTACATGAAATACACAATATGTTAATTGATTTACATGAAATACACAATATAATAATTGATTTACATGAAATAAACACAATACGTTAATTGATTTACAGATTAACCCGCATCATTAAACTGTGGACCACTGCTTTGCGTGAGTCTATGTAATCCCTGAACAAAATGAGTTCCCTAAACTCTGGAAAACTTTAAATGCGAGCTGGAAATGTTCCAGAACGATTAAACTCACAGTGACTATAAGAAAATGCCTAGTTTAAATCAAAGACCTACAAAATTTCAAAATGTTTTTTATAATAGCTAAAGTGCTAAATTTTGATGGGTGTTTTTTTTCTTTAGGTAAATTTTTTTGTTCCCTGTGTCCTATTCTCTTAGGTAAGTTTTTAGCTGAATTGTCATTAATATTCAACATTGGTTATAGCAAATATAAAGTCTACCTATGTAATTTTTCAGACATTTAACAATGGTATATACACCTTTATTTTCAGCCTTGCTGTTCTCTTAATTATTTTACATTTTCTATGATTATGTATAACTACAAGAAAGTTAAATAACTTCATCACTGACTGATAAAAGTGACACTGGAAGGATATTAAACATAACTTACTACTAAAGATTGTCATCAAGACATACTCAACTGACTCCAAAAATATTTTTCAACCTTTCAAAGTACTTTAATTACACTGAAAACTTCTTAATGTTGTTTTTTTTAATTGAACATAATGTTAAAGTTTTTCTTTAATTGGACTATGACATTGGTTAATTATTGTAATTGCTTTACCCTGCATTGAATTAGAAACTATCAGGTACCAATATAAGGGATAATCAATTTACTAAAATAGAACAGACAACACCATCAACCATACACTGTACAGACATGCTGAAATAACTTTTCACTATGACCCCAGTCATAAAATGAGCCCGGCCAGACTGTAAAGATGTGCAGGCTGAAATGTCCCAAGTCATTACTGAGCCCGGCCAGACAAGCTGAAATGGCTTTTCACAATAACAGGAATTGTACAAATGACTAAAGAATTTCATATAAAGTCATATATCAGTAGTTTACAGTAGCAGATAGTGTAAGAAAACTTCCTAATCAAATAAATATAAAGTTAAAACCCATGTACATGTATAAATACCAAAATAATTGAGCTGAAACAAAAAATGAACACAAAAATACCCTTACTTGTAAATTCTTATTCTAGCAGTCTGTAAATCTGCTCTTATAGATAGCAGTAATTTCTATGGAAGACCAAATAGAAATAAATGAATGACAGTGGTCAGAGTTTTAAATTATCAAAAGAATTAATTTAATAATTAATTAATTAAAGACTTTTGGAAATCAATTTGTGCAAGATGGCCTAGCAATAAACTTCTGGAATAAACCAGTTTTGACTGGCAATATTAATGAGACTACATGTATATATAACATTATGACTGGCAATCAGATAAAAACATTACCCGTTACTTACAATGACTTACTGATACAAAATCTCCAGTATTATACTCTTATACATTTATTATATTCAATAGAACATTATATAACCCTTCAATCTTCAAACGTGTATCAATAATTATAACAGAAGTTCATACCACCATAAATAACAATGCATCCCCCCTCACTCCCCGTAAAAATACAAGTGATTAAAATTGTTGAAATCCTAAAAGCATTTTAGGTAACATGTTACAAAATTAATAAAGAAAATCTTGTTTCTAACAATTTTTACATAAATATCAGACTAACTTTAATTTGTAAACATAAGACTATATCTTGTTATACTAAGCACATAACTACATGTATATAATGTATATCTTTAAATATAAATAATGCTTTAAGCATCATCTGGTCCTCTCCTCTAAAATATAAGTGGAATGTTCATAAAACAAGTCTAACATCCTGGGAATTATATTCCCTGTATATAAAATATGTAGGTAATTGGAAATTAATTGCCTAATCTGATCAGGTAATTAGAAATAATTGCCTCATCTCATGAAATAATTGGAAATTAATTGCCTCATCTCATGAAGTAATTGGAAATTAATTGCCTCATATCATCAGGTAATTGGAAATTAATTGCCTCATCTCTGTTTATATTTCATGAGATTCTCAATCCTCTGTTGTATCCATCTCAACATTTCTTTATCCTCACAACATATCTCTTGTTCTTCTCCAGTAAATATGTTCACACTTGTCTCATCCTAAGATAGACAAAAAAACATGTACACATGTTTATCTTAAAGCATAGCTTAAAATGGCAGTTAATTTTTATAATAAGCCTCCATTTGCAGGCTCAATCAAACCAAGCGTATTTAGTTTTGCTGTTTTAAGCAGCTTTCTTTAGTAATTCCCGTTTTTCTATTTCATTATTAAAATTCCACCTTGAGCATTATCAATTGTAAATGATCAAAACCACACTTCACTTTGTACTAAAAACAATGACAATAAGCGATCATATCAAGTTTAATAAATGTAGGTGCAACTGTTCTCTATAAGACTACATATTGTGTGGGAACCTTTTTTCTGCCTAAGTTCTTCAAGAAATTGGCCCTACAGATACTGCAGCTAATACAAGAGGTTATCTCCACTGACCTCTGTCAACCATCTATGTTTAATGGAATATCTAGTAACAAAAGAAAAAGATCTACAAACATTCTGACATGAGGAAACAATAAACACCTCTTTATAAACACCTCTTCATTCCAAGCTGTAATCACTACACTGAGGCACGCATGCAAGATGAGGAGGTAAAATGTGTAAACCTCAATAATAAGTTGTTACTTAATAAAAATATACATATTTCACACTGTATTTCCTCACATACCAGTAATTTCTTACATTGAATTCTATGTTATACTTACATGTTTGACCTTGAACACAAGTTTATTGTTAACTATTGCAGGGAAGCCAAGTATATTCTCAACTTTGACCTCCCATTCAATATCCCAGCCTCCCCAGCAACGATGTTTCTGTAGCAACAGTATATTCCTGAAATATGTACATTTTACACTTAGTATATTTATATGACAAATACACTTTTTTCCATTCAGTAAAAATAGCTAGGAATAATAACAACAAAGTAAGATTATACAGGATATCATAATCTATAATTATACCCTGTATCAGTAAGATTTCAGATTCTTTTCAAACCCTGTCAGGGGCAAACCGTTGTTCCCTTGAGCAAGAAACTTTAGATTCATTGCTAAGTACTGGTTAGTTCCAGGAGTTATTTGTGAGTGTGTCTATAAGCTTATTGCTCCTTACACAATCAAACTAAAATAAATTCTGTATAAAACGATTCTATTAAAACTAGAAATGTGTCCATAGGACACGGATGCCCCCACACGCCACTGTTCTGTCAATCTTATGACTCTAGGTCAAATAGTTTTTGGACTAAATGTGCCACAAGTTGAAAACTAAAAATTAACAAAGGGCCATAATTCTGTTAAATTTGGTCGCAGCAAAAATTCCTTCCTTTACTACCATCTACACATTAAGGTTGTTAACCCCTGGAAGTTTAAGCAAAATCTGCCATCCGGTTAAAGAGGAGTTGCGTTCACAAAATTTCTACTTAGTATATAATGAAAAAATCAAAAAAGGGCCTTAATTCTGTAAAATTTGGTTGCAGCAAAAATTCCTTTTTTTACTGCCATCTACACATTAAGGTTGTTCATCCCTGGAAGTTTAAGCAAAATCTGCCATCCGGTTTAAGAGGAGTTGCATTCACAAAATTTCTACATAATATATAGTGAAAAAATCAACAAAGGGCCATAATTCTGTAAAATTTGGTCGCAGCGAAAATTCCTTCCTTTACTACCATCTACACATTAAGGTTGTTCATCCCTGTAAGTTTAAGCAAAATCTGCCATCCGGTTTAAGAGGAGTTGCGTTCACAAAATTTCTATATAGTGAAAAAATCAACAAAGGGCCATAATTCTGTTAAATTTGGTCGCAGCAAAAATTCCTTCCTTTACTACCATCTACACATTAAGGTTGTTCATCCCTGTAAGTTTAAGCAAAATCTGCCATTTGGTTTAAGAGGAGTTGCGTTCACAAGATTTCGGGACGTACGGACTGACGGACGGACGGACGGACAAGTGCAACGCTATATGCTCCCACATTGTGGGGGCATAAAAAGAACAAAGAAAAGAGGGAATTATTTCCCCATTGTCAATATTTCCTCCTTTTATTTTATTCGCGATCGACTTTCTAATAAACAATTTTCCTGTATAAATAATCTATGAACAAAGTTCATCAACATTGAACAATAGAGTGAGAGCACACTTACCTAGTAGTAATAAGTAAAACATCTGCTCTGTCAGCCGGGCTGAGTGGGGCGTGAGCCCAGTACATGTCACTCTTGGCATACTGTCCCTTGTTCACATTCAGTAACAAGTTTGCTCCCACTGCTTGTAGCACAGAATATGGTCTCAAACCCTGTTTATATATATTTTATGTAATTATACATATAATGATGCTATATAATACTGGCTACATTATTACCAAAACACATACCCAAATATTCACAACTATAGTTCCAAGAAATCTGGATAGATATTGTAAAATATCATAAGACAATTCTAGTAATTCTAATAAATTTTAACAGTTATCAGTATGTCTTTAAAATTTTACTTTTTAGAATTAACTTTAAAAGATTAAAAAGACTACATGAAATGTAGAGAACTGGTGGAATCTAAACCAACAGACACTAGATCTTGTCAGTAATCTTTCTTTTTATAAAAAATTACAAACCAATTTACCACAAAACTGAACGGTTGTTAAGTCAGTAATAATGTAACAAAATACTTTACCAAGTAAGGGTTAATAAATCTAGGTTTCCTCATTCTATGTACTACACCACTCTCAAGATCTGAAGCTCTGTTGATGACAAAATAAAAATCAATGTATTCATAATTCAGTGATATCACTTTATTCCCCCTAAACTTGTTTTCTTGTATGTTTATGTCTTAAATTAAAACATTGAATAAGTTCATCTGATAAATTCGTCAATGTGAAAAAACATTTTTATTACCATTTCACCTGCCATTCACCTTTTTACTATATGTAGTTTTCTTAAAAAATATTATATTAGAAATATTTGTATTTTAGGTGAAAAAACACCTATTGAAGGGAGACATATGTTTTGCAAACACAAAATTTTGTAGCATAATTATAGAAACAGAATTTTAGGAATTGTATAAAGAGTCATATATCAATAAATATGTACATATATAGAGTCAAATATGTAAATATATAGAATCATATATCAAAACATATGCACATACCTTTGTAAACCATCAAATGCCATGCTGACCATGTCAAACACGCCCCCTGTAGGTTTTGTCAACAATCCCATAATGCCTTTACCTACACCCTTGAAAAACCCTTCCACACCCTCTTCCTGAGCACCTATTATATACACATATTAATAAATCAATTAAATATTCAGAAAACTTGAGCAATATTAACACATCTTTTTTATGTTGAATGTGAAACAATGAACAGATAATTAACATCTCTTGCAGTTTCTTAAAGTTCAGCATCAGCTTGCAGCACTTCAGTGAAATAACAGTTCAAGTGTTTCCTGATTTTGTGCCAGGGCAAACTTTTCTTTTCACCTGAATCATTTTTGTTCCGCCTAAATCATCTTTACACCTAGATTTTCTTTCTACCTCAATCATTTGAAAAAGCTTAATAGTCACTCAAAGAAAAAACTTGGTTTTGCAATTGAAAATGAAAAATCTACAGTATTCAAAGGCATAATACTCTCTATACTATACTGGACTTTGAAGGTTTAAAAAATATTTACAAAAGATGTTGCACAGATAATAATTCATTTTGTGGGTAAACATAGTAGTATTTACCTCTTATAGGATCTAGTACAACACCAGATAGACCTAGGCACACACCCATTACAAATCCTCTCCCAGCAAGGGCTAGACTGAGGGGCAGGTTAGCAGGTCTTTGCTGCATTGTTGCTCTTCTTTTCTATAATAAGCATGATTATAGTTAAAAAATACAACATAACTAATATACAGTCCAACCTCGATTATTTAAATTGATGGGGACTGAAAATTTACTTTGAATAATCGCTGGATTCAAATAATCGAAATCCGAATATAGTGACAGACGACAACTATTCAACTTACACCAGTCATAGCAACAGAACCGTTTAGAACACATTTGTTTAAATTAATCAATAAAGTTGAATAAATTATATTATGCAAGCCTCTGGCGAGCATATTATTTTACTGAATGAGTTCAATAAATTCAGTAATGAACCTACACAAATACAATATTCTATTTATCATATACTCAAATTAAAGCCTGTTTAAAGTGAAAAATATTTACTTTTCATTGACACGCCTATAGAATAACGCTAACATTTAGTGAGTGTTTACGCTATGTTTGTATAACGGAAATGATGTCACATCAAAATATTTGCACAGCTGTGCAACACCATTTTTACCAATTAGAAAACACGGCAAAAGATGTGTGATTAAATATAATGACAGTATACAGATCAATCATTAATAAATCATTGTAACACTTTCTTCTATAATACCTATCATTCCTAAAATAGTGGTTGAAACAATCCATAAAACAAGCCCTGTATACATCTTTTAATAAATATACATGTATGTTAGTGCTCAAAATCATCAATTTATATAATGAGTATATACATTTATTAGATGAGTATATACATTTATAAGATGAGTATACACATTTATAAGATGAGTATATACATTTATAAGATGAGTATATACATTTATAAGATGAGTATATACATTTATAAGATGAGTATATACATTTATAAGATGAGTATATACATTTATAAGATGAGTATACACATTTATAAGATGAGTATACACATTTATAAGATGAGTATATACATTTATAAGATGAGTATATACATTTATAAGATGAGTATATACATTTATAAGATGAGTATATACATTTATAAGATAAGTATATACATTTATAAGATGAGTATAAACATTTATAAGATAAGTATATACATTTATAAGATGAGTATATCCATTTATAAGATGAGTATATCCATTTATATAATGAGTATATACATTTATATAATGAGTATATACATTTATATAATGAGTATATACATTTATAAGATGAGTATATACATTTATAAGATAAGTATATACATTTATAAGATAAGTATATACATTTATATAATGAGTATATACATTTATATAATGAGTTTATACATTTATATAATGAGTATATACATTTATATAATGAGTATATACATTTATATAATGAGTATATACATTTATATAATGAGTATATACATTTATATAATGAGTATATACATTTATAAGATGAGTATATACATTTATAAGATAAGTATATACATTTATAAGATAAGTATATACATTTATATAATGAGTATATACATTTATAAGATGAGTATATACATTTATAAGATAAGTATATACATTTATAAGATGAGTATATACATTTATAAGATGAGTATATACATTTATAAGATGAGTATACACATTTATAAGATGAGTATATACATTTATAAGATGAGTATATACATTTATAAGATGAGTATATACATTTATAAGATAAGTATATACATTTATAAGATGAGTATATACATTTATAAGATAAGTATATACATTTATAAGATGAGTATATACATTTATATAATAAGTATATACATTTACATACTATTTTATAGTTTTTATCTAGTGACATGGCAGCTAGAGCACTCCCTAGTGATCCTGTTATCCTAGCAACAGATCCTGCAGCTCCTCCTGAAAATATATAGAGATTATTCAAAAAATTATTATGTTCTATAAAACACAGGATTTATTTTCATCCATTGGTATGAAATATGATAATTCTCATATCAAGATGAAAATAAATCCTGTGTTTAGTCCGTATGTAGTCTGGCAAGACACCAGTGAAAACAAATACATTGTATACTGAAAATATGTTTCACTGCAGTGAAAAATAAATTTATACAGTGAAAATATATAAAATGAAAATACGCATTTTCTTTCATCAATATTTCTCAACATTTCAATTTTATAATATAAAATAGTTTAATCATTTTGGGGTTTTATTTTTTTATACATGAAATTATTTTTATTTTTTGTAATGGGTATAATCACATTTTTTAAATGTAAGGTTTCTACCTATGGAAAATTTGGAATTTAAAAATGGGGGAAAAACATTCCCATTTAAAATTTTTCTTTTGTGTTTTTTACTTTGTTGGGGTTTTTTTTTTAAAAAACCCAATTTAAAAATTAGTTTTTTATGGTTTGGTTTAATTAAAGTTTATGTTTAGATTAATTAAAAAGATAATCATTTTGCTTTAACAGTATATTAACAGTATGTAATCAGTTTGGAAGGGGGTCACAAGTTTAATCCACACTCAAGTGTCTTTGATATCGTATACTTTAATTAGAGTTAAAAACAATAGTGCAAACTTTTGTATTGTACAAAATACATGCAAGTCCCAATACAGTCTAAACTTGTGTGACTTGGTTTCTTTGCACATGAGTTCTCAAATTTTTTTAGTGTTAATATAGGCCTTTCTCAAATTATATGCATACTTTACATTCCATCACCAGAGAGAGGCTAACAGGGCATGAATGTAAAAAAATAATGTCTGACCTGATAAGCCCTAGTGTGTTAAACTTACTGGGGAAATCTCATTTTTATTTCACTCTGTTATTCCAATTCTAGATATGATTATACCGTTAATTTTCATAAAATACCTAAGGATGTGAGTTTAATAAAGGAAAGGATTGTGAAAATAAGATTGATGAAAGAACATTTCAAGGTAAAATATCATTGTTCTTTTCTTTTTAAACCAAGCTACTTAAGATGTATTACTACTTACAATTTAATTACTCTGACTTCTCATTGTTTTAAATGTTTCATTAAATTATAAACATAACTATATGTTTTGTTAATAAATTTCATTTAATATATCACACTTATAATGATAACATTTAAAACATAATTGCTTCAGAATCTAAATCAATACAGTTGTACATCTTGTAATGTTATACAGGATTTCCAGCAAAATTTACTATATATTCATTACAGTTTTCAATGTTATAACACATCAGCAAAAACATTAGGACCGTTTATCATGATGCAAGCAAAACAATCAGCTTGACTGACGAAATGTTATTTAGCATATTTTAAAGGGCCATTTGTTCAGTCTTTTGCGCCTTGAATTTAAATAAAAACTTAAAAAGAAAGCATCGCATTACTTTGTTTTTAACATTGTGCTTTGTTACATATATGGTACAGCTGCAGGGAATATGTCAACACGTTAATTACATTTAATATTTTGTCCTCTTATTGCATTATATTGTTGAGAGAATATTTCTTGGAATATTAAAAGAAGTGCTAAAACTCGATGATCCCTTTCCTAATACCCTCCAACTGCAAGGTATTGCACAGGTTTTCTGCGAATGTTCAGTCCCCTAAGTACATGGAATATTTGGGGTTGGTAAGTCCAGGCAACATCCTTTGGAAGTGCCATGTTCCCCAATGATTTGTTATATACCAGCCAGTAGAGGGTTCCAACAATATGACCACATAATCAATTCGGACCAACTGGACAGTGCAATAATCTAATGATACTTCAACTTCGTCTTAAGATTTGACTGATATTTGCAATTAAATGATTGTATTTCTTTATATACTCAATATTTTGTATACTGTAATTAATTACATAGCTGACAATATATAAGTTTTATGTTCCTTACTTAGCATGAAATGTATTTTTACATTGCTGTAAACAATAACATGTGTTATGATACTGAAAATCCATTGAAATGTATAAGACGGGGGTGTCATGTTTAAACAAAATATTATTTTGATTTGATAAGGCTGTCTGTAAAATTTACCAGTTTCTAGAGAGTCATCCAGAATTTTTTACTTTAAATACAAAGTGAATAAAACTTTTTTAAACTTTTTTATTTCAAAAGCTAAATTTAGGGGAAGTATGGTACAGAATTCAGCATCCAACTGTTTACATCTATTATTAGACACTCTTGACCAACATGTGTTTAGGTTAGCAATAAAATACTGATAACGCAGATAATGTCTATTTAAGTTGCAACAAATTTACCTGATATTTATACTGACAAAGAATATTAGAAATTACTTGGAATTATCATAAACTTTAATTCACTTATCAGGTCTTGTATATAGTGTATATAGTGTAAATTAAACCCTTTGTTGATTTATTTATCTCCAGAAGAGATTTTTGTAATATTAAATATAGTTCTCAACAAGTATGTAGCAAACAGAACATTATCAAGATCTCTGACACTGTTGAAAAATCTTTCGGCCATATATTCGTGATATGTTTACATAGAGCAGATACCGAAGCTTGCCCTGTTAACCTCGTTCTGAGAAATCTATGAATATGTATGAGGTAATATTAAGAAGGGTCTATATATATATATCACTAACATCATTTCTAAAAATAAATACACCACATTTACCACATACCTACTGTATTACCCAGCATGCTGTGTACACCTCGTACCAAACTATCAGCAAACTCATCTGATCCTTGTACTGAATCCTATAACCAAACACAAGGTAAATATGACAACTTATTTAATAAATTTGCCTTCTTCAAATTTCTTACTGTCTATATAAATTTTGTAATATCTTTTGGGGGACTTTAAGATCAATTGTCTATAAGCTGTAAGCTTCCTACCCAATCGAATATTAGATAAATTCTAAGTAAACAAGGAAGGGATGTAGAACAACACATCAAGAACATCAGATTAGGTTTTAGCTACCTTATTCATCTACTGGTTTCAATTAAACAATGATCTTCATCAGGATAATGAATTCTGTATAAACCCATTACTTAAAAAATCATTAGTAGTGTAAGTATTTTTATGTTAAAAAATTTGACCCAGATCTTTGTTTGGTCAGTTAAAACTTTAGTTTCTTACATCCCAAAATTTGGGGAATATAATTAAAAGAAAAAAAGCATGGGCTTTCCAAAAAATGGTTTTAAAAATAGGGCCCCCCAAAACCTTGTGTTTTAAAACTTTTAAACCCGACCCAGGGTTAAACCCAGAAATCTAGTCCTAGAATGAGGACATACGCTTGTTGTACGGCCTGGTGAGTGTAGTGTGACTGTATCTGATCACTTAACTGTTTCCATGACAATGATTTACCCTTTACTTCATAGTAGGCCATTCTACAATAAAATACCAGGGCAATGTTTAGCTATAATTACCTCATAGTAGGCCATTCTACAATAAAATACCAGGGCAATGTTTAGCTATAATTACCTCATAGTAGGCCATTATAAAATAAAATACCAGGGCAATGTTTAGCTATAATTACCTCATAGTAGGCCATTCTACAATAAAATACCAGGGCAATGTTTAGCTATAATTACCTCATAGTAGGCCATTATAAAATAAAATACCAGGGCAATGTTTAGCTATAATTACCTCATAGTAGGCCATTCTAAAATAAAATACCAGGGCAATGTTCAGCTATAATTACCTCATAGAAGGTCATTCTAAAATAAAATACCAGGGCAATGGTTAGCTATAATTACCTCATAGAAGGTCATTCTAAAATAAAATACCAGGCCAATGTTCAGCTATAATTACCTCATAGTAGGCCGTTCTAAAAAAAAATACCAGGGCAATGGTTAGCTATAATTACCTCATAGAAGGTCATTCTAAAATAAAATACCAGGGCAATGGTTAGCTATAATTACCTAATAGTAGGCCATTCTAAAATAAAATACCAGGGCTATGTTAAGTTATAATTTACTTATTCAAACATAAATCATGTATTGTTTTATTGTAATGGGGCTTGTGGATACATAATTAAATAAAACTAAACAAGAGGGCCATGATGGCCCTGAGGTCGCTCACCTGTATATAGCCCTCCCCCCCGGCCAATTTTTACCCAAAGGGCTTTTATTTGTTTATTTGAACAGACTTGGTAGACACCCATAAGAAGATGTTTCATGCTAAATATCTAAGCTCTAGCTCTTACGGTTCTTTAAAAGAAGATTTTTTAATTTTTACTAAAAAAACTAAAGTCCTAGCTCATTGGGTTTTTTAAAAGAAGATTTTTTAAGTTTTTACTATACACTATACACAATGACACCCCTGGGGCAGGGCCAGTTTTGACCCCCGGGCTTTTATTTGAACAAACTTTGTAGATATTTACTTAAAGATGTTTCATGCTTAATATCTAAACTCTAGCTCTTTGGGTTCTTTAAAAGAAGATTTTTTAAGTTTTTACTATATGCATATAGGGAAAATCAATGACCCCCTGGGGCGGGGCCAATTTTGACCCCAGGGCTTTTAAATGAACAAACTTGGTAGACATTCACTAGAAGATGTTTCATGCCAAATATCTAAGCTCTAGCTCTTACGGTTCTTTAAAAGAAGATTTTTTAAGTTTTTACTATATGCATATAGAGAAAATCAATGACCCCCCGGGGCGGGGCCAATTTTGACCCCAGGGCTTTTATTTGAACAAACTTGATAGACACTCACTAGAAGATGTTTCATGCCAAATATCTTAGCTCTAGCTCTATTGGTTCTTTAAAAGAAGATTTTTTAAGTTTTTACTATATGCATATAGGGAAAATCTATGACCCCCTGGGGCAGGGCCAATTTTGACCTCAGGGCTTTTATTTGAACAAACTTGGTAGACACTTATAAAGAAGATGTTTCATGCTAAATATCTTAGCTCTAGCTCTTTGGGTTCTTTAAAAGAAGATTTTTTAAGTTTTTACTAAATGCATATAGGGAAAATCTATGACCCCCTGGGGCAGGGCCAATTTTGACCCCAGGGCTTTTATTTGAACAAACTTGGTACACACTCACTAGAAGATGTTTCATGCCAAATATCTTAGCTCTAGCTCTTTGGGTTCTTTAAAAGAAGATTTTTTAAGTTTTCACTTTATGCATATAGGGAAAATCAATGACCCCCTGGGGCGGGGCCAATTTTGACCCCAGGGCTTTTATTTGAACAAACTTGGTAGACACTCATTAGAAGATGTTTCATGCCAAATATCTAAGCTCTAGCTCTTAGGGTTGTTTAAAAGAAGATATTTAAGATTTTTCTTTCGGTTGCCATGGCAACCAGAGTTCTGCATGGAATTAAATTCTTTGAACAATTTTTAAAGGTGACCACCAAAGGAACATTCCTGTGAAGTTTGGATGAAATTGGCTCAGTGGTTTATGAGGAGATGTCATTTAAAGCAAAAGTTTACGGACGGATGACGGACGGACGACGGACGGACGATGGACGGACGCCGGACGAAAAGCGATCACAAAAGCTCACCCTGTCACTTTGTGACAGGTGAGCTAAAAACAATCAATGTCATGACCTTAACAAAGTGTATACAAACAGGAAACTGTTTCAACACATCTTAATAAATCCCCTTCCCATGCTTTATTTGCATGATAAACCAGCTTTGTAATCAGAACATTTAATAGAGTGATTCTGAAATTTTGATATCTAAAATAATGAAGTTAACTAGCAGTAAAATGGGTACATGTAAGAGTACATAATGTTGAGAACAGTCTACTTTCATACTAGAGATACAAACAAGTCATAATTGTTGCTTGCAGTCAGTGAATATCAACATCATTTCTTCTTTTTCTAAGTACATTCACCTACAGAACTAACAGTATTGTGTGTGCTTACACACAAATGAAGATGGATCTCTTGCTATAAAATAAACACCATGAGTGATACCTCATCTTGAATCATACTCTTCAGTTGATAATATACTCCTTTTAAAATGACATAGTTTAAAACAAATGTAAAGATAGAGCTTCAACTTGCTGAAAGTGATTAACCTTTGTCACCAGTATAGAGTCAGGCCAGTTTGTACACCTGTGCTGTCTGACCACCTGTTGACAATTAATTTACTTTAAATTGTAATCTTGATATCCCTAAAATTGATATTGAGACAGTCCAAATAATATAAGCTGGTCAAGTCCATGTAAGAAATTCAGGAGGATGAACTATGAAGACTTACTTTAATTCTACATCTTTCATCTCAGTGAATGTAGCACCAACAGAACTGAGGAAGAAATCTACAATATCTGACACTAGTGATGGTTTGTTCTCCTGGGACAGGTGTGCTGTTCCATTCAGTGAGAAACTTATATGCATCTGGTTAAAAAAACAAACAATATTAAATTGACAGACAATATGCAATAGTATTCTAAAACATATTTGATACATGAAAATAGGTTAAAGAAACTTAAATAACTTGAATGTAAAGAAAGAAAGTGAAAAGAAATAGTTAAGAGTAATTCTAACATCTTCCAACAAAGTGACATTAAATTAAGACCTGAAAGACAAGTTTTTCTTCCAAAACCCATGACAGTATGTTACAGTAATGAAAGCCTTCATACAGTTTAAGTTAAAAATATATTGCGTGTCATATCTAAACCTTTAAAGTCATGTACAAATCTCAAGAAAGAGAATGTAAGGTTGAAAAAGGTAATATAAAATATCTTGAAATAAATGCAACATACACCATAATGCATAAATCATATACATCAACATTTCTGTATATAGCATGTTTACTAAACAAATATTGTGAGTTTACCTTTAGTGGAGAAAGTCTAAGATATTCAAAGAAGATTCTATTTGGTCTATCATGAATCATCACCGCGGCAACCTCCATTAGAGATTTCTGTGTTAATATCAGATCTGATTGTACTTTAGAGCTCTGAAATATACACATGTTACAATTATTTCAAATTGTAATTGTTCATGTTTATTTTTATCAAAATGATGAACTTAGAATTACTCTAGTTACAATTAGCAAACAATTATCATGTAATCATCTTAAAATCTAACAAGTTAAATGTGCACTATTCAGATTTACAACACTGGAAAAACCAGAGGGAATAAAAAATTCAAATATGAAATTTTTATTGCCACTATTTTTCAAACAGGTATTTCTTCTACCACTAATATTCAAACAGACTGTTCTTATTGCCATACTAATATACAAACATGAAGTTCTTATTGCCATACTAATATACAAACATGAAGTTCTTATTGCCATACTAATATACAAACATGAAGTTCTTATTGCCATACTAATATACAAACATGAAGTTCTTATTGCCATACTAATATACAAACATGAAGTTCTTATTGCCATACTAATATACAAACATGAAGTTCTTATTGCCATACTAATATACAAACATGAAGTTCTTATTGCCATACTAATATACAAACATGAAGTTCTTATTGCCATACTAATATACAAACATGAAGTTCTTATTGCCATACTAATATTGAAACACATAGTTCTTAATGAAACTAATATTAAAACAGGTAGTTCTTATTGCCACTTATATGAAAATGAAAGTTCTCCTTGCCACTCATACTACAACGAAAATTCTTATTGCCACATTAATATTCAAACAGATATCTTATCACCAATAATATCTAAACAGGGAATTTTGATAGTGACTTATCAGCTAGTTTTTATTGCCACTTATATGTAAACAGGTAAACATTAAAATGTCTTTCATTAAAATAGAAGATATACCTCTGATTCCTCATCAGCCATCAGATGTGCAAATACATCATACAATGACATCATAAAACCCTTGTCTATCTTGATGTTAAATTCCTGCACCAGTAACTTCATATATCTGTAAATATTATATCATAATAGTTTATTATCTCCCCTTGTCTATCTTGATGCTAAATTCCTGCACCAATAACTTCATATATCTGTAAATATTATATCATAATAGTCAATTATCTCCCCTTGTCTACCTTGATGTTAAATTCCTGCACCAATAACTTCATATATCTGTAAATATTATATCATAATAGTTAATTATCTCCCCTTGTCTATCTTGATGTTAAATTCCTGTACCAGTAACTTCATATATCTGTAAATATTATATCATAATAGTAAATTATCTCCCCTTGTCTATCTTGATGTTAAATTCCTGCACCAATAACTTCATATATCTGTAAATATTATATCATAATAGTAAATTATCTCCCCTTGTCTATCTTGATGTTAAATCCCTGTACCAATAACTTCATATATCTGTAAATATTATATCATAATAGTAAATTATCTCCCTTTGTCTATCTTGATGTTAAATTCCTGTACCAATAACTTCATATATCTGTAAATATTATATCATAATAGTAAATTATCTCCCTTTGTCTATCTTGATGTTAAATCCCTGTACCAATAACTTCATATATCTGTAAATATTATATCATAATAGTAAATTTTCTCCCCTTGTCTATCTTGATGTTAAATTCCTGTACCAATAGCTTCATATATCTGTAAATATTATATCATAATAGTAAATTATCTCCCCTTGTCTATCTTGATGTTAAATCCCTGTACCAATAGCTTCATATATCTGTAAATATTATATCATAATAGTAAAATATCTCCCCTTTTCTATCTTAATGTTAAATACCTGCACCAATAATTTCATATATCTGTAAATATTATATCATACTAGTAAATCATCTCCCTTTCTCTATCTTGATGTTAAATTCCTGCACCAATAACTTCATATATCTGTAAACATTATATCATAATAGTAAATTATCACTGAGTCTCGATTCATAGATTTCTTTTAAGTAATATCAAATAATAAACATGTATTGTTGTTATTCATGAAGATAACTTTGATGTATGGTTTATAACACTTAAAGTAAGACCTTGACCTTTGACCTAGCCACACAATTTTTGCAATCAACCCACCATCACATAATGTTGAACATTTGTGCCAGGTAAATTGAATTTCGACAAGCAAGTGATAGAGTTATGGTGGTGACAAGCTGCTTGAGACCATTTCTTTGCATTTGACCTTGAACTATGATCTTGACCTTTGACCTAGCCACAAAGTTCTTGTGCATGACACACTGTTTCATTATTGTGAACATTTGTTATTAGAAACTCTGCTTACTAATGACTTACTTACAACCCGGACAAGCATAATCCGGAAGGACAGATGGATGTACCTATGGAATGGTACTTATGTGACTTTTCTTTTTATCTTTTTAGTCATTTTAAGTCACACAAGACCTAAACAAGAGGGCCATGATGGCCCTGAGGTTGCTCACCTGTATAAAGGCACCCGGAGCGGGCCAGTTTAAACCCCAGGGCTTTTATTTGAACAAACTTGGAAGACAACCATTAGAAGATGTTTCACGATGTTATGTTAAGTTTTTACGACACACATATAATGAAAACCAAGATATACCACTTTTATTTGAACAAACTTGGTAGACACCCATAAGAAGATGTTTCATGCTAAACATCTAAGCTCTAGCTCATTGGGTTTTTTTAAAAGATTTTTTAAGTTCTTACTATACACATATAGTTAAAACCAATGAAACCCCTGGGGCGGAGCCAATTTTGACCCCAGGGCTTTTATTTGAACAAACTTTGTAGACAATTACTAGAAGATGTTTCATGCTTAATATCATAACTCTAGCTATTTGGGTTTTTTCAAAGAAGATTTTTAAGTTTTTGCTATACAAATATAAGGAAAATCAATAACACCCGGTGCGGAGCCAATTTTGACTCCAGGGCTTTTATTTGAACAAACTTTGTAGACACTCACTAGAAGATGTTTCATGCTTAATATCTAAACTCTAGCTATTTTGGTTTTTCAAAGAAGATTTTTTAAGTTTTTGCTATATACATATAAGGAAAATCAATGACCCCCGGGGCGGGGCCAATTTTGACCCCAGGGCTTTGATTTGAACAAACTTGGTAGACACTAATTAGAACATGTTTCATGCTAAATATCTTAGCTCTAGCTCTTTGAGTTCTTTAACAGAAGATTTTTTAAGTTTTTACTATATGCATATAGGGAAAATCAATGACCCCCTGGGGCGGGGCCAATTTTGACCCCAGGGCTTTTATTTGAACAAACTTGGTAGACACTCATTAGAAGATGTTTCATGTTAAATATCTTAGCTCTAGCTCTTTGGGTTCTTTAAAAGAAGATTTTTAAAGTTTTTACTATATGCATATAGGGAAAATCAAAGACCCCCTGGGGCGGGGCCAATTTTGACCCAAGGGCTTTTATTTGAACAAACTTGGTAGACACTCACTAGAAGATGTTTCATGCCTAATATCTAAACTCTAGCTATTTGGGTTTTTTCAAAGAAGATTTTTTAAGTTTTTACTATATGCATATAAGAAAAATCAATGACCCCCGGGGCGGGGACAATTTTGACCCCAGGGCTTTTATTTGAACAAACTTGGTAGTCACTCATTAGAAGATGTTTCAAATTAAATATCTTAGCTCTAGCTCTATGGGTTCTTTAAAAGAAGATTTTTTAAGTTTTTACTATATGCATATAGGGAAAATCAAAGACCCCCTGGGGCGGGGCCAATTTTGACCCCAGGGCTTTTATTTGAACAAACTTGGTAGACACTCATTAGAAGATGTTTCATGCCAAATATCTAAGCTCTAGCTTTTAGGGTTTTTTAAAAGAAGATATTTAAAGTTTTTTCTTTCTGTTGCCATGGCAACCAGAGTTCTGCATGGAATTAAATTCTTTGAACAATTTTCAAAGGTGACCACCAAAGGAACATTCCTGTGAAGTTTGGATGAAATTGGCTTAGTGGTTTATGAGGAGATGTCATTTAAAGTAAAAGTTTACGGACGGACGGACGTTCTGACAGGACAGTAATTATGTGGCTACTCTATTGTTCTCTCTATTGTTCTTTTTAGCCACACAGAAGAAAATAGCCACATAAAAGCATTACGGAATGAATGACATCAAAGAGAAAGAACAGTTACCTATTGTCCCTCTAGCCACATAATTACTCTCCTGCGAGTGCGGACGGACGGACGGACACCGGACGAAAAGCGATCACAAAAGCTCACCCTGTCACTTTGTTACAGGTGAGCTAAAAAAGACACACAAGTAAAAACAAAATGAATACAATCAAAGGAAATGTACTGTTACTATTGTTCTTCTAGTCACACAAGTACTTCTGTGTTTGTACAGACAGACAGATGCACATACATACACTGAACCTGCACAGTGACAACTATGTTGAGCTCTCCACAAGCAGGCTCTAAATAAAACGAACCCTTCACTTACTGAATTTATGTAATGGTTTTGCCCTGTTTTTTGACAGTCTGGGGTTTCAATATCAAAATATCAAGAACTGAGCAAACAAGTATAGAGCCTGGTTAAGACTTCACTGATAAGAAGGCTGGCCTGGCTCTATATTGGTGGTAAAGCCTTATCACTTTTGATTCAAGCAAGATAAGTAAGTATCTAATACATGAGACTAACCTGAAAGTGTCAACATTATTTTCTGGTACTGTTCTCCTCATCATACCAAACTCTATAAATGGTTTCTGTCCTTTCTTCCTCACTATATATACTGGTGTAGGACACGGATGTAACACCGTAGGGAAATATGCATCTGGTAACTGGTTATCTAACTGTAATATACATAATCATTGATATAAAAAATTATGAAGAATTATTAGACATATAATCTGTGGGCTAAACAAAGCATAATTTCCTGTTTTAAAAAACTGGAGAACATGAATTAATTATTTAATTTCTTTTGAAAATTATTCTGACAGGAATATTTAAATATTTAAATGTGTCAAACAATGAAACAATATTGTCACTGGTAGCAAGTACATTGTATATCATTAATTTAATGTTTCTACCTAGGAAAGCTTAGGTAAATTATTCCTCTTTGATTCCTTTTTGAGATAATAATTTACAATGTAAGGTAAACAGAAATTATAATGTATGTATTGTATCAGAAAGATAAAATACACCATTGTACATATAATTCTGAAGGCATCAACTTGGACATAAACACAAACCTGAACTTTCTGTATCTTAGCATGCAGTGAAACATGATGTTGTGAAGCCCGGTAATTAAACCAGAGCCCCGGGCTGTAACTTCTCCTCAGGGCACCCATGTAAGGTTTTAACATCTGCATCTTACCAAGATCAGCCTGTAATATACACAATGTCATCAAAAATATTTTCTTGGTCATAACCAAGATCTCTGGATATGGTGCAAACACTGTGACATCTGTTTTCTCTCTATTGTTCTTTTTAGCCACATAAAGGAAAATAGCCACATAAAAGCCTTATGGAATGAATACTTTGAAGCAAGCAACATAAAAATGATCTAATACTAGAAGATTGTAATGATCTATCAAAAACTGAAATGATTTTGTCAGGATATAACTTATTATTTAACTGGAGCTGTGAAAATTTTAATACTATTCAAATATTTTAGAGCAAACATTATACCTCAAACTGTTCCTGTAGGCTGGCATGAGTCTGTCTGTTCTTCCACTGATCCTCTAACCAGGTCTGTAGTTCTACATTCAACATTTTCCAACGATTGTTCACCTCTACCTCCCAGGTTGCTGGGATACTAGACAATGATAGCAGCGCCACCTCTTCATATTGTTTGTTGATCATTGACACACAGATACCATCAAGGGAGACAAATAATACCGAACTTGCCTGCTCTGCTTCATTCATCTATAAAATAAAATACAAAACAATAAATCATAATGATTTACTGACTTATTAACTCAATTCACAGCCACTTTAAAAAATTTTAATTAGTAAAACTAATTAAGGAATAATTCTGCTAAAATAATACACTTAGCTTAAGCATTCAGGGATTACAAAAGAAAACTAGTGGTTTTATCAATGTTGTGCATTCTACTGTATCACTTCAAAATCATGTTTGGGTAAAACAGAAAATCAGAGTTAACTTATTATATATAATTTGTACAGGAATTAGTCAATTAAGGCATTATAATTTTAAATGGGTAGCTGTAAAAGGTAGAAGTGTAACATGTTGTGTGGGCAGGGTATATGTGTTGGGTTAAAATGATAAAATGTTGTGTTGATATGTGAGCTGGGATAAACACAATAACATGTCTTGTTGATAAGCATGTTGGGATAAACCACACAACATGTTGATTGGTTTAAAGCATTAGATTGAAAATAAGCTGTTGTGTGTATGTGTTGTCGGGATAAATATAACAAATGTGTGTTGGGTTAAAGTACAATATGTTGTGTGGGTATTAATGTTGAGACACAGTACAACATATTATTGGAGTGTGTTGGGGTAAGATAACAAGTGTTGTGACATGGTAAACATATTTTTGGGTCATGTTGGGGTAAGGTAAAACAGACTGATGTAGACATGACAACAAAATACAATATACAGAGGAAACAAAACAGCACACAAGCACTGGTAATCTGACATAAAAAAGCTGCAGAGTTGTTGTACAGAACAAAATAATATAGTAGCAAGCTGTATAATTTGCTTAGCTTTTAGAATGTAAGACAATTCTTTCCTAAACATTGTCTTGATAACTTGTTAAAATAGATGCCTGACTTAGTGAATAAGCCAGATTTTAAAAGAATAAAAAATCTGCAATTCTTCATCATAATACTGTTACAAGATTAATTATTCAAAAATTCCGTGTCAATTGACAAAGGTATTGACTAAACAAACTGTTTTGTAATACTGTTACAAGATTAATTATTCAAAAATTCCGTGTCAAATGACAAAGGTATTGACTAAACAAACTGTTTTGAACAATGTTTGATATTTGAGTATTATGTGTGACCTTGACATTTGAGCTGCATTTTGGGTACTTGTGTATAAAGCATATTACGGTGTTCCGTTTGTACAATCATGACTTTTTATTTAGTCTGTACCCCCGATGCACGATGGTACGATGGTGAAAACGCGATGGCACGATGGTGAAAACACGATGGTACGATGATGAAAACGCGATGGTACCATGGTAAAATCGCGATGGTGTGATAGTGCGATGGTGAAAACGCGATGTTACATCGCGTTTTTACCATCGTAACATCGCGATTTGACCATCGTACCATCGCGTTTTCACCATCGTACCATCGCACCACCATGTCATCGTGTTTTCATCATCGTGCCATCCTGTTTTCACAATCGTACTATCGCATTTTCACCATCGTGCCATCGCGTTTGCACCATCATACCATCGCTCTTTTACCATCCTACTGTCGATGGTGAAAACGCGCTGTGACGATGATGAAAACATGATGACACGATGGTGCAAACGCGATGGTACGAAGGTGAAAACGCGATGGCATGATGGTGCAAACGCTATGGTATGATGGTGAAAACACAATGGCGCGATGGTATGATGGTGACTAAGGATGGTACGATGATGAAATCACGATGGTACGATGGTGAAAACGCAATCATCGTGCATAGGGGTAACAGACTTAATTAAAAATCACGACAGTCCAAACAGAACACCTTAGCATATACATTAAACCACTGATGTGAGCTATAACCAGGCTTTATAAAAAGGTTTGACTATCTTCAAATGTGGTAACGGCGGGATTAATACTCATACAATATCAGTTTGTTCTGTACCTGAGGAAAATTAAGTTTATAAATAGCAGTATTTACACAGTAAAAACAAAATAGGTGAATCACAGAAGAATAAAATTTTAATATATAAATATGTATATTGTTGCAAGGAAAATAATATAAGAAATATTTCAATTTGATGGATAAAAGAATAAGTAGGTATTAAGTTTTATAATCACAGATAAAATAGGATACATTTTAACATCAGTTTTGTTACATTACCAATTTTTTTCTATTCTTACTTATCTTTTAACTAGACAAGTTTTTAATTAAGATTTCTAACAAAACCTCAATTTTGGATTTACATTTTTCATAAAAAATTAAATTTATGTTTAAATAATTTCTAACAATTTAAATGATATATTTGTATTTAAGGAAGAATAAAATAAAAGCTATGGATAAAATGTAATTTTTTTAACTAAATGAGTTAGCCACTAAATGAGTTATCCAATAAATGAGTTAGCCAATAAATGATTTATCCAATGAGTTAGCCACTACATGAGTTTGCCACTAAATAAGTTATCCACTAAATGAGTTATCCACTAAATGAGTTATCCACTACACATGTATTAAGGTACTAAGTGGTAGTAGACAGTAGTGAATAAAGTGTTGATTTGTTTACCTTGATGACCCCTCGTTCATGTGGTATATCTATCCCCTGTACATGTGCCTATAGGTAGGTATGCAGCCAAAAATAAATCATACAATATTTATATATACCAGAATACCATAGAAACCAAAAATACTACAACTTTAAATACACCAATATACTTCCCAAAATTATACTAAAATTAGTAGAAACTTAATGAACTAGACAATCATGATGGCCTAGCATCGCTCACCAGAATAAGTACACTGCTTACTGAATGGCTAATTTTCAGACGATCAAACTATTAATTGATCAGAGGAAGTCATTAAAAGGTCTGTAATTTTTAACTGTTCTCTATAAAACGGTCAACTTTATTTATTTAAGCAACACTGAGAGACAAATTGTTCAAGACCACAAACCTCCAGTTCCCATGAAGTAAACAAGATGGACAAACAAGAGCTGTCCGTAAGACAGCGCGCTCGACTTTTTTATTGCTTGCCAATAAAAAAAGTTTTTGCAGTAAAAGGCAATACAAGAATCTCTGTATTTTTAAAGTGAACAATGGCCATGAGCATTAAGATATTTAGTGAAGAATTATTTTACTGAATTGTGTGATACCCTTGAACACTGCAGCAAAGTTTGAAATGTTTAAGTCAAAAGGGCCATAATTCAAATAAAATCTTTGACAGAATTACCTTCTCCTGGACATGTTTGGGAATCATGATTGTAAACAAGTATTCCAACTTTCAAATTAATATCTCAAACAGTTCAGTCAAAAAGTGGACTGGTACTAAAACTTAACCAAGATTCTAAGTCGATAAAAGGCCTTAATTTTTAAAACAAATCCTTGACAGAGTTACCTTCTCTTGCGTACAGATGGGGGTAATGATGTGAAATAGCATTAAAAAGTTTCAAAGCAATATCTCAAAGGGTTAAGGCAATAAGTGGATTTTACCCATATTCAATGTATTTTCTAAGTCAAAAAGGGGCATAATTCTGTCAAAAACCTTGACAGAGTTATGTCCTCTTGTCTGTTGATGAAGGTCGTGATGGTAAACAAGTATGGTCAGTTTCAAAGCAATACCTCCAATGGTTTTTGAAATAAAGTGAGGTGGTACAAAAAACTTAACCAAGCTCAATACACTTTCTAAGTCAAAAAAGGGCCATAATTCTGTCAAAAACCTTGACAGAGTTATGTACTCTTGTCTGTAGATGGAGGTTATGATGGTGAACAAGTATGGTAAGTTTCAAAGCCATACTTGTAATACTTCTGAAATAAAGTGGGGTGGTACGAAAAACTTAACCAAGGTGTGACGCCAACGCTAACGCCGACGCCGACGCCGGGGCGAGTAGGATAGCTCCCCTTTTCATAGAAAAGTCGAGCTAAAAATAATAAACAAACAGTTTTTTCCAAGAACATTTTCAAAGTTTTCCCTACTTGAAAAAGCTATTTCATCCTCCCCCTAAAAAGTCCCTTATTCTATTGTTTAGGAATGTATTCATTGTTTCTGTTTTTGCGGCCCTTCAACATAATCTAGTTGCTCAGACAGTCAAATAGACAGACAACAGACAAAGTGTGATCAAAATAGCTCAACCTGAGCACAAAGTGTTCTGGTGAGCTAATTAAGGTATTGAATTCTGCATCTTTTGAAGACACAAAATTTTAATTTCTATTAATAAATAGTTTACAGCTTAATTTTGGCAACTGTCATAAGACCTATTATACAGTGTCTTTTTTTAAAAATTGTATATAAATTCTTTATCAGTTATGTATGTAATAAAAAGAGTTTATACCTAGTTCATAATGGTAAAGAATTAAAAGCATTTTGCTGAGACATAAAGCCATGCATGTTAAATAGAGCAGCCATGAACTAATGTTTCATAGAGCAGCCATGAACAAATGTTTCATAGAGCAGCCATGAACAAATGTTTCATAGAGCAGCCGTGGACAAAAATTTCATAGAGCAGCCATGAACAAATGTTTCATAGAGCAGCCATGAACTAATATTCATAGAGCAGCCCTGAACTGATATTACATAGAGCAGCCATGAACAAATGTTTCATAGAGCAGTCATGAACAAATGTTTCATAGAGCAGCCATGAACAAATGTTTCATAGAGCAGTCATGAACAAATGTTTCAAAGAGCAGCCATGAACTAATGTTTCACAGAGCAGCCATGAACTAATGTTCATAGAGCAGCTATGAACTGATGTTTCATACAGCAGCCATGAACTGATGTTTCACAGAGCAGCCATGAACTAATGTTTCATAGAGCAGCCATGAACTAATGTTTCATGCATTACAGTCACAAAACAGAACTAAAGTATAATAGCTTATAACTGTAACTCATGCAAATTTCACACACAGTAGCTATATCTATATGTCACTATAAATGTGATGTTAGTTCAGTTAAAAAATATTCACTTTTTATACAGATTTTTCGGGCAAATAAAAGATATTTCAAACTAACTAGATACTCTCAGCATGTTATAAAACATTATATACCTCTGACCTCAAAGTGACCTTGGGACTATGAACTTATTAAATACCCTTATCATGCAAATATCTTAAATTGACTCATCCATCTTTCAATCTGGACAAAACAGTTTTCAGAAGAAAAAATAAATAAAATATACTGACTGGATAGTGGACAGTGCCAACCATGAACAGTGATCTAAGTATACACTGTTCAAAGGAGTAAATTTTGATGCAGACTGAAGGTTAAGGCTCAAAGGTCTAGTAAATATGATGCAACAAATATTAATACTGATTTTTTACACAAATAATAAAAGTAATATGTGTCATGCAAGGACCATAGCAAGGCACATTGTCACAAAGTAGAGACCTGTGGGAGACCCTTTGTCTCAACCTTTTTTGGTTGGGTTTTAAGTTGCACCACTTTAAAGCACCTGAGTAGAAGAACCACCAACGTTTTGTAGGCTAGTGGGATAGCTTCCTCACATGAAAGAATCCTAAGTCCTTGTCGGGATCCAAACTCACAGCAGTAAGGGGCAAGTATCTAAACCTACTTTCTTAATAAGTTATTTCTGTACAGAACAACTGCTGTTATAGCATACTTTAAAATCCAATTTCTCAAGTTGCTTTTGATATTAAATATTACAAAATAATTCCTTTCAAACTAAGTAATGAGAACATTTTTATATAGCCCTAGATACATGCTGGGCTGGGACTAACACTTGTATCAGGTAAAGTAACATCTGTATCCAGGTATTGAATTATAACCTAAATGTTTTTACACCCCATCTCTACTGAGAATACACACTTTGTTTATACTATATTATAAAATCTTGACAACAATATTCAACACAGCATGTAAATAACATGAAAATATTGACAGCAGCAAAGCTTTACCACAGATTTGTTACCATGACAACAATAGCCTCAATATACATCACTGTGACTCACAAATAATGTCAATGTAAATAAAAGATCACATAAAATATACAAACTTTGACAAGTGTCAGCATATAGTTTACAATATCAACATAAAATATAATTGAAACTGGCAACAACAAGAAAAAAAGTGTGTACATTACCTTCCTAGCCCCTTTAGCAACGCGTTCATCTTGTGTGAAGAGTAACACGCGTTGTTGATGGTCCAGGTATGATACCCAGAATATCACGAGTTTATCACTACGTGTTTTACCAATTAGAGATTCATCAATTCTTCCCATCAGACCATCAGCCTCATCTGTATCATCTAGAACATTTATAATAGAAAAATTTCTGATATACAATATCACTCATCTCCTTGCTGATAAGCCAATTATAGATGCTCAAATGCCTGTTATGAGGAGATAGTGAAATACCAACAATTAAATCATTAAAAGTTTTTTGATTTCCATAAACATCATGAAAGTGATATACAAATATAAGTTCCATAGCTTATTAAAAAAAAATTCAATTTGGCAAAGGTCAGAAGTATTTTCCACACAAAGAAACACATATAATAAAATTTAATTACTTTGAAACTTGACAATTCATTATATTATGTTGTCAAAGGAATACAGATAAATATTTAGTAAATGACTGATATGTCACAACATGGTAACCATGGAAACATGGAATTATAAACCTACCCTCAGGACTGCTGTCAGTCTGATCAGGAGCATCTACATAATCAACAGTTCCCGAAGATTTCAGAGATTTTAACTTGAGATTCACTTGATCATAACCATCCTACAATATATCAACTCATGTTATAACAAATAAATGATAAAACTATTCTACCTAAAGCTTCTTCTTTGCTTTATTGTAAAATGACCATAACATTGTAAAATTCTGGCCAATACTTAGAAAAATTAAAAGGAATCATTAGCAGTAGGTCAATATATGAAATTTCTTTCAAATTAACAAAAAAGTACCATACATGTGAACTCTCCCACTTTTAGCTTGAGACTCCCACTTTCTGCAGCCATATTTTCAAAGATTTTTTCTTAAAATAAGGGGTATTTTCACAAATTAAAGAAATTTCCCTCTTTTTGGTGTCAGAACTTCCTTCTTTGTTTATTGCAAATTATAAAATCTCCCTCTTTTTGAAGAAAAATCTCCCTGTTGATTATCCGAAAAAGTTCACATGTATGAAGTACAGAAATGAAAAGTTTAATCTAAGAATATTGACTGAAAGAAGTGATGACCTAGATGTCAGATATAGTACAAGTATATGATAAGGTATACCTTTAGTAGTGAAGCTGGAAAGTTTGGTTTATTTCTACCATAAATGTTCCACATGAGGGTACGGTCTGCTGTTGGATCATCCCATGTATATAACACAGACTGGTTTGATGACAGAATTGTCGTCTGACTCTGATTTCTATAATTATAATCAATTTACATCAACATGTAACTACAAAAATATGTAACTACAAAAGAGAGACCATTTTACTTACCCTGAAGAAATTTCTACAGTAACTAACTATTTAGTTTTATCTATAAACAAAATGCTTACTGAACAAATCAGCTAATTACCTGTTAGAGGTAAAAAATATACATTAACATTTCATCTTCCATTTAGTTTTCCCACTTAATCACCATAAACAATTACATTTCAAGTACAGACTTCTGTTCAATTTAAATACACAATTACAATGCTAGCACTTGAACTTTTAGATATCAATTCAAACTGTATCCCTGAGAGTAAAACCACAATGTTCACATGTACATGTACTAACTATTGTACAAACTGTACCTCGACCAGATAACCTTGTGTACCAACTATTTAAATGACTCTTTAAACATTTGACAAGACTTACCTTTGATGTATCTTAATAAAAACATCATCACAGAAATTGTCGACTCTAACAGGGGCATCACCAACATCATAATCTGTAAACTGTATAGTGATAGGGTTCTGTGTACCCCCTGTTACACTCACACATAATGCTGTCTGAAATTATCATATGCAAAATTATATCTACATTCTACAAACTCAGAAAAATAGGCAATAGCAAAACTTATTTCTAACTAAATTGACAATATTTCTTTCTGTATAGTAAGGCAGCCCATATATGACCCTCTAATAAAGCTGGTATAGCTGACCCTTAAACACTATTACAATAATTTCCTTCATGATAACACATCAATAGAAACGGGTAAAATACAAATCTGATACATCTGACTTCCTTGTTTTGACTGTTAAATATCAATAATAACAGGTGGTTGTAATACGCAACAAAATAATATATATTCTACTATAAAAATTATGCAATTTTTTCATTATAAATTATAAGCTCATTGTTTCAGATTTATCACAAATTTAATTCTTTCTCTTCAAAACTCATTCTTAATCTCATTTATAATATATTAGTTTCATATATTCATCTTTTTTTTCTTATAACTTTCTTCTCCAAAAAATGTTCTTATGAAATCATTCATGCATGTATGTATATCATTGAAATGTTAATTAGCTAATATACTCACTCCATTTTCCATACGTAGTACTGTATTATTGAAAGATTTAAACGGGAAATGTTGTGATACCACGTTACTCCGCTCATATTTTACAAACATACTGTAACTTTCTGTCACTGGCCAAAATGGTGAACACTATAACATATAGCAAATACAACAACTTTATTTTTCTATGCTTTTATAATAGGTAAAACTATAAAGTTTTACATCAAGGAAAGGTGTATAAATATATATCTACTCTATCTGTAATTGTAAAAATCTATTACTTTAAAACTTCTATATATACTTATAAGTACTAGCATCTTCACCTTTAATGAATTTCTAAATCCCGTTAAATCTTTATCTTTCTGTCAAATGGTAGAGGAAGACAGAAAGTGTCACTCTGTTCAATATTTCGGGAATAATATAGTACTGGAGAAGAACCATGAAACCTTTAATAATCTTGCTGTATTACTTCAACACGTGGATATGATCAACATCCACGGCAAGACTTAAAGACACACATGTACCATTCAGGTAAAATTATTTAAAGACCTTAACCACTTGTTCAAGAGTGACTTCACAGTCAAAATTTCATTGTATAATGTCTAATTTCAGAAAACATCATCTATCAAAATAATTATTATTACATTAAACTTTGTTTTTTTTTTATATTTAATGATGCCATTTAACAATAAAAAGTTTATAACTGGCTTTAGGTGACAGATTTACTACATACAGTGCATATACAATTCCTGTCTTTACTACAAGTTTAACTTTTTTCCTCTTATCATCCTTAAATTTATGATTTACTCTCCAACTTAAGTACTTTATGAACCAGGAGTTTATATATACCTGTCCGACAGCCAGATCAAACCATAGATCTGTTGCCTTGTTTTCCTCCATGTATCTGAGAGGCTTGGTTGAGCTGTTTACAACCAGGAAGAATGGCAGTACAGTAATGATCTTTGTTAACTTTAATTTAGACAGTTGACATTGCACCATAAACTGAAATATTAATATAACATGTAAAATAACAAGAATGTCGAACGACACATATACCCCCCTTTCTAGCCATTGACTCACATAATTGATAATTTTATTACATAAACTTGCCAAAAATGGGTACATGGAAGTGTTCAATTATGGAAAAATCCACAGAAACCATTTTGACATTTAAGGCCCATGTGACATTGACCTTTGACCTAATGACCTCTAAATCAATAGAGGTCATCTACTTCTTATGACCAATAACTAGGTGAAATATAATTATGGACTTTGTGATGAATACTTTTCAAGATAACCAGCGGAAACCCTTTTGACATTTAAGGCCCCTGTAACCTTAACCTTTGACCTAGTGACCCCAAAATCAATAGGGGTCATGTACTAGTGATGACCAATCACTTTGTGAAATATGAAGACTTTGTGATGAATATTTTTCAAGATAATCAGCGGATACCATTTTGACATTTTAAGGTCCCTGTGACCTTGACCTTTGACCTAGTGACCCCAAAATCAACAGGGGTCATCTTATAGTGATGACCAATCACTATGTGAAATATGAAGACTTTGTGATAGATACTTTTCAAGATTATCAGCGGAAACCATTTTGACATTTAAGGCCCTTGTGACCTTGACCTTTGACCTAGTGACCCCAAAATCAATAGGGGTCATCTACTAGTTATGACCAATCACTATGTGAAATATGAAGACTTTGTGATACATACTTTTCAAGATAATCAGCAAAACCATTTTGACATTAAAGGTCCCTGTGACCTTGACCTTTGACCTAGTGACCCCAAAATCAATAGGGGTCATCTACAAGTGATGACCAATCACTATGTTAAATATGAAGACTTTGTGATAAATACTTTTCAAGATAATCAGCAGAAACCATTTTGACATTTAAAGCCCCTGTGACCTTGACCTTTGACCTAGTGACCCCAAAATCAATTGGGGTCATCTGCTAGCGATGACCAATCACTGTGTGAAATATGAAGACTTTGTGATACATACTTTTCGAGATAACCAGCGGAAAAAATTTTGACATTTAAGGTCCCTGTGACCTTGACCTTTGACCTAGTGACCCCAAAATCAATAGGGGTCATCTACTAGTTATGACCAATTACTATGTGAAATATGAAGACTTTGTGATAAATACTTTTCAAGATAATCAGCGGAAACTATTTTGCAATTTTAAGGTCCATGTGACCTTTACCTTTGACCTAGTGACCCCAAAATCAATTGGGGTCATCTACTAATTATGACCAAATACTAGGTGAAATATGAAGACTTTGTGATACATACTTTTCAAGATAATCAGCGGAAACCATTTTGACATTTAAGGCCCCTGTGACCTTGACCTTTGACCTAGTGACCCCAAAATCAATAGGGGTCATCTACTAGTGATGACCAATCACTATGCGAAATATGAAGACTTTGTGATAAATACTTTTCAAGATAATCAGCGGAAACCATGTGGTCTACCGACGGACAGACCGACAGACCGACGGACAGACCGACAGACAGACAGACCGACATTAGCAAAACAATATACCCCCTCTTCTTTGAAGGGGGGCATAAAAATAAAATATGGTATCAGATGCAATTTTGATTTCAATATTGTATGGATAAATTCCAAAATGTTACTTATTTTATTTAGAAATTTTTAGCATAATCTAAAACAAAGTTATGATTTTAAATGACAATACATTAATATCAATCCATATTTTTTTTATAAATTCAATCCTTTACTTAGGGTGCCAAATCTTTCAAAGTAAAGGAAAAGCATATGTACATATTATGACTGTTATTTACATAATACATGTTCATTATTATACAGTTAGAAAGAAAACATGTAGATCTATGTAATAAAAGATGTTGTAACAAAAAAATATAACTTACAGTATATTTCCGTCTTCTTTGGTTGTCATGACATTCTACAACCCCACAATTCCCTACTGTATCCATGGAAAATGCATGTGACCAATGAGATTCATATATTTTCAACTTGGCCTTAAATATAAAATAATAGTTAGCATTTACAGATAAACTCCATTTATCCTTATCATTTAACCAACTTCTCGTATTATCATTTGCTTTAATTCTTAAGCATAAATATTGAATTACTATTTTGTTTGTTCCCCTTTCAAAAATAATTGTTATCAGACACCTGGTATCACTATCTTTACAAAGGCACAAGAAACATGGGTAGAACCACTTTTTCTGTAGATAGCTAAATTACATGAATGAATTTATTAAAATTTAGATTCTTACAAACTACAAAAGGAGTGTAGCTAGTTTGATAAGAGATGACCATTCATTTTACAAGACATAAAATTATAATATAAAAGATGATGTCATTTTAAGCTCAAAATCCTATGTTTCTTACAAAGAAATGAATATATAAATACACCAGTGAAAAAACTGTTTACCTTTTTACGTTTATTTTTCTTATATCTGAAGAGCTGAGGGTAACTAGAAGGTAGGCATTCTAAGGCTACATCTGACATCAATCCCTGTATATAGTGAAATAATTTTCAAACCATGAATACAACAAAAATATGATCAAATGCTAGGTTATATGTTTGTAAAAGTATTGATGTTCAAATCTGAATTACTGCCCGCACACAAAACAGTAAACTGTCAAACTGTTCTGTCATAATGAAGATGATAAGTTGTTTAGGGTATGAGAATATTGACCATTTCAGATTGCTAAATGTTTATTGCAGTGTTATTTAATGTATTCTTAAGATATTACTATGAAAAGTATATCTTTTTTCAAATGTTCATGGCATAGCCTTGTCATTAAGAAAGGAGAAGTTGAGATAGATAATTACTTACCCTTATTTGAAATGTCAGGTCAGTTTTATTAACAATCCAGTATGGAGAGTAGATATAGAAGTTCCAGGTTTTGTCATGGTTACAGTGTACACTAAGAGACAGGTGCTTGTTGTTGTTATCTGGGTCAAGGTCAGTATCCATGGAGATGGCCTTGAACTCTTCCATTTCTTGTGTAATATCTAATGTACCTTTCCAGTCACAAGTAAGATAATCTGACACCTGTAGAAATATATAAAGAAAAGGCGTGAGTTGATTGAAAAAAAAAACACTTTCTCAAGCCAAGTCATGCAATTTTTCCACTCAAGTGTTACTAATAGTAATCTATATCTTTACAAAAAAAATATATAAAATTTTCCTTTTTTATTACTTAATAATGTCTCCACTATACTTACAAACAAGTTGAGTTTATATGCTTGTGACATATTCACTGTGTATAAAGGTGTACTGTCACCATGTGTCAGGCTACTTGTTGACTCACTACCCTGGAATATGTACATCATATTGAAAATACATTGTAGTCATAAAAGTACTGGTAAATGAGACAGATAACTTTATATTGTTTATCAAAAATATAAATAAGTTAGATATACTAGCCAATGTTTGTATGCAAAGACTGTGCATGTGACTGCATTGAAACATTCATCTTTTTTGGATGGTTAGCTCAACAATATGCAATTAAAAAACTATAAATACAACTTCAATCAAGCTGAACTGTAGGGCAAAAACAAATAAATCATATTCATTACTTTGTTCATCTTAAAAATATAAATTCAAAGATATTTTAAATCTTACCTGAAGTGAAAACTGTAGATCATAGGGTAGATAATTATGTAGAACTACAGGGGGATATAATGTTATTGTAAAGTAAGGAATTGTACGAGTTAACATCTGAGGTGGTCTCAGAGCTTCTCCTTCCTGACAAATTACCTGTAATATATAAAAATAAATGATTAACTCCTTCAATTCTAGTGATACAAACACTCACTACCATAGTCTATATTGTTACAATGTTCATTAATTCAGTAAATGACTGGTGGAGAGAACAAACTTCAAAGGTCAAATCTATGCAAAATGTCAAAATGCTAAGATTTTTTTTAAAAGGTTATTAGTCACATAAACAATACCTCTTGTCTTTCATGAATTTTTCTCCCATGAATATAACTGGCCAACTATGACAAGATCTAAACAACTTAAAAATCATATAAGAAATCATATACATTAACAAACAACATACTTTTATATTGAAGAGTTTATCATCATTCTGTGACTTGCAGGAGAAATATTTTTGTCTATCTTTGGTCTGTACAAGATCTGGCCACCAGATGGCACTATTTGTCTTTTCATACCTGAAATATGTTTCATATAATTTGAATTGACAGTTCTGTTTAAATATTTCACAGAACCATGCTGGATAGCTTAACTAAATGTCTCAAATTACAGCAGCATACTTCCAGATTTGTCATGGTTTGTTTATATTTTTCTAAAAACTAGTTCTAATAAGAAACATATTTTCAAGAGTACAAATTTAGTGAATTAACCTAACCTGAGGTACTATCTATGAATTGTGATACTATATATTTTTTTCTTATGCTGTTCATAACAGGGTACATGTACGTCATAGTTACAAATCTTGTGAAAAAAGTCAATTCTGTCATATTTTGCATAAAGCACTCAAAGCTTTACCTGGATTATAAATGTTAATATATTTATTTCCTACACAAAGTTCATCTGGAGGCATGGTACTTTAATAATAATAATAATAAAGACTGTATTTAAAGAGGCAACATAGTTAGGCAAGCCCAGTCTTCCCTATGAGCCTCTAAAGAGGTTAGTCATTTTTAAAAAGAATTGAACCCACAGAAATGGACGATAAAATACATGCTATAGTGCATTTTAAGACCTATTAAAACTCGAGACAGAAAACAACAGACATTTACATCACAGTTCATATGTATATATTGTTTTTAATTTTACATACATTATACAGCTTGTAATTACTAACTGTCAGAGGAAGTCACATGGAGAAGATACCCTGATAATGTGAATAATTTACAGTTAATTTAAAGAAGTAACTGGCAATTTTTCAAATTACAAAAATTAATAAGAACAAAAACAAGTACAAAGCTAATTAAATTATAACTTAAACCCTTGTAGCACATCAACAAATATCTTCAAAATAACCCCACACAAACTTTAACCTGTATTTAATCAAATGTTCCTACATCATTATCATTGACAGTCTTCCAAAATTCATCATTCTATTAAACTAAATATTGATCTGATAAACTTATAAATCATTTAAATAAAATCCAATATAATGCTTGATGATTGGTCATTGTTTACAGGTATAACTTGTACAATTTATTTATAATGCTGACTTTTGAAATTTAAATAATACACCTGTTCATAAAGACCAGAAATATGATATAAGACTAAAAAGATTATGGTCTCTCTTGTCAAGTGGTCTTTTAGAATACAAATGTACTATAATTTTACACTAGTTGCCCATAGCCTCAAACAGCATTTATCTGGATTCAAGCTTAACAGTAACACAACAGTTAAATATTTCAGTCTATACTGGCAGCCTGAATGCTTGGTTCTTTTATTCTTTTTTCTTTTGCTAATTACATATCAACAACAATTTGAAAAGAAATAACAGAAACAATACTTTAGTATTCTTATTTAGAAACTATTTTCTTATTGTAGTTTATGAATTTATATCATACATAACAATACAGAATGATTTTATTTAAATCATGTCACACATCTTACATACTATGTGGTGGATGATGATATTTCCCAGCAATAGTTCAAATACTAGAATATCAAGTCTGATATAATAACAGACAAAAAAGCAAGAAAAATAAACAGCTACAGGAAGTATACAAGTGGTCTTCTTTTTTACAAACAATGCCAATGAATTGTTCATATACGACATTATCTAAATGAGCCAAATTTTAACATATCAATTTAATATTTGACACTCCTTCCAACTCGATAAAAATATTGCCAAATAATTTAAAGTGTTCATCTTCTATAGGCTAGGGAGTGCAGGGACATCATATTTCATTTATTATTACAATATAAACAAAGTCTTATATCATGGTCAATCTAGATTTTCAAAATATATTTTGATCTTTTTGTAGGAGATACTTAAAATGATGATTATATACCGATTGATTTACAACAAAAACAAGTTTACAGTTACCCTGACTTGACCTATTAATTACAGTAACAAAGGCTATGTTGACCTTAATATATTAATCAACAAAATTTGTTACTTATTCATTGGTTCATAAAAAGAAGATTTTAGAGGATCATAAATTTTCTCTATAGATCAGGTGGTTATTAACAGACACACACTGGTATAAAATGAGCAAATTACAGAAAGAAACAGATGGTTGTGTTATAAGGATATTATCTGTCAACCTATACCAATTGTTTTTGGCATGCATTGTGCATTTAAGTGTCAAGTGCCAGTTGCTTATATCACAAAGTAAAAGAATTGAGCTAAATAGCTCATCTTGAACCTTTTTTTTGTCTTATTTAAGAGATGTCTCAGGAATGACCAATACCCCCTTATCTCTATGACACCGGATTTTATGTCAGTCAATTTATTCTTATTTTTGAATGAGAACATTATTTTGAGCTCTTAGTTTGAAGAAAATCCTTCAAGAAGCAATAACATTTATAGTGCAGACACAACATCTTCTGACATTTGACTTTCAAGTGTGACCTTGACATTCAGCTACCACAAAGGAAGCATGCAGTCTGCCCTTTGCCTTGTTGTGGTTAACACTTGTGCCAAGTTTAAGGTAAATTCTTCAAGGGGTATTGGATTTATAGAGTGGACAAGGAATTGCCTGACATTTAACCTTCGAGGGAGACCTTGACCTTAAGCTGTCACAATGGCACCATGTGTTCAGCACATAACTTTATTGCTGTGAACATTTGATCCAAGTTTAAACAAAGACCTTCATGTTGTATAAGAATTAAAGAGCATCTGATAAAGATAGACTAACCAATTGACTGACTGGTCACAGTGATTTCAGCAAAGCTCACTCAGCCATTATGTGATTGGTGTATAACACCAGCTAATGCAGAGAATGAAAACACAATTTTATATTGCAGTGTTACACCATCCGAAGGTAACAAATAAACAAAGATAAAGAGACAAATTTCTATTTACAAATTTATTTTAATAGATAGTGTAATAATTGTATAATCAACACACAAAAGCAACTGATTTTCTATTATTTTTTAATCACATAATTGAACTGTAAGTTCAACTTAACATTTAAAATAGGTTTAAATAAATGATTTCAGCAAGTTCAAAATATGAACTGTGAAATAAAAATAATTTCAAAAACCGCTTGTTATAAAATTAAATCAAGCATAAAAGATTTTCTACATGTATACCCGTAATACATTCGATAACTTGGTTCAGTTTAAGAAAATTGGCACCAGGTAGGCAACAGAGTAAAATATCTGTCCTCCAAGAAAACAAACAAACAGCAATGTGTCTATAAATTTAGCAATATTTTTCCATGTAACATCTTCAACTTCTGTACTCACGGAGCTGTACGATGTTCTATCATTACTCTGAGAAAACGTCTCTTCAGCTATCGAAGCATTGTCCCAGGAGGCTGATGCTGTGTCAAATGGCACGACCTTGTCTCGAACATTTTTACTCTCTTTCTCTATAGCCGACCTGCATGTAAAGCATCTATAGATATAAGATAATATGACCGGTACAGGATCTGACTCTGATTTATGATAAATTCTGATTGTAAAGATTGTCATTACAGTCATCACAGCACTAAATATCATCATGACAAATGTGTAGTAACTCAAATATGACAAGGGTATACCAGAAGTTGGTAGAAATCCCATTATCATGTTCAGCAGGACAACGTACGTCAGGAAACACGTGACCGAGAATCCTATCCTCTCACCTGATTCAATCGGTACAAGGAATGTGCAGGCACTCAGAGCTCCTAGCAACACGACTGGTGAGATTAAATTGATGATATAATATAACGGTCTACGAGTCAACTTCATCTTATAATCTATCACTGAATATTCGTTGATTTCAGTTGTCTCCACAGACGTCTCGTCTATTTTCCACTCACCATTCTCCTCAAAATACAGAAAACTCCACTCATTGTTTTTAGGACTTAAACTAACTTCATTTGTCTTATAACCCCATACAGACAGTCTAATAGTACACAACTGTTTATCAAACGGGTAATACTTGACATCCGGAGAGCATGCAGCCCTTGCTACAACCCAAGGCTTCCATTCACACTCCTTTGATGTGAAATTATAGCGAATTTTTACTGAGGTATCATGTCCAATAAGTTCATATGTTTTTACGGAGTTCAGTAGAACTATTGGTGGTTTCCAGATCATAGATGGCTTTAGAAGATCTGTTACACCCTGGGACGTTGTGTACAAGTCAGTACTCCATTCAAGGGTGACAAAACCGCTCACATCCATGTACCCATTTGTCTCATCAAAATCATTGATTGACACTAAATTCCAATCAAGTGTAACATTCAATGTTAGATCAGAATCAGTCAATGGTCGAAGTGTATCAAATCCATCTATTGGAGAAACGTTGTCAGCAATTTCAAGTAAATCAGTTTTCACATCATCAAATGTTACTGCAAGCACAGTTTCTTGCCATACCATAATAGTTATTATAACTATAAATACAGCTCTATATAATGTCCCCATCATTAATGTCTTTATTTGTCTCCAGTATGTTACTTCACAAACTGAAGTATATCTTTATCTATCTCATAAGATCAAGAACCTGTTCATACTGCTTTAAATGTTAAATCTATATAAAATTTCTTATTCCTTGCAATGTTACTGAGGATATTATTATATTATACAGTAATTTACTTTTCCCACTAATGTTTACCACTTTTCTCTGATTTTAATCACTTTTCACTGATTTTTATCACTTTTTACTGATTTTTACCACTTTCCCCTTATACTCATTTGTCTTGTTTCTCAATTTCCAGTTTCTAATTAAAATATTTACTGGTATTTTTCAAGTTATTTTTAATCAGCAATTACACTTCTGTACATTTTTTTGGTCAAAATGAAACTGACATTACATGGTTTAATTGTTCTGTTCAAATGTTAAAATAGATCAAACTGCTTATAACTATAAACGTCATAATTTGCGCAGTTGATTATGTGCCACACAATTTAACATCTGATACAATTAAAATCCTATTAAATACTGATAAACCATCAATTAAACCAATATAATAATAAGATATACTGATAAGCAGGTGTCTTCCGGTATTGTATTCTTTTTTGGTTCATTATAACAAGACAAAAATGATTATGTTTCATAATCAGATATTACCACCCCCTACAGATCTTTCTCAATGAAAAACAACTAATTTATTGGCCTCAGGTTTGAAATTTTGAATGACTTATCAAACATGTGACCTGCGATTCTTCATGTATTTTTTTGTACATTACATTATCAAAATAAAAAGAAGAATAAGTTTAACTTACGGAAGGTCAGACGGACAGACATACAGGGCACAATGATATGCTGCAAACAGTGGAATGGCAAATAGTTCTTGTGGTGAAAGTGTGGTTAACTTCATGAAGTCCTCCTTCCCTGGTATCAGTTTTGTATTACGCTTGTACGTCTGTAATTCATCCCTTAATACAAACACATCTACTGACATTGTTAAATTGTTCTTCAACTGTAACAAACAGATGACAATATTATAATAATACATCTGTAGATTACCAGTACATACAAGATACAGTCAATGCAGATATAAATCAGAAATGGAAAAATCAGAGTTATTACACTTATCAATGTAATTTGTTGGGTCATATTTGATGTTTAGGTCATATGGTGATTTTCCTTCTTTATTGATAGAAGATCCATGCATTATTTCAGGCACCTGAGTATAACCACCGGCATTCCGTGAGCTAACTGGATAGCTACCTCACATGAAAGAATCTGAAGTCATTGTTAAGATTCGAACCCACAAAAGTGAGGGGCAAGTGGTTAACAACCTTAATAACCACTGTATCATGGACGCCCCTATCAATGTAATTATCCAAAGCATAGCATAAGTGAATTGAATATTTCTTGAGGGTAGCCATAATAAATCTGACTCTCTACTAAATTTCAATTAATTGAAGACAATCACTCCATGAATCAAATGCTCAACCAATCTTCATTTATTCATTTGTCCAAAAAGAATAAGACTTGCTCAAATCAATATTTAACTTAAGGGTTACCGTTTTGTAATTTTTTCTACAACAAAAGTTTACTATAACATCTAGAGGTGACTGGAGTGTGACAAAGTGTACTATATTAATTTACCTGTAGAGGTTTCTGGAGTGTGACAAGGTATACTATATTAACTTACCTGAAAGGTGACTGGAGTGTGACAAGGTGCACTATATTAACTTACCTGTACAGGTTTCTGGAGTGTGACAAGGTATACTGTAGAGGTGACTTGAGTGTGACAAGGTGTACTATATTAACTTACCTGTAGAGGTTTCTGGAGTGTGACAAGGTATACTATATTAAAATACCTGTAGAGGTGACTTGAGTGTGACAAGGTATACTATATTAACTTACCTGTAGAGGTTTCTGGAGTGTGACAAGGTATACTGTAGAGGTGACTTGAGTGTGACAAGGTGCACTATATTAACTTACCTGTAGAGGTTTCTGGAGTGTGACAAGGTATACTATATTAAAATACCTGTAGAGGTGACTTGAGTGTGACAAGGTATACTATATTAACTTACCTGTAGAGGTTTCTGGAGTGTGACAAGGTATACTATATTAACTTACCTGAAAGGTGACTGGAGTGTGACAAGGTGCACTATATTAACTTACCTGTAGAGGTTTCTGGAGTGTGACAAGGTATACTGTAGAGGTGACTTGAGTTTGACAAGGTGTACTATATTAATTTACCTGTAGAGGTGACTGGAGTGTGACAAGGTATACTGTAGAGGTGACTTGAGTGTGACAAGGTGTACTATATTAATTTACCTGTAGAGGTTTCTGGAGTGTGACAAGGTGTACTATATTAACTTACCTGTAGAGGTTTCTGGAGTGTGACAAGGTATACTGTAGAGGTGACTTGAGTGTGACAAGGTGCACTATATTAACTTACCTGTAGAGGTTTCTGGAGTGTGACAAGGTATACTGTAGAGGTGACTTGAGTGGGACAAAGTGTACTATATTAACTTACCTGTAGAGGTTTCTGGAGTGTGACAAGGTATACTATATTAAAATACCTGTAGAGGTGACTTGAGTGTGACAAGGTATACTATATTAACTTACCTGTAGAGGTTTCTGGAGTGTGACAAGGTATACTATATTAACTTACCTGAAAGGTGACTGGAGTGTGACAAGGTGCACTATATTAACTTACCTGTAGAGGTTTCTGGAGTGTGACAAGGTATACTGTAGAGGTGACTTGAGTGTGACAAGGTGTACTATATTAATTTACCTGTAGAGGTGACTGGAGTGTGACAAGGTACACTGTAGAGGTGACTTGAGTGTGACAAGGTGTACTATATTAATTTACCTGTAGAGGTTTCTGGAGTGTTACAAAGTATACTGTAGAGGTGACTTGAGTGTGACAAGGTGTACTATATTAATTAACCTGTAGAGGTGACTGGAGTGTGACAAGGTGTACTATATTAATTTACCTGTAGATGTGACTTGAGTGTGACAAGGTGTACTATATTAATTTACCTGTAGAGGTTTCTGGAGTGTGACAAAGTATACTGTAGAGGTGACTTGAGTGTGACAAGGTGTACTATATTAATTAACCTGTAGAGGTGACTGGAGTGTGACAAGGTGTACTATATTAATTTACCTGTAGAGGTGACTGGAGTGTGACAAGGTATACTGTAGAGGTGACTGGAGTGTGACAAGGTGTACTATATTAATTTACCTGTAGAGGTTTCTGGAGTGTGACAAGGTATACTGTAGAGGTGACTTGAGTGTGACAAGGTGTACTATATTAATTAACCTGTAGAGGTGACTGGAGTGTGACAAGGTATACTGTAGAGGTGACTGGAGTGTGACAAGGTGTACTATATTAGTTTTTACCTGTAGAGGTTTCTGGAGTGTGACAAGGTGTACTGTAGAGGTGACTTGAGTGTGACAAGGTGTACTATATTAATTAACCTGTAATGGTGAATTGAGTGTGACAAGGTGTACTATATTAACTCACCTGTAGAGGTGACTGGAGTGTGACAAGGTATACTGTAGAGGTGAATTGAGTGTGACAAGGTGTACTATATTAATTTACCTGTAGAGGTTTCTGGAGTGTGACAAAGTATACTTTAGAGGTGACTTGAGTGTGACAAGGTGTACTATATTAATTAACCTGTAGAGGTGACTGGAGTGTGACAAGGTGTACTATATTAATTTACCTGAAGAGGTGACTGGAGTGTGACAAGGTATACTGTAGAGGTGACTGGAGTGTGACAAGGTGTACTATATTAATTTACCTGTAGAGGTGACTGGAGTGTGACAAGGTATACTGTAGAGGTGACTGGAGTGTGACAAGGTGTACTATATTAATTTACCTGTAGAGGTGACTGGAGTGTGACAAGGTATACTGTAGAGGTGACTAGAGTGTGACAAGGTGTACTATATTAATTAACCTGTAATGGTGAATTGAGTGTGACAAGGTGCACTATATTAACTTACCTGTAGAGGTGACTGGAGTGTGACAGTTTTATGGCTATGATTCATGTCTACATCATACACCATATAGTATTTGGTACCATGCTGTAAGAAAAGATATCATTTACAATTATTTGATATCAAAAAATCTCTAATTAAACCTTTGTTTGTAATAATGTTAAAATAATCTTAATGGCAAAAATAGCAAGACATCTACTTGTCAATATTTATAAAGTTCCAGGTACTTTTCAATATGCTCATATAAAACTTGTTAGATTTGTTTTTGTGGATTTCAGTAGCATACAAGAAAACACTGACTACTGATTTGAGAATTATGTTCATCTTTTACATACATATAAAAAAATCATCATTGACTCTACAAGTAAGAAAATTGGATCTATTCTTCAGAGATACATATAAATCATTCAAATGTATTCTACCATCAGGTAGTAGATGTCTTTTTTTCATCATGTAATTGTAGGTATTTAAAACATCAAAATCTTTCAAATTTTCTATGTTTACAATTTTTTTTATGTCTTTGTAAATGCTGAAAGATGCCAATAGGCTGTAAGTTATATTTCCAATTTTTAACTTAATTAACATTTTAAATGTCATAAAACCAGGGCTGACTTTACTGATTTACATACTGATTTGCTTTTTCATTACCCTTCCTCAAGTATAAAATCTTCAAATAAAGATGCAACATAAGATAGACATTAATTACATACAAAACAAAGAAGCTGGCATGAACAAAATGCCTTAAAATATAGCATCAAAATAGAATTATGTCCATAGGAAACAGACTTATGCAACCACTTAATTTGCCTGTCACGGTGGCATATTTACAAACTTATTCATGTATGATGTTTCAAAAACGTAAAGTGTTACATTAATAAGTAACATATGTGCATACAATAATAATATTTTCACAAACCTATGACGGATGAAACTCAAGTAATTAACCAGACAAGGATTTCATATCTAGCGTTAATTGTGATCTTGACCTAATGACCTCTAAATCATAAAGGTCATCAACTGGTCATAGGCAATATCCCTACTCAGTTTCATAAACTAAATTCTCAAATTGTTGATCGGTCATGGATTTTACACAATGTGTTACTGTGACTACAATATTTGACCTAATGACCTCAATCTCAATGTTAATAGGGGTCTTCTACTAGATATGAAGAAATGTCCTTTCCAAGGTTAATAAATCACACACTCTACCTTTGTAAGTAATTGATTGGACAATGACAACAGAACATGCATATGGACAGACCACCTCATTACAATTACTCCCCTCTCTTTAAAGTTGGGGCATAAAAGATTTTATTCAGCAATTTATACTAGCAAACAAATATAAAACATGTAAATATATAATCGTATTGAAATTTATTCTTAATGCAATGTTATTACTATTATTATTATTATACATGCAGTTTTATAAGTGATTATAAATATAGCCATTCAGTTGTTAGGTTAACAATAAATTTTTGTGTATCCACCCCATCCCCACTGCTGATCCATTAAAAATGTTACATGAACTTTTTATTTGTAAACTTTTTCTGTTAATAAAGTCACTGTGACCTTGATATTCTGTCCTCATTACGATCTACTAGTCTTGACAAATTTCCTTACTAAAACTTAGAACTGTAGGCCAAAACCTTCTCCAGTTACTGGTCTGAGAAACTTTTAATGGTCAATGCCACATTGACCTTGACTTTTGACCTCAAATCACTAGGGGTCATCTATGAGTTATGACTAACCTCATCATTACATTTCAGGATGGTAGGCTACATCATTCTCTAGATATAAGTTATATTATGTTGTGCTCTACTGACAGATTGTCATCATGCATCATAATATTGCCCCACTTCCTCTAAGGGGGGAATGGGGTCAAGGGCATAAATATGTGACAATACAATAAAAACAAATTAACATTAAATTAACATACACTTAAAGTAAAAAACAAATACAAAAGATAGTTATACACATAAAACAAATGACGCAAGGCAAGGACAATATTCTATTCCAACTTACTTCATTTTCAAGTTCATCTGACTATTTAAAGAAAATGGACAACAAAATTAATTTATATCAAAATATAGTTTTCTTCAAGGGAATAAAGTACCAGTTACTTATAAATCTTATTTCTATACAAGAATATATTTATATCAAACAGGGAAATATAAGATTTGTAAGATTCTCATGGTGGTTAATTTCTATCACTTTCATTAAGCAGTCGTATTGCAGGCAAAAACAACACAACAAAATCATTCATTGTTATGTTGTTGTGCAGCCACTAGCACAGCACCTTATCCATAAAACAAAAGAAGTATTACACTGATTGATTCAAAATGGTATTCTGTTGTATTTTTGCCTTTTGCTAACAGCCAAAGGAAACTGTTTAAAATTAATTGGCATGTTGTCACCAGACAAAAACAAGTAAAATTGGTTACTTGTTATTTTAGGAAAGAAAATAAGTAAATGCTAGAAGATAGAAACCAGTCACCATAGATTCTAGACACAGACATCTGTTTTAGGCATCAAACTGAAGAACACTATACTGTGGAAATAACAGAATGCAAAAAATCAGGTATTATTTTTTCAGATTAAGACTTATATGTAATAAAATTATAATATAAATCATTGATATTTACCTGTTTGGGTGTTAGATGGATCAATTTTCTACATGCTCTATTCATCATCTGTACTGACGATGTATCAAAACTTGATACCTGTAAAATATACATGTGGAAATGTTTATGAAATTTATCTAAAGTTATTAATATGTAAAAATTTAGTTAACATGTGATATACCTACACCACTGTAAAACACCTGATATCGTTCATTTAAATGCCTTTATAATACAGTACAAAAAAATAAACCTTTCCTATCATCTTAAATAATTCTTTCAAACATCTTAATTAGTTAAAACACATTTATTTTAGCTTGATTGTAAAATAACTTCTTGCAACTGATATTAATCATTTTCAAGTCCGCTCCCTGGAACTAACCAGTACTGCTGTCATATGAGGAAGCATGTTTGTGACTCAAGTAGTGCTTGAACCCATGATCCCTGGGTTGAGAGGCAGACACCTTAACCACAAGGCCAGCACCCTTATTAATTGATTTCAATCAGCTGTTTAATTACATAATTTTATAAACTTTTATCAAAGCAATGATAAACAAGAGCTGTCAGAAGGACAGCGCGCTCGACTTTTTTAGTGCTTGCCTATAAAACAAAACTTTGACAGTTAAGGGCACACAAGACTTTAACTAGGAATTTCTAAGTACAAATCAAGAAACATTTTCACAGAGTTATCTTCTCTTGCTTACAGATAGGTCTCATGATGGCACATAAGAACTCCAACTTCCAAAGTAATATCTCAAATGGTTAAGTCAACAAGTGGACAAGAATGAAAATTTTAACTGAGTTTCTAAGTCAAAAAGGGCCATAATTCAAATAAAATCCTTAACAGAATTACCTTCTCCTGCCCATGTTTTGGGACCATGATGGTAAACAAGTATTCCAACTTTCAATTTAATATCTCAACCAGTTCAGTCAAAAAGTTGACTGGTACAAAAAAGTTAACCAAGATTCTAAGTCGATAAAAGGCCTTAATTTTTAAAACAAATCCCTGACAGAGTTACCTTCTCTTGCGTACAGATGGGGGTAATGATGTGAAATAGCATTAAAAGTTTCAAAGCAATATCTCAAAGGGTTAAGGCAATAAGTGGATTTTACCCATATTCAATGTATTTTCTAAGTCAAAAAGGGGCATAATTCTGTCAAAAACCTTGACAGAGTTATGTCCTCTTGTCTGTTGATGAAGGTCGTGATGGTAAACAAGTATGGTCAGTTTCAAAGCAATACCTCCAATGGTTTTGAAATAAAGTGAGGTGGTACAAAAAACTTAACCAAGCTCAATACACTTTCTAAGTCAAAAAAGGGCCATAATTCTGTCAAAAACCTTGACAGAGTTATGTACTCCTGTCTGTAGATGGAGGTTATGATGGTGAACAAGTATGGTAAGTTTCAAAGCCATACTTGTAATACTTCTGAAATAAAGTGGGGTGGTACGAAAAACTTAACCAAGGTGTGACGCCAACGCCGACGCCGACGCTTACGCCGACGCCGACGCCGGGGCGAGTAGGATAGCTCCCCTTTTCATAGAAAAGTCGAGCTAAAAAGTCAAAGACTCAAATATCACTTCTAATAAGTAATGATTATTGTAATGAGAATATAATTTCCCACCTGAATTTGGACACCATCTCTATCTAGTTGAGCTCCTGACATTACATCATCGTCAAAGACAAATGCCCCTGCACTGACAAGCGTATGCCCCACATCTGCAAGTGTCTGGTTTACAAAAGTCAATGGCCTTCTTTGACTACTACAAATAAGAACAGTTTTATAAATTACTGTTTAAATAAATGTACAACACATACAAAACAACTCTGTAGAGTAACATCTTTTGAGATAAAAATATTTAAGATGTTGTTGAAAGGTGCTGATGTAGAGAGGTCAAGGTAATTGTAAAGTATTACTTTTGCTGTAAAGAGGTCAAGGTTATTGTAAAGTATTACTTTTGTTGTAAAGAGGTCAAGGTTAGTGTAAAATATTACTTTTGTTGTAACAAGGTCAAGTTTATTGTAAAGTATTACTTTTGTTATAGAGAGGTCAAGGTTATTGTACAGTATTACTTGTGTTGTAAATAGGTCAAGGTTATGGTAAAGTATTACTTTTGTTGTAAAGTGGTCTTTCATGTACAGAGGGCCACTATATAGAGGTCACACTGTAGTTCTCTATGTTAACCGTTTAAATACATTGCTTAAAGCTACATTAAATAAATTTCATAAAAACAGAAATGGCGACATTTCATTAATAAATTGGGTTTCAGTTCGACTCCAGATTTTATTTTGGTGTCAAGACAACCAACATAAGTTTTATAAGCATAAAAAATTGGCAACCTCATTGTGGTGAAATCGGAAGTACAATAATAATTATTTTTGTTTGCATGAGAAACTCCGCCCTCGGTTCATCCGTACATCAATATTATATCAACAAACATGACTATGTGCAGCAGTTCTAATCTAACGGTATATTTCCGCATTGTAACGGATGTTTTCATACAAATTTAATCTTTTTTATGAGATGATTACTTTTTTCTGAACCACAGGCCTAGTGCACCGTGAAGCTAAAACGGTTAAAGTGTGTTTGCACAAGAAAATCTCATATTTACTGTGTTCCGGGTGGCAGCTATAACACTGTGACGTAGCGCATACACAAGCTAATTATAGTCTTCATTTGCATGTTAAAATTCGTATACGAACTTTAGTGTTACCGTGGGGTTTTCCGTTTAAAATCCTAATTTATGAACAATATTTGATGAGATTTGCAACATAACTGTTAAAAAGGTTTATGAAACTGTATAATGCTTGTTTTTTAGGCCGACGGCAAAATATTTTTACCTATTTATTTAATGTTTAATGTAACTTTAACATGGAGATACAAAAGAAATATCTAAGGGTCATGCCCTAGTTAAAGTATGTAACCATGGTAACTAGAATACCTTAAAGATGTAGAATCTTCCTCCTCTTCTTCCTCTGTTATAACATTTATATCATCATGACTGGGCGGAGTCACGTGTCTCATGTCTCCAGGGTTACAGATCCTACATCCATGTACATAGTCATCATGTATCTTAAAATAACACATTTAATATGAGAGTATAAAAAGAGCAGCTGTTTGTAGGTAAATACATAATCCATCTAACACTATGTTTTTTGAGTCTTTATCATTTAAATAAAGGTAAAAGGTAACTGATACCAATGATGTTGAATATGATATGAAATAGGTTTATAGTTTAAGTTCAAATTAATAAGAACTTATCTTCCGTGACCATGACAACCGCAAATGCTTTACTTTTGTTATACTATGTCATTGAAACTATCAACATTTTCTGAACTCACTGAATATATATATCCAACACTATATATTATTTGAATGGCTTCAAAAAACTAGCTTCTCACATTTTAGAAATATATAATAAATACAAACTAATAACTTTAACAAAATCACTTTATTGTTTTACCTACCTTAACACTTTTATGTAAAATGACATCTGTATCAACACCAAGCTGAAATATTTGTAACACAATAATAAAAATATGACATAAAGAACTGTACACATTTTGAAAATACATTCAAAATAAATGAGTAACAACACAAAAACAGTGATCAGTTTGTGTATTCATTATTCTCTGTGTGACAGTCATCTTAAGTTCTCTGTTTGTAACAAATAATGAGAACAAGGAAAGAGAATGTAGCCCCCAACAACACCAAGCAACACAGACCCACAGGCAAGCTACACAGACCCACAGGCAAGCTACACAGACCCACAGGCAAGCAACACAGACCCACAGGCAAGCAACACAGACCCACAGGCAAGCAACACAGACCCACAGGCAAGCAACACAGACCCACAGGCAAGCTACACAGACCCACATGCAAGCAACACAGACCAACACGCAAGCAGCATAGACCCACAGGCAAGCAACACAGACCCACAGGCAAGCAACCCAGCAGGGCACTAAATAAAAACTGGCCCTAGGCAAAAAAGTGGATGCTAGTAGGGGCAGCAATGCCCTAATAACATACCAACATTTACTTACTTAATTCATTGTTTATCAGTGAAACAAATCTTAACAAACAAATATAGTTAGCCCAACACATGATTAAAATGTCTGAATTAAAGACCAAAAAATCATGTTATTCATTTTATTCATTTACATTATATATAAATACAAAAATTGGATCTAAAGTGTCATCTCTTAATCATGATCTAGTACATAAATAAACTGTATCACCAAGACAACAAGTATTACATACATGTATATAGAGGAAGAAGTATCAATGTGTATACCTTGTTAGATACAGCTAGTGCTGGTAGTTTCTTTGTATCCATCAGACTGTCTGGGTTCGTCTTGTCCAATGACTGAAATAGTAACAACTTTGTTTTAAACTTTATACCTTTACAAATAGATCTTTTCATGCCTTGATCTCATCTTTTCTAAAATAATTTTAAATATTATCTTAATATAATACTAATACAGGATTTACAAAAAAGCTCTAATTATCAATACATAAGAAAGTCAGGTAAATTTTTGCAGGTGTATACTGCCGGCAAAGGTACAGGTACATATTTCTGTGAAACTGTAATGACAGACTCTCAAACAATTTCATGAAGATTATAAGCATAAAGTATAGTTATGTTTGACTACAATAAAAGTTAAATACTAGTATTGTGAACAGAATATAAAATTATTTATGTGACAGAGTTAAAATATAAAATGCTTATAAAGGACGGAAGGGAGTTTACAAGAATGTTATTACTATTAAAAACTAAAAATTTCTAAATTATCTATATCTATATGTATATATAATAGAATTATGTGGATAGTGGATTTTTTGGTTGGGATTTAAGACGCATAGATCATATGGTGACTTTCCATATTTACTTGGGTGGAGGAAGACCTCAGTTGCCTTCCTTACACTATTTCTGGCACATGAAAGAATCTGACATCCCTGTCGGGATTCAAACCCACAGTGGTGAGGGGCAAGTGGTTTGAAGTCAATGACCTTAAATTAACGACTGGGCCACGGACACCCTGTGGAATTTATTAGATGTCACAGACCTATCACAGAGGTTATTAGTTTATATTATCACCCTAACAAAACAACACAAGAATTATGAATTGTCACCTGAATAATAAAAAAACCTGCCACCCACATAGAAATAAGTGAATACAAGTAAATCTTGTTGTTACGTTAAAGTTTGTTTGTTTTTCTGAGTTTTAAGCCCATTTAACACATTTCTAATCATTGAGGGATTTCAAATCAGTGACGGACAAATGATCATTTATAGATTCAATGTCCAAAATCGAATGTCACAGACAAACTTCCCTTTACCCAAAGATTGAACCAGTGGCCCTGGAAAACTCTGATAATTGCTATACAGTCTTTGTGCATCCTCTTATTCAAATCAGGTATGTTCTGTAAATATCTTCTAGATTTCAATAAATTTCTGCAATAAAAGTTTTTTACCCAGAGATGAGCATAGTATATCTTTAATTAAAGTTTTTTTTTCATTTTTTTTCTTTGTGTAGGCATACATGGTGTGTATCCACATAGATGCAATGTTAACGTAAGAGAGGTTAAATAAATGCTGCTGAAGATAGTCTATGGGAAATAGACACTCAGAAATTATCAAAAGCAGACCTTCTCATTGGATCCAAAGGTACATCAAAGACTCAATATTATAATGTTACTTTTCACTATTATAAGGGTAACTAAGATTCTCTGTGATACAAAACTAAAGTCTTTACACACAGTTTAAACAATGTTGAAATAAAAAATCAATGAAGGTAAATTGTATTGAAGTATCAACTGCAACCTCATGGACACATAAAAATAATGAACAATAACCAGTACCTAGTTCTTGTTTAAAGACATATTTGTACATTCTGTTTATAAATGCATTCTCTCCTACATAACATACATATCTCCTTTAACAATCTAGGCGAACAATACAAAATGAGTTCTACCAGTGTGAGACACCATTGCATTACTAGTTTAATAGAGTTACACCTGAAGTAAAATTTCAATAAATTTCCAATTTACAGCTGTACCACATTTATCATAAAGAAAAAATAAAACAAAAATCTTGTTTTTTACCAATGAACCTATTATGTAAAATTTCAGATTAAAACTGTCAACAAGTTTATTTGTATCATACTTTGGCCTTGATTAACCAGTACTGATGTCATCAAGGAAACATGAACTTATAAAAGTAAAGCATGAACCCTCAACCCCCTAGGGTAAGGAAACAGAACCTCTCACCACCTCTACCCCTTACTTATTTGTAGTAAAACACAGTCTGATGATGAATGCATGTTAATGTCTATACATGTGTATACACATTTGTGTTGTGTATGTTGCTAAGGAGTTAAGGAAGATCAAAACAAAGTTCAGATTAACTGGGATTCTTTAGTGCAACAAAATCAAATACATCTTTTGTATTAAGGGCGTTATGCTAAAAGGTAGAATTTATCAAAGTGATGCAATTCATACATGATATGGCTTCACCCAATGATAAGAGCTCTATAGAAATGATAAAATAATAAAATAATAGAATCAAGGGTCAAAGGTTAGTATAGTCAAGGACAAAGGTCAGATATTAATATACTCAAGGACAAACCTGCCAATGCTGAAAAAAAATCACAAATAATAGACTTATATCTTAAATCTATTAAAATCACTCATTCAACAGTATTTCTTAAAATGACTGACATCTATTATAAATATAAAAACATTTTATTTTATGCTTTTTAAGTGCATAACTGATTTATTCATGAAAATTATGTTTGATAATTTGATCAAATAGTCCAGCTAAAAATGACCTGAAATGAAAAGCATAATGCAATGCTTTTCACTAAAGCAGGATAAAAATAGCTCAAAAATATGATTTTCATTTTATTTTTAAATATATTTCTTAATTATCTTCTAGACTTCTACACATATTTTTGTTTTGAGCACCCCAGATGATCTATGTAAGAAATTCAAATTTTATGTTTTTAGTCTTTTGAACTTCAGTGGAGTTCCTTTAATTAAGAACATTTAATATAACATCAGGTCTACCTGAAGAACATCTCTGATGATATTGATGGCGGGTGGGGTAATGTTCACCAGTAATTTATCCGGGGAGGAAAGTATCATGTACATGCATTGACCATCCTCTTCTCCACTAAAGTCTGGTTCCCCAGCTTCTATTGATGGTAGTCCATCTATCTCATCATACCTCTCAGGACCTGGGAACCAGAAACAAAGAAAAGATTATGTCACTATTTTAAAGGAATAGAACGAAAATTTGATTTTTAAATGAATAGATTTGTCTAATTATTCATACAATGTCAATCAAAAACAGTTTAAAGGTAAAGTATTTCTATCATTAATTTCATGAAAATCATATACCATTTAAATTTTTTTTTTACTTTAAAAAAAAACACTTTTTTATTCCCAAAAAATAATTTTTTAAAATATTTAAAAAACCCTTTGTTTAAAAAAAACTAAAAAAAAAAAATTCATTTTAAAATTTTTTAAACTTTTTTTGGGGATAATTTTTTTGGGGAAAATAATTTTAATTTTTTATAATAACTTTCCTCTCAATATTTAAAAAAAATTTTTTTTTTTAAAAATTACACTTATAAAATTTAAAAAATCTTTTTTCTTTTTTAAAATTTTTTTTTAATTATTAAACCCCCCATAATTTTTAATTTTAATTTTTCCCAAAAAAAACAGTTGGGTTTTTTTCTAAAATTTTAATTTAAATTTTCCCCTTTAAAAAAAAAATTTTACTCTACCCAAAAAGGACTTTTTTAACCCAAAAAATCTAAAAAAAAAAACCTTATAAAAAATTTTTCCAACCCCTTTAATAAAATATATAAAACTTAAAGGTTTTTTTAATTTAAAAAAACAAAAAATAAAAAAACCCTCATAAAAACTAATCCCCAATTTAAAATATTTTCCCCAGGGGATATTTTTTACCCTTAAATCACAAAACCCCTTTTTATTTAAAAAATACTTTTAAATCGGGTAAGAAATAAATTTAACACCCCTCTAAAAAATTTTAAAAACAAAATTTAAAAAACCGTACAAACCCCGTGGCCCTCAAATTTTTGAGGAAAAAGGGAAACATATTTACTAAACTAAAATAATTTAAACCCGTAATCAACCCCTTTAAAAAACACATTTTTTTGGAAAAAAAACCCAAAAAAACTAACTTTCAAACATAAAAAAGTAAAATGAAAAAAATTTTTCCCCAAAAAATCTTTTAAAAAAAAATACAAATTTTTTTTAAATTTTAAATTAAAATTTTTTTATATTTTTTAAACTTTTTAAAATTCCCAAAATTTAAAAAGGTTAAAATTACACCCAAAAATAAACGGGAATTTTTTAAAAAGAGTTTTAAAATGAAAAAGAATTTCCAAATTTTAAAAAAAAACAGGGAAAATGGGAAAAAAAGAAAGGGTTTTTTTAAGGGCCAAAACAAAAACCCAATTTTATTTAAATTTCCCGTATAAAATTTCATGGTTTTACGCAACACTTTTCAACCCAAAGTTTTTTTTAACTTTTTTTTAAAACACATAATTAATTCTTTAAATTTAAAAAATTTTTTTTTAAAAAATTTATTCGAAACAAAATTTTGGGGCAATAATATTAAACAAAATTTCAGGGGTTTTCTCTAAATAAACCAGTACTTTTTAAAAATGAAAAACATATTTTTTCCCAAATTTGGGTTTGCACCCAGGATTCCTTGGGGGGACAACCCGGGCACCTTAACCACTAACCAGACTCCCCTATTCCCCTTAGTTCTTTAACCAGGTTAGGTCAGAAAGTTCAAACAGTTATTACCTAGTATAATTTGTCTCTGATAATGTATGTACATGTATTTAAAAACCATGACACCTTGAAAATGATTACAACAATAATTTGAATCCTAACTGGATAATTTTAAATCAATTAATTTTCCTGAAAATCAATACAGTATAAAGAAAAGCTTAGAATTAATAGACCAAACTTCCAACTTAATACATGGAACATTATTTCTTAAGTTTTTTTTTAGTTTTATGTACCATTTGATGTAGGTCTATACTTATAACTCTTTGTGCAAAATTTCACATCATTCCTTCACTCTGTTTAACCAGAACAATCATTAAATTTTTCATTGTGCAAATTAACAAAAATTGAACCAGGCTAAAATTTGTACAAAAATCAAATTGATGAATGGGTCCAGATGAAAAAACAAGCCATTAGGATATCTAGGAAAGGTTAAGGCTATTTAAAGGTTCATTTCATTTAAATCTAATATTACAAGTTTGTAATGTTTAAAACAATTGCCCTAAAACGGCAATATCTTAAATTAAAAAATAAATAGAACTCAATTTCAAGTAAAATAGAATAATTGCTTTTTTTTTAAAAACAGGGTACATGCCAGTAAAATTTTCACCCTAAAACCTTTAGAAAAAGAAATCCAAAAAATGAATTGCAACCCCTCCCTCATGCAAAGTTTAAAAAAAAAAGACCCAGAAAAAGATCTTTTTTTTAAAAGACAAAAACCAAATGAAAAAAAGCCCATGTATACTGTATAAATAAACAAGAAAACCAAAAGGGGGAAATTATAGTTTATTAACATATTTCGGGGCACAAAGCTGGGATTAAAAACCCCGTATTTTACCTGATGCCTTAAAAGGAAAAAATTTTAAAAAAAAATGTGAAAATTAAAAAAAAAATAAAAATTAAAAATTGGGCACATTAAACGTAAAACGAAATGACAAAAAATAGTTAAAAAAGTCTAAAAATGGAAAAAAAAAAAAACTGAAATTTTTTTCAAATGAACTGAAAAAACAACATAATTATCAAAAAAAAATCATATTTCACAAAAAACGGGAAATTTAAAATTTTAAAAAACAAAATATTTTCCCTAAAAACTTCCCCTTTGGAATAAAAAAATTTTTTAAAAAAAAAATTTTTCAAAAAAATTTTTTTTTTTTCCCTTTAAAAAAATTTTTTGAAAGATTACAGTTCAATATTCCTTTTATAAAACATTTTTTCAATTTGAAAATATCCAAAAAAAATTCTACATTTTTTAAAAAACAAAAAAAAAAAGACAAATTTTTGGGAAAATTTTTAAAAAATAAAATACTGCCCCAAAAAAAACCATAACAACACCCGGGCCCCAAAACCAAAAATAAAAATTTTAACAAAAGGCCCCCCTTATTTAAAAAAAATAGTTTTTCGAGGCCAGTGGCCCTCCATTTTTTTTGTCTCCTAATATCACATTCCCCCGGTCTGTCTGCAAAAAATAACCCCCGGCTGATGAAAAGAAATTAAAAGACTTTCGTCTCCGGTCCCCCACCCCCCCCTTTCGCACATGACAAATTAAGATTCCGAAAAAAGGTGTCAAATGTAAATTTTAAAAAAACCCTTTAAAAATTTTACTACTTTGTTATTAAGATAATTCCCCGGGAAAAAAACAAAAAAAAAAGCATTACAAATCTAAACCAAAAAAAAACTTTGAAAAAAACATTTAAAAAAAAAGGAAAAATTTCTTTTAATTTAAATTTAAAAAAAACACATGTAATGTTTTATAAAAATTTAAAAAAAATCATTCTATCAAAATACCCTATTTTCATTTTTTAAATTTTAATATATCCAAACCAAATTAAATTCAAAAAACCTTTAAAAAAATTAAAAAAAAAAAGGGCCACCCAAGGCCCGGGAAACGCTCCACGGTAATAGGCCCCCCGTTACGGGCCTTTTAAAAAACCCCAAAACCTTTTTTTTGAAAAAACTGGTAAAGCCACCCATTAAAATGTTGGGTTGCTAGTAAAAATTTAAAAAACCTAGCCGTTGGGGTTTTTTTAAAAAAACTTTTTTTTTTTTTTCTTTTCCAATTTTAAAAAACAATGAACCCCGGGGAGGCCAGTTTTTTAACCCCCCGGGGTTTTATTTTAAACCCAAATTTTTTAACACCAAATAAAAAAAGTTTTAAAGCTTTAAAAATCAAAACTCTACTATCCCGGGTTTTTTTAAAAAAGATTTTAAATTTTCCCAAAAACACAATTTTAAGGCTCAAGAAACCCAAAAATTTTTACCCCCAATTAAGCCAAAATTTAAAAAAATGGGCCCCAAAATTTTCCCTAGGCCTCTTATTTTAAACCCAAAATTGGTAAAAAAATCCTTAGAAAATGTTTTAAAGCTAAATTCCTGACCTTAGCTCTTTGGGTTCTTTTAAAAAATTTTAAAGTTTTTTTAAAAAGCATATTTGGAAAAAAACAATACCCCCCTGGGGGAGGGCCAAAATTTTACCCCCCGATTTTATTTGACTAAAAAAAAGTTTCAAAGCCCCCAAAAATCTAAAACTCACCCCTTTTTTTTTAGAAAAAATATTTTTTAAAATTTTTTTTTTGGTTTTTTGGGTTCCATGGCCCAACCCAAAATTGCATGGAATTAAATTTTTTGGGAAAAATTTTAAAGGTTATCACCCAAAGGAAAAATTTTCCCGTGAATTGGATAAAAGCTTTTGTGGTTTTTGAAAGGGGAAAGTCATTTAAAGTAAAAGTTTACTGACGACGGACAGATGCCGGACGGACGCCGAACGAAAGCGATTACAAAAGCTCACCTGTCACAAAGTGACAGGTGAGCTAAAAAATGATGATGTTCCCTCCTTTTGACAAATCATTACTCACAGTCTATAATTTTGTTGAAATCCTAACAAAGTGTGAGTAACATTTCAGAGTCATTCTTTTACATGTACATGTAATCATATTATACACAATGAAGATTTTATATAAACATCACACTTCATGAAATATACATCATCCAAATAACTGATAATATGAATATAAGAACATTAAATTAATGTATAGTTACACACAACAGTATTATAACAAATAAATAAAAGTTAATAAATCAAAAACAAAAAATTAAACACTCACCATAACTTTTATCGCTGGCTATTCTAACTTTTCTACGCGTATTTTTGGGTCGTAAAATCGTCATCTCACTTGGTGAGTCTAATTCTTCATCCGCCTCATTCTCGCTACTGCTGGACCGGAAATGATTCCGGTTGATCATTTGCTCGACATCAGTCTGAAGACCGTCCGGTACATCTAGACCATTGTCGTCATAGCTACACACAATCGGGAAACTCTGAGCTTGAAATATCTGAAAAAAAAACATTATCACCTATAAATGTAACAAAATGATTTGATTCTGAAATATTCAAGTTCTTTAGGTCTTTCAATCTTCAAGCCTTAGTTGTAAGTTCTGGACACAGAACAAGGGATTGTTGTTATAGTGACTATTAATGGATTACCTCAACAGTCATGTAAAATTGACATTGCAACTACGATGCAGTTATGGACTTTACAAACACAATCAGATTTATTCATCTGTTACAGGCAGATAATACATCAGTAACTGATACAATATAGACAGAACAAATACTGTATTGCAATCAAGACAGAGCATATACTGTATTACAATCAAGACAGAGCATATACTGTATTGCAATCAAGACAGAACATAATTATACTGTATTACAATCAAGACAGAGCATATACTGTATTGCAATCAAGACAGAGCATATACTGTATTGAAATCAAGACAGAGCATATACTGTATTGAAATCAAGACTGAGCATATACTGTATTGAAATCAAGACAGAGCTTTACTGTATTAAAATCAAGACAGAGCATATACTGTATTGGGCCTCAACTGATAAAGAAAGTGACTGAAAACAAAAGGAAATCAGACACAAAACTGTGAAAAACAAAAAAAAAACAGATATACAAATATGAACACACTGTAATTCTGCTGTCCTCTCAAGACAATGTAAAAGATGATACAAACAGACATACCTGTATTTTTAGTGCCCAGTTTTCATACTCTCCCTCTTTGACAAGGTTAGGTTCTACAAGTGGCTCCCATACACTTAATTTCTCATTATAATAACATATATCTAACTCCAGGTCAGCTGTCAATCTCATCTGAAATACAATTATAACACATCAGTAAGGGCAAAACAAGGTGAAAACCGTTATTCAAATATAGAATGTTAGATATAAAACAAAACTTTAAAGCCTCTATATTATTACTATGTGAAAACTGTATGCCTATGTTTGATATTTTCCAAATAGTATATCAGATATTATGAATCACCTTGTACATATGACAAAGATATTATAACAAGAGGGCCATGATGGCCCTGAGGTCGCTCACCTGTATATAGGCCCCCCACCCCCGGGCCAATTTTTACCCAAGGGCTTTTATTTGTTTATTTAAACAGACTTGGTAGACACCCATAAGAAGATGTTTCATGCTAAACATCTAAGTTCTAGCTCATTGGCATCTTTAAAAGAAGATTTTTAAAGTTTTTACTATACACATATAGTTAAAAACAATGTCACCCCTGGGGCAGGGCCAGTTTTGACCCCCAGGCGTTTATTTTAACAAACTTTGTAGATATTTACTTAAAGATGTTTCATGCTTAATATCTATACTCTAGCTATTTGGGTTTTTCCAAAGAAGATTTTTAAGTTTTTGCTATACACTGATATAAGGAAAGTCAATGACCCCCCCCCCCGGGCGGGGCCAGTTTTGACCCCAGGGCTTTTATTTGAACATACTTGGTAGACACCCATTAGAACATGTTTCATGCTAAATATCTTAGCTCCAGCTCTTTGGGTTATTTAAAAGAAGATTTTTTAAGTTTTTACTATATGCATATAGGGAAAATCAATGACCCCCTGGGGCGGGGCCAATTTTGACCCCAGAGCTTTTATTTGAACAAACTTGGTAGACACTCATTAGAAGATGTTTCATGCTAAATATCTTAGCTCTAGCTCTTTGGGTTCTTTAAAAGAAGAATTTTTAAGTTTTTACTATATGCATATAGGGAAAATCAATGACCCCCCGGGCGGGGCCAATTTTGACCCCAGGGCTTTAATTTGAACAAACTTGGTAGACATTCACTAGAAGATGTTTCATGCCTAATATCTTAGCTCTAGCTCTTTGGGTTCTTTAAAAGAAAATTTTTTAAGTTTTTACTATATGCATTTAGGGAAAATCTATGACCCCCTGGGGCGGGGTCAATTTTGACCCCAGGGCTTTTATTTGAACAAACTTGGTAGACATTCACTAGAAGATGTTTCATGCCAAATATCTAAGCTCTAGCTCTTACGGTTTGTTAAAAGAAGATTTTTTAAGTTTTTACTATATGCATATAGGGAAAATCAATGACCCCCAGGGGCGGGGCCAATTTTGACCCCAGGGCTTTTCTTTGAACAAACTTGGTAGACACTCACTAGAAGATGTTTCATGCCAAATATCTAAGCTCTAGCTCTTATGGTTTTTTAAAAGAAGATATTTAAAGTTTTTTCTTTTGGTTGCCATGGCAACCAGAGTTCTGCATGGAATTAAATTCTTTGAACAATTTTTAAAGGTGACCACCAAAGGAACATTCCTGTGAAGTTTGGATGAAATTGGCTCAGTGGTTTATGAGGAGATGTCATTTAAAGCAAAAGTTTACGGACAGACGACGGACGGACGACGGACGGACAACGGACGGACGGACGCCGGACGAAAAGCGATCACAAAAAACACAGTAATAGAAATACAATGTAGGAATTTATGATTATAAAATATTGAAATATAAACCTGCATAAAAAATAGAGAGTAAAGTAGAGAGTAAGGTAACATCACAGATAAACTAATTTGAAATATATACCTTGAATTCATGCATTGCATTAAAGAATGTTTCATAGATTGGTATTTTGAGTACAGAAATGATAAAATTCAATTAAATAACATAAATGTTTCACAACTCCTTTGATAATCATTGTACAATGTATGTATAAAAACAACATAATTTCATGGTAAAATAATTGGTTTTCTACATCATGATGTTTAAATAAATTTAAATGGTGAGGATATACTTGTTTGGTCCAGTTTGAAACTTTTCCATCCACAGAAGTACGTATACATAGCAATGGGACAGTCTGGTCGAGATTTTCCACCTCAAAGAAAGCACAAACTTCCTGTACATCTACAGTAAAGGTCTCTGTTGGGGGATCTAATTGACCAAACACAGGTCCAGTGGCAGGCTCTTCTTCATCTGTAATTATAAATAAAAATATGAGCCGCGTCACGACAAAACCAACACATTGGGTTTGGGACCAGCATGGATCAAGACCAGCCTGCGCATCTGAGCAGTCTGATCAGGATCCATGCTGTTCGCTTACAAACCATATGACATGTAGAGGAACTGATAGCTTACAGCATGGATCCTGATCAGACTGCACGGATGCGCAGGCTGGTCTGGATCCATGCTGGTCGCAAACCCATTATGTTGATTTTGTCATGGCGAGGCTCATATCAATATCAGTATCTTCAATATCTACTATTTAAAATTCAAAACAATTTGGAAAAAGATGATCTAAGGCAAACACAAAGTCTTTGGCAAACTATGAACTTCTATGAACTATCCCAGGAATTAAATAAATTTGATAATAAAACCTATGAGTAGACAATAATAACTTCTATAGGATCTTTCTACTGGCCAATATACACATATTCAGATTCTGCGCTTAATTTTAGCTTCTTCTTTATTTTTATTTATTTATCAAAATCTTTCATATAAATATTTAACAGTTTTAGATTCAAAGAATGACAATGTAATTTCACAAATCTAGCATACATGGTATGGATAAAGGAATTTTTAATGAATTAGAAGTAAAATATCATAAATATCATAAATAAGAGAATAATTATACAATCATTGTGGAACTGGTGGCTGGATAATACTCTATAATAACTCTTATTTTCCCCAATTCCATCTGTATTGATGGCTGATGAAAAATGTCAGAATATATGACTTACATTTTTTAATCCATCTTTCAGATGAGACAGGTTTTATTTTCCACATGTTATCTTCTGGTGTAGTAACCACTGTTTCTTCTACTGTAACATCAGCACTCTAAAACAACATACATATCAGTATTTGTGAATGAGGAATAATTATCTCACCATGAATGAAAATTCTTGAATATTTTCAGGAGCAAAAAAAAATCAGTGAAAATATAAAAAACATCTCATTTGAATAGTAAATTGTGTTTAATATTTTCTCAAAGTAATCTAATTTTCAAAGTTTTATACAATTTTTTGTTTAAAAGTCAAACTTTACAAAATAATGGTACCAGACGATGCTTATTTACACATGTATGACATCATGAAAATCTTTATCTGTTGTGTGTAGTAAAGCATAAGATAAATTAATTTAATTCTGTATTTCTTTGCCATTTTTTGGCATATACCAAAAACCTTTTGAAAACTTTTTTTCCTTCAACACTTTACTTTTATATAATGCATTTCTTCATTACTAAACATTTTTTCAGGAATAATAAAGACCTATAAAAAAGTAGTTCTTCTTTTTAACAAACCATACACAGTAACTATATATTTATTTCAGCACATACCTGGTCTGGTGATTGTTTAAGAATCTCAGTGACATCAAGAAGTAGCCTCATATTATGTGGTGTAAGATGTATAAATAACTTAGCCAGCTTCATGGACATTTGTAACTCGTTCTTCACTATATCATAGCAACGGTTAAACTCAAGGTCACAAGGTGATATCATCTGAAACATTCAACAACTGATTCCTTACACAACATGCTCAACTATTCTCAGTGCTTGACAATAAGAAAACAGACATTTCTCTGTAAAAAGGTAACTCAAAGTTATGGGACTTGTGCCCATAATATTAGATAATCACAGACAACAATTGTATGAAGTTTGTACCCATTCCCTTTGGCAGTTTTGGAGATACTGACTTGCATTCGAAAGTGATGCTTAAAACTAGAACCATTAGATCTTAATGCTACTTGTTGTAGAGCTTACAAAGTAATAAAACAAGAGGGCCATGATGGCCCTAGATCGCTCACCTGAATTATCAAACTCATCCAAACAATTACCTAGACAAGCATTCTGACCAAGTCTCATGACAGGTGAGTCAAAAATGTGACCACTACAGTGTTAACAAGGATTATCCATATTTGAGCAGTGCGACCTAGTTTTTTACCCAGGTGACACATATTCAAACTTGACCTAGAAATCATCAAAACAAACTTTCAGACCAATTTCCAGGATACTTGGATCAAAACAGTAGCAACTAGAGTGTTAACAAGATTTTTCTATTTTTAGCTGGTGACCTAGTTTCACATGCGATTTCGAACTCATCCAAGCAATTACCTAGACAAGCATTCTGACCAAGTTTGATGATAATGGAGTCGAAAATGTGACCACTAGAATGTTAACAAGGTTTTTCCATATTTGGGCGGTGTGACCTAGTTTTTCATCCAAGATGACCCATGTTCGATCTTGACTTAGAAATCATCAAAACAAACTTTCAGACCAATTAACAGAATATTTGGATCACAACAGTAGCCACTAGAGTGTTAACAAGATTTTTCTATTTTTAGCTCCTGTGACCTAGTTTTTCATCCCAGATGTCCCATGTTCGATTTATTCCAGCAATGACCTAGACAAGTTTCCTGACCAAGTTTGATGACAATTGAGTCAAAATTGTGACCACTAGAGTGTTAACAAGGTTTTTCTATTTTTAGCTCCTGTGACCTAGTTTTTCATCCGAGATGACCCATGTTCGAACTCATCCGAGTTATTACCTAGACAAGCATCTTGATCAAGTTTGATGATGATTGATGCAAAAATGTGACCGCTAAAGTGTTAACAAGGTTTTTCTATTTTTAGCTCCGGTGACCTACTTTTTCATCCGAGATGACCCATGTTCGAACTCATCCAAGCTATCAACTAGATAAGCATCCTGACCAAGTTTGATGATGATTGATGCAAAAATGTGACCGCTAGAGTGTTAACAAGGTTTTTCTATTTATAGCTCCGTTGACCTAGTTTTTCATCCGAGATGACCCATATTCGAACTCATCCGAGCTATTATCTAAACAAGCATCCTGACAAAGTTTGATGATGATTGGGTCAAAAATGTGACCACTAGAGTGTTCACAAGGTTTTTCTATTTTTAGCTCCTGTGACCTAGTTTTTCATCAGAGATGACCCATGTTCGAACTCATCCAAGCAATTGACTAGACAAGCATTCTGACCAAGTTTGATGATGATTGGTTCAAAAATGTGACCACTAGAGTGTTCACAAGGTTTTTCTATTTATAGCTCCTGTGACCTACTTTTTCATCCGAGATGACCCATGTTCGAACTCATCCGAGCTATCACCTAGACAAACATCCTGACCAAGTTTGATGAAGATTGGGTCAAAAATGTGACCTCTAGAGTGTTCACAAGGTTTTTCTATTTTTAGCTCTTGTGACCTAGTTTTTCATCCGAGATGACCCATGTTCGAACTCATCCGAGCTTTCAACTAGATAAGCATCCTGACCAAGTTTGATGATGATTGAGGCAAAAATGCGACCGCTAGAGTGTTCACAAGCAATTGTGGACGGCCGGACGGACGACGGACGACGGACGACGGACGACGGACGACGGACATTCATCGATCCTAAAAGCTCACCCTGAGCAAGCTCAGGTGAGCTAAAAAATTTAAAAAGTCAAAAAAAAGTCAGGTATTGAATTACAAAGTATTCTTTGGGCATTGCTCTTGCTTATAAGAATGCATTTGGGCTAATGAGGAAATATCAAATGAACCAGCCAAAAGCAAAGGATATATTATGCAAAGTTTTGTACTGTATTGTAGTGACATGGAAAAGTCATCACTGTATGTTACAAATTAACAATCAGAAAATTATTAATGTATTAATACTTCATAAAATATAAACATTGTAATACAAACCTTGGAATGATAATCTGTAGGGGCACCATATATACTAGAGAACATTTTAAGGCCTGTGACCTTTGACCACATCTTCTGTTGTGACTGGTTTGCTACATACTCAAATGCTATATCTGCCTGTAATGTTAAACAAGATATACAGTCTACAATTCAAATTTAAAACTGTTGAACTCTTTAAAACTTTAATTTGTTGAACTCTTCAGAACTCTCCACAGAATATTATAGTTTTATTTGACATGTGTATTAGAGGGCATTAAAACAAGACCATTTATTACATGGCCACTAAAAGTTTACTTTTATATCATATATCTAAATATTTTGAAACCACACTAGTGGCACTGTTTGTTTATAAACAGTGCCACTTCTGTGGTTTCAAAATATTAAGATTTTGATATCTAGCAAATTTAAATTGTTAAATGACATTTATGATATACAAAATGATTAAAGAATTCACTATTGATTTGTAGATTTCCCTAAATTGTATAATTGATAGACACTTTCATCAAAAACAACATCAAAGCACTTAAATTAAGAAACACCTAACTACCTAAATAAATCTGAACATGGTTGCTATGGATACTTACATTCACAACAATAATTCTGCTGTTTTGAGTTTCAGGGTCAGCTAACAGGACAATTTCTGGTTGTGAAATAGAGAAATATACAGTAATCACTGGTCCTTCCTCACTGTCATTCTCTGTGGGTACAGGGACAGGAGAATACCCTCCACCGGCAGGTGTTTCCATGGTAACAGGTGGAGTTAATGCCTCTGTGACGAAACTAGACAGTTCCATCATGTATGGTATCTGTACATTTATAGTCACCTTCTCCATCATAATGTCAGCTGAAAACATAATTATAATAATTATCTACTACACAAACTTTTCTATCTCCAACGTTTCGAGGGGTTAAACCCCTCTTTTTCAAGGAGTTTCTGTTTATTTTTATATAAATCACATATTTATCTTCTTACATGTCGTATCTTAAACTATGTTATGCATACAGGAAATGATGTCGTTGACGTCAACAATAATAATTGAAAACATAATTACAAGGTTTGTTAGTTACTATAGTAACATATTTATATCTCACATCATAATTATCATATTTTATATATCTCTACTATTTACAGCCACCTGGGGTAAGAGGTTATGATTGCTGCTTTCAAATTAAATGCCCATACTACTGTGGATTTGAATATTGCAAAAATAAGATGAATTCTTCTAAAAGAGGAATACAGAAGCTGTGTAAGGAAGGTTAGTGGTTCCACTCCTAAAATTAAGCACACAGAGGGACCGCTGTCTCTATCAATAAATCAACAAAGTCACCAAATGATTATCACATTTTACATAAAAGTAAAACTCAGATGCCAAAAATGTCAAAATAAAAAACAAGATTGCATTTGAGAAAAATGCTATGCCACCGCATTAATACAACACTAAATAGTAGTGTAGGAACAGATTTTTTTTTGTTTCTATACAATTGAAGATTGTCATAATGCATATCTAATTCTTATTATCAGATTAGTGGTTAAATCTATTGTTAACTCAATAAAAGATCAGAGTAGGAATATATCAATGCACTTGAGTCTAGTGAATTTGGTGGTGAAGGTCATATTTCACACAGCCTAAAATTTCATGACTGCATCAAAGGACAACATGTAATACACTTTGTCAAAATCTAGGTCAGCTGATATCAAAGTTCACTTTTAATTTTGACACTAGAGGCAAAATTTGAACAACTTTGGTAGAGTACCTATAGATGATACCATTTAACAAATATTAAAGCTCTAAGCCTTGTACCTTCAGACAATAAGATTTTTTTTATTTTTTACTATAATTATGTATATATAGAAAATCAATGACCCCGGGGCGGGGGCAATTTTGACCCCAGGGCTATTATTTGAACATTCTTGCTAGAGGTTCACTTCACAATGTTTCATGCAAAGTATCTAATCGCTGTCAATTGCTAGAAGAATTTTTTTTTAAGTTTTTACTATAAGTTTTTACTATGTAAATATGAGGAAAATCAATGACCCCCGGGGCCGGGCCGATTTTGACCCCAGGGCTATAATTTGAACAATTTGGGTTGAGGTCTATCAGACAATGCCTTATGCAAAATATCTAAGCTCTAGGCCTTTTTGGTCTTTACAAAAAGGTATTTTAAATTTTTACTATATGTACATATAGTGAAAATCCATGACCCCCGGGGCAGGGCTGATTTTGACCCCAGGGCTATAATTTGAACAATACTGGTAGAGGTCTACCAGACAATGCCTTATGCAAAATATCTAAGCTCTAGGCCTATGGGTCTTTACAAAAAGGTATTTTAAGTTTTTACTATATGTACATATAGTGAAAATCAATGACCCCCGGGGCGGGGCTGCTTTTGACCCCAGGGCTATAATTTGAACAATCTTGGTAGAGGTCTACCAGACAATGCCTTATGCAAAATATCTAAGCTCTAGGCCTTTTGGGTCTTTACAAGAAGATTTTTTAAATTTATTCTTATAATTCCTTTTGGTTGCCATGGCAACCAGATTTCTGCATGGAATTAAATTCTTTGAACAACTTTGGAAGCCCTTCACTCAAGGATCAATCCTGCCAAGTTTGGTTGAAATTGGACTAGTGGTTTTTCACAAGAAGATTTTTTAAGTTCACTATATAATCTATATAACACACACACACACAAACAAACAAACAAACAAACACACACACACACACACACACACAGGTGAATCGCTATATGCCACCGCATCACAGATGCTGCGGTGGCATAAAAATACAAAGAAAATTTACTAAATTAAATTAGAAGAAGAAGATGAACCTTATTTTAGTAATATCAGAGAAAGGAAAATAATATATTTTTATTTTACTGAGATTTCATTTTTACCTTTCTGGTTCCCATCCCCACTGATCTTGTATATAACAGAGACAAGAGGACGCCGGGAGTCAGTCTCCTTCTCTATACTCTCCTTGTCATAATAAAGTATCCTGTAATGAAAGGAATACAAACATAGCCAAAAATGTTATCTGAAAATAATGTGTACCAAACCAAGGCCGGAGCTTCTTGTAGATTTTTTTAAATCAAAGTCAATAAGAAAATTTCAATGCACTAGAAATGTATAGTATACAAGCAATCATACTCACTTTTTAATGACATGTCTACTCTCAGGCTTGATGTTGAGCACATATAGAGTTTCCAAGGCAACAGTAACTTTAGTTTCACCATCACTTCTAGAATTTACTGTCCCACTAATCTTTCCCATCATCAATTTAGCAAAATCTACAGTACCTTCTCCCTGTATCAACAAAATGAAAATTAACACTACATCAATTCTTTCTGACAAATCAACATAACATCCAATATTTCTGACAAATCCAAAATACATCAAAAAACTTTCTGACAAATCAAGATAACATCCAATCTTTCTGACAAATCAAAATTACATCCACATCAATTTTTCTGACAAATCAACATTACATCTAATCTTTCTAACAAATCAACATAACATCCAATATTTCTGACAAATCAACATTACATCTAATCTTTCTGACAAATCAACATTACATCCAATCTTTCTGACAAATCAACATTACATCCAATCTTTCTGACAAATCAACATTACATCCAATCTTTCTGACAAATCAACATTACATCCAATCTTTCTGACAAATCAACATTACATCCAATCTTTCTGACAAATCAACATTACATCCAATATTTCTGACAAATCAACATTACATCTAATCTTTCTGACAAATCAACATTACATCCAATCTTTCTGACAAATTAACACTACATCCAATATTTGACAAGTCAATGTTACATCCAATCTTTCTGACAAATCAACATTACATCCAATCTTTCTGACAAATCAACATAACACCCAATCTTTCTGACAAATCAACATAACATCCAATATTTCTGTTAAATCAACATTACATAAAATCTTTCTGACAAATCAACATTACATACAAAGGTTCTGACAGGACTAAATAAGAAGTCTTGTGGTATTAACACAATTTATGGTAAGTATTAAATAGAATTTGATTCAGAAAGAAGGAATTTCTCCACTAATCTTTACTCTGAATAATAGAAATTATCTACATTCAAGTAAAATAGATGCCCATATGGGTTTCAGTGGAAATATTAAATAAATGACTCATATATGTATATATCCTCCTTCTAAATTGAAGCTTAAAAACCCAGTATATATATCAGTATATATACCTTTGTATCTTGAGTTAGAACCAGTTCCATCCCCTCCATTGTGAAGAGTACCACGGATGATGTTTTCCTTACTGAAGTTGATGATGTCATATCTGTATCCATGACAACTGTACCAGATTCCTCACTAGTTTGTGTTGTTATTGTAGTTCTCCTTGCTGGTTCTGTAGACAATACAGACAAAAACATTAATACTGTATCAGTGCTTCATCAAATCTTTGACTTTGTTGCAATAAATTGAAAGGATTCCGAACTAGAAATGTGCCCATATGACTTGGATGCCCCCATATTCGACTAGTATGTCAGTCTAGAGCCATACAGGCAAGGGAAAATTTATATGCCACACTTCCTGTTAGTAAAAGCTTAATAGAAATACAGATTATTCATCAAATAATGAATTTCTCTTGATAAAACTAAAAAAAAAATATTCTTGACATTCTTATTCAGGTTAAATAGGTAAATGCTGCAAAAATTGAAAACTATCTAAACTTCAAATTGAGAGGAAACATTATGATCATAGATAACATCATCAGCAACAAACCTGGTTCTGACATCGGAGCTCCCTCGGCCCAGTTAGCACGTAGCACCCCGAACAGTACCTGACAATCTTTCTGTGACATATAACTGTTTATCTTCTCTAGTTTACAGGCTATATCCATCTGTACATCGGACATTTCTGGTTCCAGTGCTAGCCGGATGTCTGTCTGGAAGGTCATAGGTTCAAGCAGGGAACTAGTCACCAGGAAAGCATCATCTTCCTGTGATAGTTTGGCTCTATAGCAACCAAACATTATAGAGAGTTATATATTGTTATCAGATGAAAGGTTTGACAGTCAAATGCTCGGTATAAATTTATTTAAGTCATGTGATACTGTAGACCTTATGATACTGTTGATACCTACTTTCATCACTTTAAGTATGACCTCAGACAACTGTGTCAATGAATGGATTATTTTGCTCAGTGGTCTATACCATTGTTACTTAGCTTGCAATCTTAAGTTACAATCTCAATTAACAGGAGGAAGTGGATTTATTCTAAAGCATTTGCATCTTTCTATATCAAACTGAAAATGTTATTAGGATGAAATATTAAAGTACCACTTTCTCAATAAGGGCTACACACAATATTGTCTTAATTCAATAAATATTAAGACTAAGTTTCAAAATGTTGCCAAACATCACAAGTAAGGAAATAATTCATCCAAACCTACAACTTATTCAAGAGGGACCCTCTCAAACCATGTTTCTTATTTTCTTTCTTAGTTTTTATGGCAAGCCAATATTGATGAGGTCATAATCATAATCATCGCATAGCATAGCATAGTCAAGAACTTTACTGAAAGAAAATTAGGGTACCCTGACACATATCATTTCAGGAATAAGAAGATAGCATGCCAAAAACACATCAAATTATCTCTTAGCTAACTGGATATAGTATATTATTCTATTAATAAGAATAATTTCTATATACATGTACAGTAACCCAGTCATAAACTCACCTGCTAAGCTGTACATATGTGAGAGACACATATATATGATTCCATTCCTGTTTCACACCATGACCTATATCTGTCACATCAAATACATTGTTCACATGTAGGTCACCTGACTTGAGCAAAAGTAGGTCAATAGAGTCAGACTTAACAGGTATTAGGATGGTTGGGGTCAGCATGTCAACTGTTATACCAAATCTTCTATTATCCTGCTTGAAATCGTCCATCTAAATAATGTATGAGTGTTCTTTTTATTATATAATAACCATGATCATAGTAATTATTTTTATACCACATTTACACACAGTTTTCTCATGTATGTATACATATTCAAAAAGAGCTTTATAATAGGTGTTTTTCAGAAGCTACCGGTACTACCTTAGAAAAGCCATCAAACAAAGTTATACATGAACATGAAGATAAGCAACATCCAATTATGCTTAAAACCTATGTTAAATATTTTTGCCATGAGAAATTACAATAACCAGTCTATGCATTGTTGAACAAAGGTTTTTTTAACATATCAGCATATCACTTTCCCTCATGCTCCTAAGAAGAAATTTAGGGGAGCCAAGGCCTAGTGATTACCTCTCAACTCAGGAATCATGAGTTCAAGCCCTACTTAGGTTGTGACTTAGTTTCCCCATATGAAACCAGTATTGTACCAGTCCAAAGAAAATGATTTTACAGTGCTTCAATTAGCTCCAAGCTTTTATCATAATCAAATTTAAATAAACAAATTCAAACTAGAGCTCTCAAGAATTTAATGCAATGCTATATACTCCAAATAACATACATCCTTTGTCTTTTGCACAAGCAATGACATACATAATAACAAACATAAATATTGTGTATCGGGCATCCCAGTTTCGATTCCTGGACATTGCAGGTCACTTTTGTTATGATTTTATCATGAAATCCTTTCTACACTCATTGGCACTGTACCTGCATGTAAAGATGTTATCAGTTTCTTGCGAAAGAAAAGGCAACTAGTACTGGTAACTTGCTCAACAGTCTGCCTAAGAAAGATGCGGTGGCTGAAATGAGCTCTAGTAAATTCAATGTGGCTTACTGCCTTGATATAGAGTGAAAACTACCAACCACCAACAGTTAAATCTTTAAAACTAAAGAACACATGATAATTATATACAAATGTATACAAATATGTAACAGTATATAGATCATTTATATACCTGTTTACTGACAGCTTTCATGGAAACACTAGCTGTATCTAAAACTTCCTGACTCATTAAAGGCTCAGCAAATTTCTGAAAATATAGAGAAAGTTTAACTTAAATTACATGTACATAAAATAATAGCAAAAAAAGACAGAAAATGTAACATTTAAGTATATTTAACCTGCAGTATATCAGCTATCTTATTCCTCAGCTAACTTCATGGATTCCTATCAATGACAATACAACATTAAAGTTTTCTCAATTCATGAATGATTTTAAGAAGACATTGGTAAATAGCAGTTATTTCCCCTCCTGTAAATAGTATTTAAACTAACAAACCACCTAGCTAGATAACTAGCCATCAAATATTGAAGGTCAGACAAAATGACTGAGGCTGTACTTCTAGAAAAAGTATCTATGCTTCAGATTACTTCATTATCAAATGGAGACTAAGGACTGGAAAGAACTATCCTACAAGAAATGAGCGTAACGACAAAACCAACATAGTGCGTTTGCGACCAGCATGGATCCAGACCAGCCTGTGCATCCGGGCAGTCTGATCAGGATCCATTCTGTTTGCTGTCAGTTTCTCTACTTGTAATAGGGTTGGTAAGCGAACAGCATGGATCCTGATCAGACTGCGCGGATGCGCACGCTGGTCTGGATACATGCTGGTCGCAAACGCACTATGTTGGTTTTGTCGTGACGCAGCTCATATTATATATCTGATATCACACCATATGGCACTACAACCTTTCCTGTTACACATGGTACATGTATCTCTTAGTTTCATATGATAAAGTAGAGAAAACAAGAACCCCTAAAGTTCAAAATAACAAAATTGAAAATATTGCAGGCTTGGTTTGATTGAGCCTGTTCATAGATGGTTCTGTCAAGTGCAAACTACCATCCACATCCCCTTGCATGATGTATTCATATGGTGGTAATCATGAAACCTATTATAGGAAAGATGGTCTAATGGTTAAGTGTGTCTACCTCTCAACCAAGGGATCTTTATTCATGCCATACTGGGATCACAACCATGTTTTCTCATATGATAAATGAGCCGCCTCACGACAGACCAACAAAGTGGGTTTGCGACCAGCATGGATCCAGACCAGCCTGCACATCCACGCAGTCTGATCAGGATCCATGCTATTCGCTATCAGTTTCTCTTCTTGTTATAGGGTTTGTACGCGAACAGCATGGATCCTGATCAGACTGCGTGGATGTGCAGGCTGGTCTGGATCCATGCTGGTCGCAAACCCACTTTGTTGGTTTTGTCGTGACGCGGCTCATATGATAAATGTACTGGTTAGTTTTCTGAAGTGGGTTGATCAATTAAGCTCTTTAACTATTAACATAATCAAGCTAAAATGTTTAAAACTAACTCCACATAATAACACACTCAAAATCAAACACAAAATTATTTCTATTTCAAGCAATATTTACCATAATTTCCCAGTAGAATTTTCCTAGCGCTACAACCTGTAGATGTCCGACCCTAACATTCACCATATAATCAAACAGTTGATCCACTTGTCTGTTATCTGGGACAGCACCTTTTCTACGACTGTACTTGGTAAACTGTAAATATCATGGTATGTTCGTGTACAAATTATCATTCAGAAGGTTCATTTATGTGCTACTGGTCAGGTAATTTAGGTAACATGTACCTAAATAATAAAGATTTAACAATTATAAATGTTTTTCATGATTATAAACAAATAAACAACTGCTGACATTTTAGCAAGGCTGACTAACGAATACATAGATCAGATATTTAGATACAGATGAAGAATATTGAATGAGTGTATGTTTAATACTCAATTTATTGAACGAGTTTATGGCTTTATTACACTCCTGTGCCGCGCTGTATGAAGGGGTCAGTACAAGATGGCACCTAACGTTATTTAACATTATCTTGAGAAAAAGGGCAGTTTATGAAATTTTAGTTTTAATCGACATATTTTAAAATCAATTCACTAATAAGTAATGTTATTAATAAAAAAACGTTTGAAACCAAAGTTGTATGTTTTACACAATTTTTAATCATTTTATTTTAAGAAAAGTTATATTTATCAAATGTGCTTATGCAAAAATGGTTCTAAATCATATGGAGTTAGGACCTTTGTGACTTTGAAACAATTGCATAAAGTTTTTTAAGCTTAAGATTTACATATCTTTCAACTTTTCAATCAACTAAAAGGTTATCATATAACTCTTAATGTATTTGCAGATTAATATCAAAAACTAATTGGTCAATTAATTGATTAATTGACAGACTACAGGAGACAAAAACAATATGAGTTTTGAACATATATTCTTCATAGAAAGAAACAAAACTTTAACATTCAAACCAGTTCAAATATAAAGTTTTGTTTTCAATAATGCAGAATTCAGAATATATATTTCATGTGCTAACTGCAAACACGGATAACTTCAAAAACATTGCGTAAAGGAACTGTTACAAACATAGTTTCATTAGACTGCATTAAAATAACCAAAGTTAGAAATATTATAAAATTCATAAGCTTTAGCTGTATAGTTTTGTGAATGCATTCTATTCACTCAAAAAAATCAAACAAAATGTACCAGAGCATGCCTTTGTCGCTAAAATGTAAAATATTTATACAATTAACAATAACTACCTAAAGCATCCTAAATGCACACATTTAAACATTTCCTCCTCAATAAAAAAATTTATGGTGATATGCATGTATAGAAAATCTCTAAATAATATCTTTAAGACTTAAATGTCTTGATGCAAAATGTTAAAAAGGGATAAATATATTATATGTGCAACAAAGGTTCTATCTCCATGAACACAAAATTCACATAATAATATTTGTAATAATTTCCACACAAATGAACATTTCTGCAAATTATTTTGACAAGACATAGAAAAAACATTGTTGTTGTAGATTTAAATGCACAGTCATATTGACATAAAATCAAAATATAATTACATTTTCATATATTTTTTTGCCTCAAAAATAATAAATCAATGTAACAAAGGTACCAACTCTGGAGTTAGGACGTTTTTTAAGTTCCTCCAAGAACCATTTTCACCTTAAAAACAAAGAAATGAGTAACAAATGGAGGTTATTCTAATTCCAAAAAACGTTCTATAAATCAAAAAGGTCATAACTCAATTTTACCCTACATTGGAGTTAGGTACCTTCTTGCACTGACCCCTTCGTATGTGATAGTTTTACATGATAACATAGCAAACTTACAGAAAATCTAAACAAACTGTCTTCTTTGTCTTCAAGCATCAAAATCTGGAGAGATAAAAAATCACATGATCTAATTCCTAAATGTATTTAGTACAAAGTATTTACAGAGCAAATTTTAATTTTCAAATAGATGTATCACATGATATAAGAATAAATTAGCTGACATCTACACAAGTGATATTGAAGCAAAATTAAACTTCATGTATTTATTATCAAATAGCATACCAAAACCACAAAGCTCACTTTTTTACACTTTAAAAAAAACACTTGTACAGTTTTTTAAAGACTCAGTAAAAAATGATATGACATAAAATTAGAAATACATTAAAGGGACTCCATTGAGGTTTTTTGACATGATGGGACTGAATTTTTTTTTTCCAGATAAATGTACCATTTGATGTAGGTTTAGAACTCTTATCTTTGTGCAAAATTTCAGATCATTCGCATAGATCTACTTCGTTTTTCGAGAATAATTATTCAAATTGTAAAAAAGGACCCAAAATGAAAAGCGTTTAATCGCTTTTCACTCAAATCGGGTTATGAAAAGCATAAAAATACAATTTTAAATTTATTTCAAAGTATATTATTTTTCTTAACTGTCTTTACATATACTTCTGTTTAAAGTGCTCCAGCTCACTTAAGTAAGAAATTCAAATGTGTTTTTTTGGCTTTTAAACCTCAGTGGAGTCCCTTTAAGATTGTTTTAGTACCCTTTTCTTCAACTTTAAAAGTATTTTCAATATAACATAATTATCTTCACATGGTATAATCAATATAAACACATACATTTGGATACAATGCTCCATGTGAACAATCTTTGACATCAATGTCCTTCAAACTACCTATCAAGGTCAACTTGTTATGTTTCTGTAACATATGACCTTTTAAATCTGAAAATAATAGCAGGTTAATAACCATTACCATGGAGACTAAGAAAATCAAGTACATTTGAATTAACCTTGTTCTAGCTACACTCATACAATGAACTTAACATGTTCAACATCCACATACTAAATTTAAGCGGCCCTAGTAAAGAGAAACATATTGTTAAAGAGCATCACAATTAATTCGGATACACAGATACATTATCCACTTCTACATGTATATAAGCCATTTATAAATTATAGACATTAAAATTAACACTAAACAATTTCTATTAATAGGCTAGCAAAATACTTAATAGTGGCATATCACTATATTAAATAAATGACATAACATTATGTATTAGAAAGATAGTGAGCTTATACTGCTGTGTTGATATATGGATAAACAACTTTTAACAACTTTTTCAATGGCTATGATTACTATAGTGATGAACTAATATGTCTTTATTGTAACAAATGTTCTGAGTTGTTACTATAGATACGACCTACTTGTAATACATTACCATAGTGATGGCCTACTTCAAATATATTACCAAAGTGATGACTTACTTCTAATATTATTTCTATAGTGATGACCTATTTTTCATATGTAATCATAGTGATGACCTACTTCTAATACATTACCACTGTGATGACCTACTTCTAATATATTACCATAGTGATGACCTACATCTAATAAATTACCATAATGATGTCCTACTTCTTTGTTACCATAGTGATGACCTACTTCTAATATATTACCATAGTGATGTACTTCTTCTAATAGATTATCATAGTGATGACCTACTTCTAATACACTACCATAGTGATGAACTGCTTATAATATATTACCATAGTGATGACCTACTTGAAACATATATGTTAAAGTATCATTGACCTACCTCTGATATGTATTTCAGCAATTTTACTGTTGTTATCTGCCATAACTAGTGACAAGTCATGAAGATCAAACATTATATTCCACTGTATTATAGAACTGTTTATGTCTGGCTGTGACCCTGAAAATGATTTTTAAGTTCAAGCATTTTTATTAATATTCTGTAAGGAATAATCTTCTGTACAGTAATATTTTCATGTTACAGCGAAATCTGTTCATTACCTTCTTGATAAAGATTTGTAATTTTTTAAATATATATGTGTATGTGTATTTCGAAATATTATTAACAACATTATGATTTTGTTTATAAAGATGACTGCAGGTTGGTTGTAACAGATGTCCACTGATAACTATCTGTCAAAGAATATGTACATGTAGTAAGTAAACACCTGTGCTTACAGAATGGTAAATATATATATAGACAGAATGATGTACCTGTGTCATCCTCTGGTTGACTTTTTTGCCTAGCAACAGTTTTAGATGGGTCGGTAACCAATGACGACAACACTGTACTAGCACTGGTCACCATCTCTGTACTGTGAATACTGTAATATAGTCATACTGTTAATTATCAAAAATATCAATACAATTATAGTTTGTGGTTTGAATTCCTAACATAAAATGGAAGCAGCACATACATGTAAACTTTTTTTGATGATCAAGTGGGAGATTTTTCTTCAAAAAGAGGGAGATTTTAGAATTTGTAATAAGCAAAGAAGGGAGTTCTGTCATCAAAAATAGGGAGATTTCTTTAATTTGTGAAAATATCCCTTATTTTAAGAAAAATCTTTGAAAATATGGCTGCAGAAAGTGGGAGTCTCCCGCTGCCAGCAATATCATGGGTGCAACTTGAAAATTTGGAAAAACCTGAAAACTGTAATTCATAATCATTTTCCCACATAATCTAATAGTAAAACATGATGAAATTTGTCACAAAAAACCTGAGCTTCAGGCATATGCCTGAAAACTTGCACCCATGCAATATCTACTTCTCCATGTCACAAATATAACAGACTATAAGACTGACCAAAATATATATTGTGCTGTGTTTAAAATCTTGTAAGTTCTTTATGTATGGTACACATGACACCCATAATGCTCATTATAAAATCATCAACAACCTTAAAACAAAACTTCTACTATGCAATGAAACCATGATGCATGTATCAACAAATATCAAACAAACCTTGTTTGTATTCCTTCTAGGTAGGCCTTTAAATACATGATAGCACCTTGATCTGCGAGGATGTTCAGGGTTTCAAACTGACACCTCAAACCTTGTTCTACACTGTGATATATCTTCTCAAAATCTTCACAGTCTTTCTCCACCTGTACATTATACAAAATATATTGTATTAGTTTATACAAATTTATTTTAGTTCAATTGTATTGGAAGCTATGAGGTTAATGAAACACTATTGAATCCGTTCCTGGAACCAACCAGTACATAGCAATGAATGTGAAGTTACTTGCTCATGGAAACAACGACTTGCCTCTTGCGGTTTAAACCCATGCTGTCAGCAATCCTTAGATTACTAGTCTTACATGTTAACCACTCTGCCAAGCTGCCACAATATATTGTATCAAACAACAAGAGCACCACTAGGCAGAGGATTATATGCCCGAAAGTGTTTTTGTTTTTGCTTTTTTTAGTCAGGATGAAGCATTTGTAAGACATGGGAATTAAATTAAGTATTACCTCCTTCAAATAGCAATCCTCCTATGAAGTTTGAATATTGTGGGCAAAATGGAACTTAAGTTATGCTCTGGAAAAAAAATTGCTAACGGACGAAGGGACGCCAGGGGGTGTAACATAATTTGTCCGAAATTATTTCGGGCATATAAAAATCTGAAATATTTTTAATAACGATATATTGTATTGAAAAAGAATTTTAAAAAAACCCAAAAGAGGTTATAGACAAGCTTGAAGATGTATTTATGTACATAAACTGTAAAATATTTATCAAAACTCAAATGCTCCATAGGACAAATCAACAGTTTCAAAAACATGCATTTATTATAGAACATTCCTAACACAATCAAACTTGTCTGAAATAGAATTTCACTGCATATTCTCAGATATTTTATTTCACATATTCATGCCTCAGGTTTAGGATTTTAAAGCAAACAATTTCAAATTTGTATTGTTTATTTGGTAAATATTGTAAGTATAAAATATTTTTTGTAGATAAATGAGGGAATAGCGACACTCATTCAACTTAGGGGAGGGGACCTTTATTACAGAATCTTGTGTTTAACACAAGAGCGATCAGTTATCACATGTGTCGCCTCATGATGGCCAATTTCATGTTGGGACAAATTTTGTGACAGACGGACAGACAGACAGACAGTGCACAACTAGACTTGGTACTGATCATTCCTGTAAATTTTGGATAAAATTGCACCAGTAGTTTAAGAGGAGTAGTCCGGACAAGCTTTTGCGCATCTGGTAACACACAGAAAACAAGAGGGCCATGATGGCCCGAGGTCGGCTCACCTGTATATAGGCCCCCCCCCAACCCCCCCCCCCCCCAAACGTTGCAGGCCAATTTAACCAAAGGGCTTTTATTTGCACAAACTTGGTAGACACCCATAAGAAGATGTTTCATGCTTAACATCTAAGCCCTAGCTCATTGGGCTATTTAAAAGAAGATTTTTTTTTTAAGTTTTTTACTATACACATATAGTTAAAAACAATGACACCCCTGGGGCCGGGCCAATTATGACCCCAGGGTTTTTATTTGAACAAACTTTGTAGACACTTACTAGAATATGTCTCATGCTTAATATCTAAACTCTAGCTATTTGGGTTTTTTCAAAGAAGATTTTAAGTTTTTGCTATACACATATAAGGAAAATCAATGACCCGGGGCGGGGCCAATTTTGACCCCAGGTCTTTTTATTTGAACAAACTTTGTAGACACTCACTAAAAAATGTTTCATGCTTAATATCTTAACTCTAGCTATTTGGGTTTTTTCAAAAAAAGATTTTTTAAGTTTTTGCCTATACACATAATAAGGAAAATCAATGACCCCCCCGGGGCGGGGCCAATTTTGACCCCAGGGCTTTTATTTTTGAACAAACTTGGTAGACACCTATTAGAACATGTTTGATGCTAAATTTATCTTAACCATAGCTCTTTGAGTTCTTTAAAAGAAATTTTTTAAGTTTTTACTATATGATATATAGGGAAAATCACCTGACCCCCCGGGGCGGGTCAATTTTGACCAAGGGCTTTTATTTGAACAAACTTGGTAGACACTTATTAGAACATGTTTAATGCTAAAATCTTAGCTCTAACTCTTTTGGTTCTTTAAAAGAAGATTTTTTAAGTTTTTTACTATAGCATATAGGGAAAATCAATGACCCCCCTGGGGCGGGGCCAATTTTGACCCCAGGGCTTTTCTTTGAACAAAACTTGGTAGACACCTATTAGAACATGTTTGATGCTCAATATCTTAGCCATAGCTCTTTGAGTTCTTTAAAGAAGATTTTTTAAGTTTTTACTATATGCATATATAGGGAAAAATCAATGACCCCCCAGGGCGGGGTCAATTTTGACCCAAGGGCTTTTATTTTGAACAAACTTGGTAGACACTTATTAGAACATGTTAAATGCTAAATTATCTTAGCTCTAACTCTTTTTTGGTTCTTTAAAAGAAGATTTTTAAGTTTTTAACTATATGCATATAGGGAAAATCAATGACCCCCTGGGGCGGGGCCAATTTTGACCCCAGGCTTTTCTTTGAACAAACTTGGTAGACACCTATTAGAACATGTTTGATGCTCAATATCTTAGCCATAGCTCCTTTGAGTTCTTTAAAGAAGATTTTTTTTAAGTTTTTACTATATGCATATAGGGAAAATCAATGACCCCCCGGGGGGGGGGGGGCCAATTTTGACCCCAGGGCTTTTATTTGAACAAATTTGGTAGACACTCACTAGAAGATGTTTCATGCCAAATATCTAAGCTCTAGCTCTTATGGTTTTTTTAAAGAAGATATTTAAAGTTTTTTCTTTCGGTTGCCATGGCAACCAGAGTTCTGCATGGAATTAAATTCTTTGAACAATTTTTAAAGGTGACCACCAAAGGAACATTCCTGTGAAGTTTGGATGAAATTGGCCTTGTGGTTTATGAGGAGATGTCATTTAAAGTAAAAGTTTACGGACGACGGACGGACGACGGACGCCGGACGAAAAGCGATCACAAAAGCTCACCCTGTCACTTTGTGACAGGTGAGCTAAAAACACCTTTTATCAAAGGGCCATAACTCGGCCAAAACTCATTCAACCAGAAAACCCGTGCAATATGCGCAAGGACTTAGGCTACAGATCAATCCTGTAAAGTTTCATTGAAATTGCATAAGTGGTATAAGAGAAGAAGTCCAAACAAACTTTAAAATTAAAAATTATTAAAGGGCCATAACTCTGACAAAAATCATTGAACCGGAAAATGCTGACAATATGCACAACTAGACTTGGTACTGATCATTCCTGTAAAGTTTGGATGAAATTGCACCAGTAGTTTATGAGGAGTAGTCCGGACAAGTTTTGTGACGGACGGACGGACGTTCTTACAGGAGTGTAATTATGTGGCTACTCTATTGTTCTCTCTATTGTTCTTTTTAGCCACACAAAAGAAAATAGCCACATAAAAGCATTACGGAATGAACTAGAACTATCACTAAATGTGATTAATACCCCCACAAGTCTGCTTCGGAAATGAGGATGTTACTAGTAACAGAATACCTTGTAAAAAAATTGAAACATAGAGTTATGGTTGTGGGCAATTAAAGATAATTGTGGTTCATGTATGTTGCATTTCCTTTCAATGTGGTTGGCCATTGATGAAGTTTAATTGAATTACTCTGTAATAAGTCCAGAAAGACAAAGAAAAAGAACAAAGGGCAATAACTCTATAAATACTGAAGATAGAGTTATAGTTCTTATGCACTGCACTTCCTCTTATTGTGCTCGACCATTGTATGAAGTTGTTTTGAATTCCAACCAGTACGTTTTAAGTTATGCTCCGGACAAGGAAAAAAGTATCAAAGGGCAGTAACTCTGTATTTTGTCAAAATGGAGTTATGGCTCTTGTGCACTGCACTTCCTTTGAATGTCCTTGACAACTGTATGAAGTTGTACTGAATTCCAAACAGTAGTTTTCAAGTTATGCTCTGGACAAGGAAAAGTAACTACGGGCAATAACTCTGTAATTAGTCAAGATGGAGTTATGGTTCTTGTGCACTGCACTTCCCCTTATTGTGCTTGACCATTGTATGAAGTTGTTTTGAATTCCAACCAGTAGTTTTCAAGTCATGCTCTGGACAAGGAAAAGTAACAAAGGGCAGTAATTCTGTAATTAGTCAAGATGGAGTTATGGTTCTTATGCACTGCACTTCCTCTCAATGTGCTTGACCATTGTATGAAGTTATAATGAATTCCAACAATAAGTCTTCAAGTTATGGTCCGGACAAAAGAAAGCAATGAAAAAGTAAAAAAAGGGCAATAACTCTGTAATTAGTCAAGATGGAGTTATTGGGTTCTTGTGCACTGCACTTCCCCTTATTGTGCTTGACCATTGTATGAAGTTGTTTTGAATTCCAACCAGTAGTTTTAAAGTCATGCTCTGGACAAGGAAAAGACACAAAGGGCAGTAACTCTGTAATAAGTCAAAATGGAGTTATGGTTCTTGTGCACTGCACTTCCTCTCAATGTGCTGGACCATTGTATGAAGTTATAATGAATTCCAACAATAAGTCTTCAAGTTATGGTCCGGACAAAAAGAAAAGCAACGGAAAAGTAATTAAGGGCAATAACTATATAATTACTTTAAATAGAGTTATGGTTCTTATGCACTGCACTTCCTCTCAATGTCCTTGACCATTGTATGTAGTTATATTGAATTCCAACCATTAGTCTTCAAGTAATGCTCCGGACAAAAAAAAGAAGGCAATTGAAAAGCAACAAAGGGCAATAACTCTGTAATTACTTTAGATAGAGTTATGGTTCTTGTGCACTGCACTTCCCCTTATTGTGTTTGACAATTGTATGAAGTGGTTTTGAATTCCAACCATTAGTTTTCAAGTTATGCCATGGACTAGGAAAAGTAACAAAGGGCAATAACTCTGTAATTAGTCAAGATAGAGTTATGTTTCTTACGCACTGCACTTCCTCTCAATGTGCTTGATCATTGTATGTAGTTATATTGAATTCCAACCATTAGTCTTCAAGTTATGCTCCGGACAAAGAAAATGCAATGGACAACAGACCTGGGGATGATTACATTGATCAGTAATTGATTAAATTACAATTACTTTCAGATTTTATTGTAATTGATTAAGATTGATTACTCACATATGTCTCTGTAATCAATTGAATTACAATTACTTTTAAGAGAGTAATTGATTGATAATTGATTACACTGAATGTAAACCACCCCAGAATTAAGACCACCCTGCTATTAAGACCATTTTTAAAAAGATTCTTTAAGTCAATGGTTTCATGATCCAGATTTAACCACCTGCTTATTCACTTTTAAGACCACCATTATAAGTCAGTCCAAATTTTTGTTTTAATTTTAATGTGACTATTGAGACCACTGATATTGAAGTCAACACCTATCTAGATCTTAAATTTGATGTTATGATCTGCTTGAATGCTCTTTAGCATGACACTTGATTTCACAAGGTGTGAAAAACTGTTATTGGGTTATTTTATGAAATTAGGTGAGAAGCACAATTTTAGAGTGGTACATTGTTTCTTTCAGCACATTTATTTTTTGAAAATTTAAATTTTCATTTGATTTATGTACATCATATAATGAGTGATACTGTAAAATTAACGTTTAATTTCTCCAGAAATATGTTTTCCTTTTATCAGATTAAATATCAAGGCATTCTTTGATAGTTTCTTTTATAATGTATTTGTAGATACATATAAATAAACATATTGTTTATTCATACAAAATGACTAAAGTAGACCATGGTCTTAAAGTATGTAAGCAATGATAAGAATGTTCACTTTTATCAGTCTAATTGAGGATTTTTACTGTATAACTAAAAACAAAAGTTAAACTGTATAATGTAAAATAAAGGCATCCTTTGAACTTAAATAGTTTCCTTTTGAATCTGAAAGTAATCAATGTCAATCAAAATGTAATCATAATTACTGACTGAATTTAAGCTGTAATTGATTAATTACAATTAATGTAATCAGTTTTGGGCTAGGTAATCAATTACATGATGTTTACAGTGTAATCATGTAATCAATTACAAAATCAATGATTACAGTTAATGATTACCCCAGGTCTGATGGACAAAAAAAAAAGCAATGGAAAAGTAACAAAGGGCAATAACTCTGTAATTACTTTAGATAGAGTTATGGTTCTTGTGCACTTCCCCTTATTGTGTTTGACAATTGTATGAAGTTGTTTTGAATTCCAACCAGTAGTTTTCAAGTAATGCCCTGGACAAGGAAAAGTAACAAAGGGCAATAACTCTGTAATTAGTCAAGATAGAGTTATGGTTCTTGTGCACTGCACTTCCTCTCAATGTGCTTGACCATTGTATGTAGTTATATTGAATTCCAATCATTAGTTTTCAAGTTATGCTCCGGACAAGGAAAATGCAACGGACGTCTGGACCGACCGACCGACCGTCCGACCGACCGACCGACCGACCACCGGGTGACTCCTATATACCCCCCCAAACTTCATTTTTGGGGGTATAATGACATCAAAGAGAAAGAACAATTACCTATTGTCCCTCTAGCCACATAATTACTCTCCTGTGAGTGCGGACAGACAGACAGACGGACAGACAGACGACGGAGAAGTGATCCCTATATGTCGCCACTACTCCGTAGAGGCGACACAAACATGATAGCCTACCACCAAACAGTTGTTACTCAATTTAAAATAGTTTTCTCACAACCAACACTTGGAACATTATCTGCAGATTTAAGATTTAAATTTATCAGTCTGCCTTATTTAATAAAACAATGAAAAAGGTTTCAACTAGAAATGTGTCATCATGCCACGGATGCCCCCGCATGCAGCCAAAATTTCAAATGTTATAATATTTAGTTCCAAATTTGTTTGCACAAATTATTTTTTTCATTCTAAGTTCAAAGCCCTTAAAACTTTTCAATGTTAACACAAACCATTTTTATACAATGTTCAAGGCACTGAAATTATAATTCAGTCTTAACCTTTTAAAAATAGCATATTGCATATTTGTAGCCAACATAATGGCTATATACATTTCCACAAAAGTATGAGTGCTGAAACTGAAAGTTCAAAATTTTTCCAACATTCAGGAAAGATAAGTTTGTCTAAAATCATTGAACCACGACCAAATTCAAACTTAAACTGCTTATTCCTAAGATGTATCTATATTATTTTCAAAGTGAAAGGGACATAACTCTGCCAAAAAATCATCGAACCATGACCAAATTCCAACTTGACCTGCGCATTCCTTTGACATATCCATATGTCAATTTTGAGTTGAATATGTAACACTGTTGGGTTGATAATAAACAGAAACTGTAAATTTCATATCATTTTTCAAAGTGAAAGGGGCATTACTCTGCCCAAAAATCATTGAACCATGACCAGATTCGAACTTGGTCTGCGCATTTCCAAAATCATATCCATATGTCAAATTTGAGTTGAATGTGTAATATTGTTGGGGAGATAATAAACGGAAACTGAAAATTTCATATTATTTTTAAAGTGAAAGGGGCATAACTCTGCAAAAATCATCGAACCATGACCAAATTTGAAATTGACCTGCGCATTCCTTTGACGTATCAATATGTCAAATTTGAGTTGAATGTTTAATACTGTTGGGGAGATAATAAACAGAAACTGAAAATTTCATATTATTTTCAAAGTAAAAGGGGCATAACTCTGCCAAAAATCATCGAACCATGACCAAATTTGAACTTGACCTGCGCATTCCTTAGACGTATCGATATGTCAAGTTTGAAGCTAAATGTGTTGTACGATTGGGGAGATAATGAACGGAAACTGAAAATTTCATATTATTTTCAAAGTGAAAGGGGCATAACTCTGCCAAAAAATCATTGAACCATGACCAAATTTGAACTTGACCTGCGCATTCCTTTGACGTATCCATATGTCAAGTTTGAGTTGAATGTGTTGTACCATTGGGGAGTTAATGAATGGAAACTGAAAATTTCATATTATTTTCAAAGTAAAAGGGGCATAACTCTGCCAAAAATCATCGAACCATGACCAAATTTGAACTTGACCTGTATTTTCTCATGACATATCAATATGTCACGTTTGAGTTGAATGTGTTGTACCGTTGGGGAGATAATGAACGGAAACTGAAAATTTCATATTATTTTCAAAGTAAAAGGGGCATAACTCTGCCAAAAATCATCGAACCATGACCAATTTCGAACTTGACCTGTATTTTCTCATGACATATCCATATGTCAAATTTGAGTTCAATATGTGCAAGGGTTATTAAGATAATGAACGGAAACTGATGATGACGGAAGGACGGAAGGACGGAATGACGGAATGACGGAATGACGGAACAGGGTAACACTATATGCCCCTGCCATTATATGGCGGGGGCATAAAAAACAAAATAGAACAAACCTTGCGATACAGTACAGAAACAAGATCGGTTCCCGGTTTTGTACTGAGCAATTCTAGGTATTCTCCAGAGGTACCAATATGTATCTTGTCAACGAGCTGTAATGCACCGAGACTGGCATGAGCCGCCACACCATACTCTGTGATCGCAGCATCTAAACGTAGTCTCTCAGCACGGAACATCAAGTACGGGTTCTCTACACGGTCCATTGATTTAGAGAGTTGTATAACAACTTCACGTATAACAACACGCAATACAATATTTGTTGTGTTGTTACTAGATGATATGTCATCTACTGCTTTGAGGTCTTCATATCTATAAATAGATTAACATAGATTTAGGTCAAGGTCAAACAACATTGTGAAGGTAGATTTGGTAGAAGTTACATAGATCTAGGTCAAGGTCAAATGTCATTGTGAAGGTAGGTTTGGTAGTGGTCACACAGATCTTGACCATAATCTATCCTATTTACTGGCAGAGTATAAGCAATTTCATATTGTATTCCTAACTAACAATGAAATGTTCCCACTGACTGTAGACAAGTACATTTCACAATGTTAATGGTCTCAGTAAATCTTTGAAAATCTTTGGAAATTATTCAAGTAATTTCTATTTAGAGATTAATTAATGCAATGGGTTTTCCTTGCTTTTGTTTTTTTTAATTCATTTATTGCAAATTTTTAAACATATTTGTCTCAAAATATTATATTGAGCTGTGAAAAGTATAGATAGCATAGATAAACCACTAACATGGCTTAAGCCTTTCATGATTGAAATTATTACTCAAAACAATTTAATTTTAAATCCATATACCTCATAAATTAAACTATTTTGACTAAATTTTTACTTGTAATAAAACTAAAACTTACTTCTGCCAATCTTCTGTATCACCATCATCAACATAGGGATTATCCGCTTCATCAGATACTAATTAAAACATAATAAACAATTATAAATAGTTCTACTATTTCAATCATAGTTTTAAACAGATTAAAACAATTACAAATGGTTCTACCACTTCAATCATATTTTTAAACAGATTACACATTATCTGAGAATTCTTACAAAAGTTAAATCAAGCCTATAACATTCTCCCTATAAAAGAAACAATTAACATTAAAGATTTATTTTCTTAAAAATGTCAATTTAAGCATGATTCATCAGGAGACAATGATAGTTATTAGCTCAATTCACATTGTTTTTCTCTGTAACCAATATAAATTTCATGATGGATTTCAATAAAGCAAGGGATGATAAAAAACTGTTCACTAGTTGGGGAGAAAAGTGTGTGAGCAGCCAGGTAGCTCCATATAGCTGCGGAACAGAATACTAAGGGTCTCTCAAATGTATGTAGGTAATAATAGCCCAATATAAGAACAAATGTCAAAGAAATATATGTGCCTTTCCAATGAATTAAACTCACAAAATAAACTCAAAATCTCAACCTCAAAAGATCTAATAATTCAATTGTGGTCAAACAAAGTAATAATAAATAACTTACAGAATGGAGGAGGTGATTTAGGGTGTTTCTTGGCTTTAATGAAGACCCTACGACCTAACACCCTCTGCTTCATCACTCTAAGTGCTTTAATATCAGGTTCTAACTGTATCTCATTTGGATCCTGTATAAAACAAATAAATAATTCACAATTCTAGTTGTTTTTGTTGTTTTTGTTTTTTTAAATATTTTACAATATTTGTTGGCAAAATAACAAAGAAAACACAACTTCATTACTTTATTACCACATCAATACTGGAATGAATTTATGCAACTTCTTAAAAGGAACTCCACTGGTGTCAAAAACCTAAAACCAGAAAATTTGAATTTTTTACATAGATCAAGACTAGTGAAGCACTTAAACGGACAAATCTGCAAAGTATAGTGAAGAAATACACATGAAATTACATTGAAAACCAATAGCTAACATAATTCTGAGCCTATTTTGAGTGAAAGGCATTGTAAAGCTTTTCACTTACAACAATAAAAATGATTATTCTGGAAACAGAGGTGAGGGATTTTAATTTAAAAAAAGATTAACACATTGGTATAAGTTCAGACCTACATCAAATGGTACACAAATCTCGAAAAAATATTTCTAGTCCCGTCACATCAAAACACCTTAGTGGAGTCCCTTTAAGTAAACATATTAAATATATTAATCTTTATTACATTCCTCCTTTCTAATGAGAACAAGTAATTTTTGTGTGACATCTTCTGTAAAAATCAAGATTATTCCAACTGGATAAAATAAAGAATATGAGAAAATTATAACATGCAACTTTAGAAGGCATTCCTTTAAAAGTCATGCATTTAAGATGTTAAATTTGGTTAAATACATGATATAGTTATTGATTATAAACTCAGCCAGTTCTAATTAATTTTAAACTATTAACTACTTAAAAGTTAGAGAAGAGAAAATTTAATATGAAATTCACAATGGAAATGTTTACTTTTTAATCAAATGACAAATATACTGCCAATTATTATGAGTACATTAATGAGTGCTCTGTCAATCATTTTTAAGATATATAGGTATATATTCAAATTAGTGCTTTTAATTATATACGGCAAATATTAAAGATTTAATCTCTATGAGAATAAATATATATCATATTCTCAAAGCAGAGTGCACAATGCTTAACATTGCTATTAAGCTGAAATATATCTACATGGAACCATGAGCATAATATATATGTACCCCACCCAGTCACATTATCCTGACACCAGTCCTTGAAAACTTTCCCTTTATAGATATGTGCATCAGAACAAACAAGAACAATATTTTCATAGTGTAATTTTATAACCCAGCCCAAAGAATGGAATCTCAACCTCCAGCCAACTAGGTGGACAATATATAAATATGCTACTGCTTTGATCATGTACATTTTGTATTATAATAAAACTATGCTGTATAAACATTTTACTTGATGTATATAAAAGTAAGCATAATATATATATAGAATATATATATACAATGTATATACTTTTTTGTTGGGTTTTACATAGCAGCATTACTGTAAAGGTCATATGGCGACTTTCTAGCTTTACTGGTTAAGGAAGATCACAGGTGTCCATGGCCCTATGTGCATTATTGAAGGCACTAACGGGCACCTGAGTAGAACCAACAACATTCTGTAATCTAGCTTCATAGCTTTCAAACATTAAAGAATCCAAAGTCCCTAGAGAGATTCGAACCCACAGCGGTGAGTGGCAAGTGGTTTTACGTAAGTCCATGACCTTAACCACTCTGCCACAGACCCCCCCCCCCCCAATAAAGAATATAAAAAAGAGAAAAACAGAATCCCTAAAGTATGCCCAAAAAACAGCAAAATTGCAAATATTGCAGACTCATTTTTATAATCAAAGCACTGTGAAAGTCATGGTTTGATATATATGAAGTATCAATAAAATATAGGAGTTATAGCATGACAAAAAGCATTTTTTTTCTATGAAAAAAAAAAAAAAAAAAATTAATACAAAAACTGCATATTGATAAAATCATCACATGCCAGTCACAGGTTGTCATTTTAAATTTTGATTAGCTCACATATGTATTTTGTAAAATTATCAGAAGCAAAAAAAGAAATGAAAATACACCATAAATAAAACCCAGTTATGTTAAATGATTTATAGCATGCAAAGCAAAAAAAGATATATATCCTATCTAGCAGTGTATGTAAATTAACGGTACAACAAAGCTGCGTTAAGGTGATTTTTATGTATGAAATGTGATATAAAAATATATAAATGTGATATAAGGGTAAAATATACAAGGTATTTCTTACTAGTGCAATATGGTGCTTCAATCTCTCTTCCTGTAACAATTATAATTTGAGCCGCGTCACGACAAAATCAACGTAATGCCTTTGCGACCAGCATGGATCAAGACCAGCCTGCGCATCCGTGCAGTCTGATCAGGATCAATGCTGTTCGCTATCAGTTTCTCTACTTGTTATAGGGTTTGTAAGCGAACAGCATGGATCCTGATCGGACTGCATGGATGCACAGGCTGGTCTGGATCCATGCTGGTCGCAAACGCATTATGTTGGTTTTGTCATGGCAAAGCTCATTTACTATCTATACATCATTCTACTTAACATAACATACAAATAAACAAACAAACTATAATAAGTATAAACCTTACAGTAACATTCATCATTTAAACCCTTCACTCTACACATTGTAGGGCAAGGACAGGGGTCAACGTGCATTAAAACAATCACATATTAAAATTCACATAGGAACTGGTCAGCTTTATTAATGGAGACTGACCAATCATATCATTTAGTGTGTTATTTTAGGTTGACCTTAACATTTGAGTAGAATTTAAAAACAACTGTTACTTGTACTTAACTGAATACACTATAATTTCCTCACAAGCAATAACTATTATAATAGTATTATTAATAACAGTTATGACCATTTTTTTTTTACCATTTTTTAATTAAAAATTAATTTATTTTAATATTTTAAACCCCAAAAATTTTGGTGTTATTTATAAAATTTCCAAAAAAACTTTTGGGTTTTTAAATAAATTTTAAAAACAGACTAAAAAAATAAAAAAACCTATAGGTCAAACTTAAAATAGACTTTTTTCTATATTAAATTTTCTGTTTAAAATTTATAAAATATCTATCCCAAAAAAATTTTTAAAAATTTCCCCCTTTAATCTCTTCAATACTGGATGCTTTACAGATAATATTTTTGGAATTCATTGATAATATTTTTCTGTTAAGATTTCAAGACATTTCATTGAATGATTTCCTAATACAGTCATGTCTTAATATGTTGTCTAATACTGTTATAAATTGTAGTTAAAATTGATTCAGATCTATATAAAGTCTTGTATCTGTCCGCACAGGTTCTAGATATTTGACACTGTCTAAATAATGTCTTCCTTAATTTATCAATGTACATGTATGTGAGAAACAATAACAAGGAGGCCGTAAAGGCCCTATATTGCTCAGCCAAGAAGCACTGCCAGTATAGGACATATAATGCTCTGGTGTGCTCAGTACTGGGTAAAAAGTAGGTCAAATGTCAAAAGTCCATTTGAGATGTTTACCATGCTAACGGTTAACCAATTGAAATATTTCAACAGTTACACAATTACATCATCAACAACTTACAATTGTATATGAAGCACTCATTCCAGCATCAATCATGTCTTCTCCTTGCATACTAATACTTGTACTCGTTGGTAACGGAAAATTCTTCAAAAATTTCCATAGCAACAGAACTTTTTTGTCGGAAATATTTGATCTCAAATGATGGGTAAGGCTTCAGTTATGATTTTTTGTCTAAAAAACAAAATAATTTACAATGGTTAAACAGCATATTATTTAGACTTAAATATTCTTGCTTTTTATTAACATGCTTTTTCGATGGTTTATAGAAATACATTGTTTCAGTGGAATTCGAAAAAAACTGATAATCTTCCTCTGTGTGTTTGAAACAGTGAATTATCAATTTGATAATTTCACTGTTTTTGAATTTGCCCTTCACGTTGTTCAGTGAATACCGAGCCCACTTACCAAACTGCGAAACCAAACCATACCTTTAAATAACGTGACGTCGCTAAATGACCGTCACGTTGTATTAATTATTTTGGCCGCGCTTATTCCTTTATAATTAGGTAAAAAATGTCCTTTTTAACGGGTTGATTGACATGTAATAAAAAGATAAAAATTTTGTTTAGTTTAGTGTAAGCATCGAAATTTTTTTTTCAGGCCAAAAGTTCCCTTTTCTCTCTGGCGCGCCACTCGTGAAATATGCCTTTTGGTGCTCACTCGGTGAAATATATTCCGATCTTACACTGAACTTAACAAATATCCTCTATCTCATTCAATAAAAACATATTCTAATATGAACAATTTACTATAATAAATAAACTTTAACTTTTGTCTGAGATTTAAACACATCAAATTAGCAAACTGATCAGCCAAATATGCTGATCCTTTCATCTTTTTATATACATGTAATATTTAAATAAACAAACTTATCCTTTAGTATTTGTTTTATAATACTGCACGTTTGTAACGTCACTTTTCATTGGATAATCGTGACGTTTATATAGTTTTATATACACGGCTGCTGTCGATTCATGAAGAAATCTTACTTTTTTCTCTAAAAAATGATGTTTGCTGTATTATAAATTCGTTATAAAGATTGTTGACAGGTTATACGGCCATATATTAACGGCTGTTTGCAACATAACCCTCGCCTAGCGACTCGGGTTATATTAACCTGTCAACGATCTTTATAACTAATAATATACATGTAATAGGGTAAGGATAAACAAACTTACTGTGGTAACTGTTTATAATCTGGTTTTACTGTGTTATAGAAGTCAAACATCAATTTCATACTAGGAAGAATGTGGTATTCAGATGTAGGCTGTATCTGGGCCGTATGCCAGTCATCACCTACAATATATACATGTATTATACATAAATCAGTTCATGACAATTTGGCATTCTAATGTATGCTGTACCATGAGTAAATGATCATACAAATCAATAAAATACAGCATTTGTTTCATACCAGGATTTATACATAAATCATACAAAGACATACACCATATATAGATTATATATATCACCTTGATTACAACCTTGATTACAAACAAATAAATGCCATAAAACTATAAAAATAAATATGTTTCATACTGAAACAAGATATATAATCAGTTCAATGAAAACAAACGCTTGTTTTGTTTAACTTTCGATGTTTAGTCTTCTTCAGAAAAAATTGATGTTTATACGAGGGTTGATCAATATATTCGTGGATACACTCCATAAATTGTTTTTTTGGGGAAGGAAAGTTAATATAATTATATTTGTCATTTATTCAATCATTTATCAATTTGATGTGTAACTTTCAGATAAATAATCCGTATATTTTATCCAAAATGACAGTTTTCAAAAACACATGTTAAACTGATCGCCGCAGCTCATTCGCAACTAAAGTTACGTCGGCATAACATCTTCTCAAAAAATGCAGCACCAACTTTTACACATCGTTCATGCCTGTGTACCCACTGACTGAAAATGCTCTAATTAAATGAAGTATCAAAAGAACGCAACACAGACAATGCCCTGGACTGTAAATCACGGATCCTGGTAAACTTGTGTCTCTTCAACTCTGCCTTCAATTTCACTCACATAACCTTCTCATTGAAACAAGTTTCGATTGGTCTGCCGCATCTCTTATTATCCTGAGGTTCTTCTCTACCCTCATGGAAGCTTTTGTGCCACTTATAAACAAACAAATAAGACATGTTTTTTGTTCAAGATACACTTTCCAAGTTTTCCTTAGTCTACTGTGGCGTCATACCAAGATTAACACAGACTTAATTACTGCCCTCTGCTCCAACAACGTCGTGCTCCTCTCTGGTGACATACCCCTGTCTCCATTTACATCTCCAACAAACAAAAGAAATTGTAGTGACGCTTGTTTTTTTTTTAAATGTTCTATAAACAATATGAAAGAGCGTTGCCGTCATTTTCATATTTTAAAGAAGCGCGCCAAAATAAGGCCAATTTTTAAGTATTTTAAAATGGTAAATATAACTTTTTTAAGCTGCGGCGTTCGTAGGGCATAGGGTTGCTATGGCGATACACATAGTCAACAAAATGAGAATTTTTTTTAAAAATCACAATATATTTGTAATAGTATTCAATTTTTCTCCTAAATAGCGAAAATTCTTTATAATATCCTGATTAATTATTAAGTTATTAATAGCGTCCATGAATATATTGATCAACCCTCGTATAATAACAAATGACAAATGACGCAATGTCTGTTTTTGTAATACTGAAATAAGTTAGTACATAATAAGACTCTAATATCATCAGAGTTTAAGAAATTCCACAATGATAAAATTAGCATAAAGGATTTATAAATAGCATACCTGAATCTGCTAGTAGCACCTTGACATCTGTAATGGTAATGTTGAACTGATCATAGATTCTGGCAGCTATCTCCGAGTCGGACAGGTTACCATGCTGAAATTACATTTACAGTTTTCACTACATTAATATTAAAATGTACATTGTACCTACATTTATACATTTACATTGTTATTTTCACTACATGTGAATTCAACTTTTCAATTACATACATTTGTAACAGTTATGGCTCACGTACATTTATATTTCCGGGATGTATAAAACTAATTGACAAATAATGTCACATAACAAACTAACAGGCAAACCTGCTGATCCTGCCCATGCGACCAGTGCAGACCAAAATCAGCACATAAAATATTAAGTGGTGTATAATTCGTTTTTTTTGTTGTTTTGTTTGTATTTGGTTGTTTGGTGTTATTTCGATATATATTTGCATGATATCTATTGCAATACTAATCTTAAACCATTTTAAATATTGTATCTAAAATCCTTGAAAAGGTGGTTTATGACCAGGTTGAAGCTTATTTTAAGGATAAAGATCTGCTGTATAAATTTCAATCAGGTTTCAGGAGTGGCTTCTCTACTGATACTTGTCTGATTCACCTTACAGACTTTATCAGGTATGAAAATGATAAAGGTAATGTTGTTGGTATGGTGCTGCTGGATTTGCAGAAAGCGTTTGACACAGTCGACCATTCCATTCTTTTAATGAAACTGCAAGCATCAGGTCTTAGTATTGACGTCCTAAATTGGTTCAAATCATATATTTATCAGATTGACAGCAGCTTGTAGATGTCTCTGGTACTTATTCTTCCAATTCCAAAATTACATGTGGTGTTCCTCAGGGGCTCAATCCTTGGACCCCTTCTCTTTTTAATTATGTAAATGATATGTCAGCTGTGGTCAAAAATAAATTGCTTTTGTATGCTGATGATTCTGGTATCCTTGTATCTGGTAAAAGTTTATCTGTTGTTGAAAAGGCATTGACAGATGATATGGAATTGGTCAGCCAATGGTTAGTGGACAATAAGTTGTCATTGCATTTGGGTAAAACCGAGTCAATTCTATTTGGGTCCAGGCAAAAACTTAGGTCACAATCTAACCTGCATATAACCTGTGATGGTACATCCATTGAATCAACTTCATCTATCAAGTATCTTGGGATTACTATAGACCAAAATCTGTCATTTTGCGCCATGGCCGAGTCTGTTCTTAAGAAGGCCAACTCTCGGTTAAAATTTCCTTACAGCAAGAAAGAGTTTCTTACTCAGCATACCAAGAAACTTCTGGTTATGTCTCTTATTCAGTGTCACTATGATTACGCAAGCTCTGTTTGGTATAATAGCTTGTACAGTCTTTAAAAAAATAAGTTACAAACTTGTCAAACAAAATAATGAGATTTGTACTTGACTTGGACTCTAGAGCCCACATTGACCCATCCCACTTTAAGTCCCCTTAACTGGTTACCGGTCCACAAAAGAGTTGAACAGATAATGTTGTGTCATGTTTTTAAGATAAAAAATGGCCTATCTCCGGATTACATGTCTGAACACTTTATTTCACAAGATTCCATTCATAATTATAGTACAAGACTTAGTCAAAAGGGTGGATATTGTCTACCTAAGGTCAAAGGCCAGGGTTCTAAATCATTTGCTTTCTCTGGTATTAAATTATGGAATGATTCACCTGTAAAGTTAACGGAGATCAACAGGTTACAAAGTTTTAAGGTTGCCATCAAAAGTCATCTTATGAACAGTATTTAAAATTTTTTTTTTAAACATGTTTTTACATATTTCGGCTCAGGATTTTAAATTGTCTGACATTTATCTTATTACAATTTTAGTAATGTGTTTTAAATCCTAGCTGTAAACAGGAGTATCATTAACTCAAGATTTGACTGTGATATACATTTTTATGATTTATTAGTATTTTTAAACATGATTATATTAAGGCTTGCCTCTCTATGTCATGCCGCCAATACAAAGGACCACAATGGAAATAAGAGCTTTTTTGCCCTTTTTTGTGTTATCCTTGGTTTTGGTGAGCATGTCATAGTTTTACTCGTATGTGATATAGTATTTAATAATGCTCATTATTTTATCCTATGTTATATTGTCAACTATGTATTTGCTTCCTTTGCCGAAATAAATCTATCTATCTATCTATCTATCTAACCATTAAATATCTTGTACTTTAAATACATGCTATAAATGACCAAAACTTCGGAACTGATCCGAATCTATTCCTGAATTAAACAAATTAAGTACAAGGTATAATTATGTAATCTTGATATACAAACCTCAAGAGATGAATCTTTTGGCTGAAGTTCACTTTTGATCTGTAACATTCCAAGATCTGCTATCAATACATTACCTCCCCTGAAACAAGAAACAAGTATGTGTAAATTATCTCCCTTTAAACTAACAGCAATATGTATAAATTATCTCCCTTAAAACAGAGAGCATTTTGTATAAATTATCTCCCTTTAAACTAACAGCAATATGTATAAATTATCTCCCTTAAAACAGATAGCAATATGTATAAATTATCTCCCTTTAAACTAACACCAATATGTATAAATTATCTCCCTTTAAACTAACAGCAATACGTATAAATTATCTCCCTTTAAACTAACAGCAATATGTATAAATTATCTCCCTTAAAACAGATAGCAATATGTATAAATTATCTCCCTTTAAACTATCAGCAATATGTATAAATCATCTCCCTTTAAAGTAACAGCAATATGTATAAATTATCTCCCTTTAAACAAAAAGTTACATGTATAAATTCAAACTCCTCACAGTGATTACCTTCCTTGGCAGAATTGTAATCACTGCCTTCAAGGACGTCACATGATGATGAAAATCACATGACGTAACGTCAAAATTCAAATGTAAATATCGACCGTTACAAAGAAAATCTAACGTTTTTTTTCTCTTTCTGTTTTATTTTTAACTTTTAGTGCCTACGTTCGATATAGTTTATCAAAAAATAATCGAAAGTATACAAAATAACGAAAAATAAATTCAAAAGCTAAAAAGTATAAAATATCAAAAATATCGTCTCGGGTAGAAAATAATCTCATAATTTTTAAAAATTATTTCTAAATATTTCATATTATTTATTTATTTATTCATAACATTGTTAAATAAATGAGAGAAAACTTATCTGATAGATAAAAGCAGTAGATAAAACAATTTTTGAAAAAATATAGTATATCAGAAATTCTGATATATCGGGACCTTGGTGGCAGAGATCTACGCCGAAGAATTAAGGGGAGATCACTGTGTGGAGATTGGTATAAACTATCTCAGCCATATGTAAATATTATCTCCCTTAAAACTAACATTATTATGTATTAGTTATCTCCCTTAAAACAAACAGAAACATGTAAAACTTATCTTCCCTGAGTATTGTCCATAAAAACATTCAAATGGTTTTCATCATAAATGCATTAATAAATTTAAGAGAGAAAAACAAAGCAAATTATGTATCAAACATACTTCAATTTATTCATATATTATTTTACTTTAATAAGGAAGAATTCAAGATGTTTTTATATTTAGGAAATATATACCTATGTAGAGTACCAAACTCTGGTATGACAACATACGGTGACTTCATATTTACAGCCAGATGTACTGTCTAAAATATAAAATATATTTATGTTTATATAATTGTGTCCTTTCCTGATGATTATTAACTTTAAATTTTATCTAGATTATTAACTGTGCTTTATGACATTAGCTGCTCTTTGTTAAGTATTTGTATTTTAATATTAATATTTATTTAATATTGTAAGCAGGTTGGTATTTAACACTATTTTACTACCAAAATTATCTCACAGAAACATTTAAGCTTTGAATATGATAACAAGTAAGTAAGCCTAGTAAGGAAAGTGTTAACTTGGAAACATTGGATTGGCGTGCACGCAACATAAACTTTTCTATGAAGAGTTGGGTGACATATTGATTGTCCTCAATTGCTTTTTTGCTTTAAATTATGTGAAGTTAAGCAAATACTTTTTAACAGTACTAGCACAGAATCATGGAAAACAGGTCATTGACTGCCATTGACGAATATACTTTTAGACTTGGACTGAACTGAACATTGTATTGAACTTGAGTAGTTCCTCATTCAATGCTATATGAAAATATTGACACAGAAAAGAGACTATACCTTGTGTTTATCTATAGCATATATCAGTCCAGCCTGACTAATTCTAACAACTTCTTGCATGGTTTCCATGGCAGCTGTTCTAACATCTATAGTACCTGTAGGTAACTGGAAAAATGCCCTCACTTCACATATTGAATGCTGAAATATAGTTTATGGTACAAACATTACTGTACACTCACAAAACCTTTACTGTAATAGCCCAAACAAATTTCTGATTTTTGTTTTGTCTCCCATTATAATGTAGTCATTTAGTCAGTTTTCATGTTTTCTACTCAATAGCCTATCCTTTAATGTCCAAGTCTATTTCAGTTGTTTTTCATTCACATGTTTTTATATGTATAAAAATTGGTTAAGGACATATTTAAAGTAAATCAAACAACCTGAAAAAAGACCTTCTTTATAGGCCTTATAAATACTTGCCAAAGAAAACAAAGTTGCTATCAATTCTACAAATACTAAAACTTGGATTAATTCATAAACAAGTTAACTTATTTAAATGATATTCATGATAACAACAAAATATTCTAGTTTAATTATGGCTGTGAAATTAAAACAGAAATATTTAACTTTTAAATTTTGAAAAATGCCAGACAGCTGTCATTAAGTCTGCTATGATATAACATTTCAGCAGACTATTTATTCAATGGTGTATATTTATTATTCAGTGAGACTGAATACTAATTATTCCATTAGCTGCTGAATTACAATAATAGTCAGAATAGATATACATGAAAATATTCTACTTTAATGTTACCATTAGCAACAAGGAAATTGTCAAAAGTTGTAGAAATAAAGTATATGTATGTGCTTAGCTTCTTTCTGATATACAAGCCAAGAAAATGTTCAATATGAAATGAAAATGTATGTTTACTGAAAAAACTACCTTAATTGATTTAATGTTCAGGTTTAGTGCATTTCTTTACCTCATTATAAGCAACATCTACATGTTGTATATTTGTCTTACCTCATCACAAACCACCTTAACAGGTTGTATATTTGTCTTACCTCATCATAAACTACCTCTACAGGCTGTATTTTTGTCTTACCTCATCATAAACTACCTCTACAGGCTGTATTTTTGTCTTACCTTATAAACTACCTCTACAGCCTGTATATTTGTCTTACCTCATCATAAACTACCTCTACAGCCTGTATATTTGTCTTACCTCATCATAAACTACCTCTACAGGTTGTATATTTGTCTTACCTTATAAACTACCTCTACAGGTTGTATATTTATCTAACCTCATCATAAACTACCTCTACAGGTTGTATATTTGTCTTACCTCATCATAAACCATCTCTACAGGTTGTATATTTGTCTTACCTCATCATAAACTACCTCTACAGGTTATATATTTGTCTTACCTCATCATAAACTACCTCTACAGGTTATATATTTGTCTTACCTCATCATAAACTACCTCTACAGGTTGTATATTTGTCTTACCTCATCATAAACTACCTCTACAGGTTACCTAATTATAAACCACCTCTACAGGTTGTATTTTTTTGTCTTACCTCATCATAAACTACCTCTACAGGTTGTATATTTGTCTCACCTCATCATAAACCACCTCTACAGGTTGTATATTTGTCTTACCTTATCAGTAACTACCTCTACATGCTGCATATTTGCCTTAACTAATCATAAACCACCTCTACAGGTTATAGATTTGTCTTACCTCACCAGTAACAACCTCTACAGGTTGTATATTTGTCTTACCTCATCATAAACTACCTCTACAGGTTGTATATTTGTCTTCAAGGAGAAGTCAGCATCAACATACAGGGGATTGGATTCAAAATCTAGAGTGAACACTTGGTTAACTGAGGGAGCTGAAATAAGAACAATCTGTCAATGACACTGATAAATAAAATATGTCAAAGAATGTTCCTGAAACATTTTCAAAGCTTTTGTAGTGATTATCTAAGAACAATTCCAAGCAAAGATAATTTTTCCTGTTTAAGTAAAGATTTTTATTTATTCATTATCTTGAAAATTCATCATGACTTCTTTATGACTGGTGATTGTCATATCTTTAGTTAAGATCTATAATCACTTTTCAGCCTGCTTTCAAGACTTACAATCCTCAATATAAGCCCATCTTTTATCATTAAACCATTAAAACGTAGACAAACTAACACCTGATCTTACCATATACATTGACATCTGATGTAACTATGGGAACCAGCTCATGTTCTATAGAAGCACCTTCTACAGTAAAACTTTCTGTATGACAAGATATCCTGAAAAAAAAAATACATCAAAAACTTTACATTAAGTCTAATGTTACAGAAAATAGAACAAGAGCTGTCCGTAAGACAGCGCGCTCGACTTTTTTATTGCTTGCCAATAAAAAAAGTTTTTGCAGTAAAAGGCAATACAAGAATCTCTGTATTTTTAAAGTGAACAATGGCCATGAGCATTAAGATATTTAGTGAAGAATTATTTTACTGAATTGTGTGATACCCTTGAACACTGCAGCAAAGTTTGAAATGTTTAAGTCAAAAGAGGGCTGGTAAGAAAGAAAAAAAAACTGAGTTGAGCCTTAAATAAATTTAATAGTATTAAACCCACTTTGAGAGAATAAGGTATTTTTACGTCACTCAGAACACCTTGGTAAATGACATATTCCAACTTTCAAATTAATATCTCAAACAGTTCAGTCAAAAAAGTGGACTGGTACTAAAAACTTAACCAAGATTCTAAGTCGATAAAAGGCCTTAATTTTTAAAACAAATCCTTGACAGAGTTACCTTCTCTTGCGTACAGATGGGGGTAATGATGTGAAAATAGCATTAAAAGTTTCAAAGCAATATCTCAAAGGGTTAAGGCAATAAGTGGATTTTACCCATATTCAATGTATTTTCTAAGTCAAAAAGGGGCATAATTCTGTCAAAAACCTTGACAGAGTTATGTCCTCTTGTCTGTTGATGAAGGTCGTGATGGTAAACAAGTATGGTCAGTTTCAAAGCAATACCTCCAATGGTTTTGAAATAAAGTGAGGTGGTACAAAAAACTTAACCAAGCTCAATACACTTTCTAAGTCAAAAAAGGGCCATAATTCTGTCAAAAACCTTGACAGAGTTATGTACTCTTGTCTGTAGATGGAGGTTATGATGGTGAACAAGTATGGTAAGTTTCAAAGCCATACTTGTAATACTTCTGAAATAAAGTGGGGTGGTACGAAAAACTTAACCAAGGTGTGACGCCAACGCCGACGCCGACGCCGACGCCGGGGCGAGTAGGATAGCTCCCCTTTTCATAGAAAAGTCGAGCTAAAAAAACTCCACACATACATGAGGCAGGCCAGATTGTAAGAAAATTACAATATCACATATTGTTAACTTTATAGATTCAAAAATGTGACTGTAAGGTCATTTTTTAGGTTGTTGGCACTATTAAATAAAATATCCTAGTATAAGGAATGAAATAATTAATCATTTGAAACCTCTGCAACAAAAAACATCTTTAACTATAATAAAACATTCAGATGATATTAACTTTTTCTAGCATTTGTATCAGGTTTATTATTAATTCATATCATATTAATTTTTATTACATACCCGTGCCGGTTTTGCATCTCTGTAAAAATGATATTGCACAGCCTTGCATAAGGCAAATGACATCACATCAATATATATGCAAGGCCTGCAATATCATTTTTATGCCTTGCATATATATTGACGTGACGTCATTTGCGTTATGCAAACATAGTGTAAAGACATGCTAAATGTTAGCGTTACACTATATGCGCGTCAATGAAAAAATTATTTTTTGCACTTTAAACAGTCTATATTTTGGGTATGTGATAAATAAAATATTATATTCATGTAGGTTCATTACTGAATTTATTGAATTTGTTGAATAAAATATATAATATAAAGAACGATTACTCTATACCTGTAAGCGTCTCCAGCAGGACGAGTTTCCCACGATCCAAGCATCTGTGAGACAGAGATCTGTAATATCTTCTTACTGTAGTTTACCAGAGATAAACAACAACTCTTCAAGTTAACCTGTACCTTATACTCCACATACTGAAACATTTTATATACTCTAAAGTTAGTCAAAGGAAAAAAACCTATACTCTGTAGCTATCCAGCTAGCTTACGGAACGTCGATGGTTCTACTCAGGTGCCCGTTCGTGCCTGAAATAATGCACGGAAGGGCACCTGAGGTCTTCCTCCACCAGTAAAGCTGGAACGTCCCCCAATGACCTATACTGTGTCGGTGTGACGTAAAACCCAAACAAACAAAACAATAATGTGTAGTTGGTATTATTAAATCATCAACAGCACTGTACTGTATTCTGACAATAAATATTTAGAATAATTTAGAAATCTAAGATAACTAGAACTATCACTAAATGTGATTAATACCCCCACAAGATTGCTTGGGAAATGAGGATGTTACTAGTAACAGAATACCTTGTAAAAGAATTGAAATACATGTATAGAGTTATGGTTGTGGGCAATTAAAGATAGTTGTGGTTCTTGTATGTTGCATTTCCTTTCAATGTGGTTGGCCATTGATGAAGTTTTATTGATATACTCTGTAATAAGCCCAGAAAGACAAAGAAAAGGAACAAAGGGCAATAACTCTATAAATACTGAAGATGGAGTTATAGTTCTTGTGCACTGCACTTCCTCTTGTTGTGCTTGACCATTGTATGAAGTTGTTTTGAATTCCAACCAGTACATTTTAAGCTATGCTCCAGACAAGGAAAAGTATCAAAGGGCAGTAATTCTGTATTTTGTCAAAATGGAGTTATGGCTCTTGTGCACTGCATTTCCTTTAAATGTCCTTGACAACTGTATGTAGTTGTATTGAATTCCAAACAGTAGTTTTCAAGAGATATGCCTTGGACAAGGAAAAGTAACAAAGGGCAATAACTCTGTAATTAGTCAAGATGAAGTTATGGTTCTTGTGCACTGCACTTCCTCTCAATGTGCTTGACCATTGTATGAAGTTATATTTAATTCCAACCATTAGTCTTCAAGTTATGGTCCGGACAAAAGAATGCAATGGAAAAGTAACAAAGGGCAATAACTCTGTAATAAGTCAAGATTCAGTTATGGTTCTTGTGCACTGCACTTCCCTTCATTGTGCTTGACCATTGTATGAAGTTGTTTTGAATTCCAACCAGTAGTTTTCAAGTCATACTCTGGACAAGGAAAAGTAACAAAGGGCAATAACTCTGTAATAAGTCAAGATAGAGTTATGGTTCTTGTGCACTGCACTTCCTCTCAATGTGCTTGACCATTGTGTGAAGTTATAATGAATTCCAACCATTAGTCTTCAAGTTATGGTCCGGACAAAAGAAAGCAATGGAAAAGTAACAAAGGGCAATAACTCTGTAATTACTTTAGATAGAGTTATGGTTCTTGTGCACTGCACTTCCCCTTATTGTCTTTGACAATTGTATGAAGTTGTTTTGAATTCCAAACAGTAGTTTTCAAGTTATGCCTTGGACAAGGAAAAGTAACAAAGGGCAATAACTCTGTAATTAGTCAAGATAGAGTTATGGTTCTTGTGCACTGCACTTCCTCTCAATGTGCTTGACCATTGTATGAAGTTATATTGAATTCCAACCATTAGTCTTCAAGTTATGGTCAGGACAAAAGAAAGCAATGGAAAAGTAACAAAGGGCGATAACTCTGTAATTACTTTAGATAGAGTTATAGTTCTTGTGCACTGCATTTCCCCTTATTGTGTTTGACAATTGTATGAAGTTGTTTTGAATTCCAACCAGTAGTTTTCAAGTTATGCCCCAGACAAGGAAAAGTAACAAAGGGCAATAACTCTGTAATTAGTCAAGATAGAGTTATAGTTCTTGTGCACTGCACTTCCTCTCAATGTGCTTGACCATTGTATGTAGTTATATTGAATTCCAACCATTAGTCTTCAAGTTATGCTCTGGACAAGAAAAATGCAACAGACGTCTGGACCGACCGACCGACCATCCAACCGACCAACCGACCACCGGGTGACTCCTATATACCCCCCCAAACTTCGTTTTTGGGGGTATAAAAACAGGCCACATAAATTACACATTGTATGTATAGTAACATCCAGTATGGGGGAATGTGAGATACATTTTACAGAAAGTATAAAGCCATCAGTTCTATTTTTTAAATAGGCTAACCTGATGCAAGCTATACCTTACATTCCATTACTTATGAGGGTTTTTATTTCATCTTAAAATTTCCCTTTATACTTAGCCCTCCAAGTATGGTTTATAAACAAATACAGCTTGTAGACTTAATAAGAAAACAATTCTTACCTCCCTTGGAAGCATGGCAATATTTGCATTCTCATCATATCCAATACCCTGATACAATTTCTCTTTCTCTTCTGGTGTCAATTTTGAAAGCCAGTCTGAAAAGATAACACTTAATTACTTTCTGCTTGTATAAGTTAAGAGTAAAATAAAAAGTGATACTAAATATTGATAGCTTGTTATCTTCAGGTAAGTTAACTTACAAAAAGTTATGTCAAAACTCTCGTCATATGCTTATTTATTCAAAACAAATTTCATTTATTTAAAGAAAAAAACTTTTTCTTTCATACTCTAACAATTTTCTTTCAGAACAATACAATAAAACCAGTTCAAATAGACATGTCCAGTTAAATGAGAAAAGTGTTTTTGCTTTAAAAGCAATCTATTAAAAAAGGGAATTTTTATAAATTTTAAAATTAAAATTTTAAAAGGGGAACATAAATGTTTCCCTTTAAAAGAAATTTTCCTATAAAAAAAGTTTATATGCTTAGAAGTCACGGGTTATTGAAAATTTTTTTTGGAGGAAATTTTATAAATATAAATTTATAAAGAAAATTTAAAACCTGTAGATTCCCTTAAAAAGTCAATTTACCTCCCCCGTAAACTATCGCCCAAAACCAGGTTTTGACCCCCAAAACTTTTATTTTCCCCTTCTCTTTTTTCACTATCCTCTCGGGGGCATCCCGTCATATAAATAAAAAAATTTTAATAATTTATAAAGTAAACCAAAAAAATTTTAAATATTATTTTGAAGGAAAACTGTAAAAAATTTTTTGAAAAAATTCATTTTTTTGGCCTGTTTTTGGGGAAAACGAAATGGTTTTATTTAAAAAAAAACAAGTTTTTTAGTTTAAATTTAAACTCCAACCTTTTTTCCTTTTTAAGCATTCAAAAATTGGTTTTTTTACTTTTTTTTGTTTTTTTTTTGGAAAAGGGGTTTTAAGTTGAACAATATTTAAATATCATGGGGGAAATTTCTAACTTATGGGGGAAAGCCTTAGTGGTTCTGTTTTTTCGGGGCAATTAAGGGATGGAATCAAAAATGTTAATAATTTAGCTAAATAACTTTGTACTTTCAAATTCCAAAGGGTGTTTCCCGCAATAACATGAAGGAAAGGGGAAGTCATCCCTAAATTTATTTCTTTTAAAGGTTTATACCAATAAATTTAAAAAATAAATAATGAGGGGGTTAATCATTTAAATTATATGGGTAAAAAATTCGAAACATAAGGGTTTTTTCCCAAAAAGGGGTATAGGAAAAAAATTTATATATAAAAATTAAAAAGGGTGATATCAGTCAATACATAAAAGGTGTTAAAGAAAATAATAAGGGATATCAGTCAATAATAAAAGTGATACCCAGTCAATACATAAGGGAAAAATATCAGTCAATACAGGGAAAGGGGGATTTCAGTCAAAAATTTTTAAAAGGTGATTTTTCAGTAAAATTATATGAAGTGAAATCAGTAAAAGGTATATGAAGGTGAAAATCAGCAAAAATGGGGGTTTTAAAAATAAATAAAAGGGGGAATGGTTATTTAAGGAAAAAGGAAGGGCAACCATATGCTAAAAATTAAAAAAGTTTCAAAATAAAATTTCCCTTCGGCTTTACCCTTTTCTCTTCCCCCTTTACGATGTTTCCCAAAACATAAAGACTTTTTTTCCAGTTCCCAAACTTTGCTTTAGTGGTTTTTCAGGGTTTGGGTGACTCCGGGCTTTTCTTGTAAAAATCTTTTTTTTTTTTCCTATATTTGTTCGGGAAATTTTCAAGTTTTCAAAAAATTTAAAAATAGTTTGACTTAAAATATTAAATTGGAAATAAAAACCCAAAGGGCCTAAGGGGGTTTTTAAATTTTGGTTGAATCTTGTTTGGGGAATAAGTTGAATTGGCCCAAAATTATAAATTTTCATTTTTTTCCCCCTTTAAAACAAACAAGAAATTTAAAGATAAACAAAAAAATCTTAAAACTTTTTAAATATTTTAGGGACAATATGGGGCAGTCAGTGGTGAATGACATTTAATCTAAATGTCTAAGCCCTGCCAAAAATATCTGTAAAAGGGATTAAACATATGAAAAAAGAATGCCTAAACATACATATTACTATGCATGACAGAGAACAATTTTCTATCAATGTAGACATTTGATTTTTAATAAAGGAGATAATTGCTGGCTTCACACAAAATTCAATATTTTTTTTAATTACTCACTAAAAACAGATTTTTTAAAAAACCCCCAATTTTCCTTTTAAAACCAAAACTTTAAAAGGGTTATAAAATTTGTTGTACAAGTTATTTTGAAACAAAAAAGAAAAAATTTAAAATGTTTTTTTTATAGTTTAATTAACATGAAAAATTAAAATTTTCATTCTTTCTACATTCAAAAAATTTAAACCCCTTTTAAAGGCTTGCTGGGGGAAAAACGGGAATATACATTTAAAAATTGAAAACCAGTGCAGAAAAAGTCAGGGGGATATAAAGTACATAAGTCATGGCGGAAACTGCCCTGTTTTTCCAGTCAGTACTTTTTTGTTTTTTCCCCTTTTAAAATGATGGATGGTTAAGTCCAGACTTGAACATGGAAAGTCCTTTAAGATTTTAATGGGGTGAAGTTTAAAGGTTTTTTTACTTTTGAAAATTTTAAAATGTTTTAAAAAAAATTTTCCCAAGGGATGGATTGCCCAAATATTTTTAAATACTAAAAACCCAATAAAGGGGTGTTGTGTGGTCTTATTGTTAAAACCGGGCCTGACTTAAATCTTGGAAACTTATTTTAAAATCCCCAAAAAAAATAAACCATAATTACATTTTATTTTTTCATAAAGGTTTGTTTAAAAAAAGGTCTTTTTAGCTGTTTGTATATTTTATTTTTAAAATCCCAGTTTCTATTTTTGCATCAAGCTCTTTTTATAGGGAAACATAAACAACTTGCCCCTCAACTAAATGCAATACTATAGGGGTTTAAAATTTTTGGCTGACTAAAAAACGTGTTCTCACATGAAAAAAAATTGTTAGTATAAATGAAGTTGGGGGAAAAATTTAAAAACTTATTTTTAAAAACCCAATATTCTATTCAATTTCTTTAAAAACTTCGGAAAAAATTTAAATTTTTCTGGTCACATCTTTTTTTAAAAGGGAACTCCCCTTTTGTTTTTCAATATAGTTATAATGAGTAAAGTCTAGGCTTCCCTAGTATGGGTATACTATATGAGTCTAACCTGTTATATCTATAGTCTTACCTGCCATGAGTATAGTCTATCATATAGTGAAAGTTACCATGAGTATAGTCCTTAAAATTTTTTCTATTCATAATAGGTGGAAAGGGTTATCTTTTGGAAAGTATAAAGTTTTACTTAAAAAACCTTGTTTTTACTATAAAAATTTCCAAAAAGATTACTGGGGTTTCTTTTATTTTTTCCCCCGGGAAAAGGGTTCCTGATTTCTTCTATAGGGGAAAAAAAGTAAAACACATATATAAAACCATGACCTTGGAAAAGATCTTGAATGGCACATTTAGGAATGAAAAATTTCCCTTTAAAATTTCTTTGGTTTACAAAAACATCATTGGAAAATTTTGATTTTCCTTAAAAGTTTAAAGGTATTTTTTAAAAAGGACGTAAAAAAATTTTTTTAACCCCCAATTTTTACCTTTACAAGGCATTAAAATTAATGCGGCATTTTAAACCCTTTGGGTTAAATTTTTGAAAAAAACCGGGTTTGGGGCCCTTTGTATTTTTTAAAAAAAAAATTATCCAATTTCCTTTAAAAAAGTAAACTTTTAAAACAAAAAAAAATCAATTTTTTTATTTTTAAAAAGAAAAAAGAGCTTTCAGTTTAATTTTGGTTGATGGAAAAAAAAAAACCCCTGGATAAAAATAAAATTTTTTAAGTTCAAAACGGGGAAAAAAATTCTTTTATAATCCTTTTTAAAAATTTTAGGGGCCCTTGGACAGTGACCTCTTATTATGCCTAAAATTTTAAAGGGGGTTTCAAAAATTTTCCCTTTCAGTATTTTTTGGAAATCCCAAACTTGCCCCCAAAAACTTAACCCAAGAGGGGAGGGAAAATCCAATCCCAGGGTGAGTACAATAACTCTCCTTTTTTACTTCAAAAATAAAAAGCAAAAAAATTTAAAAATATTTTTTATATGGACGCTAAATTTTTACATAAATCATACAAAAATTTTCAAATACCAAAAACTTTCAAACAAAAGAAAATTTTTGGGACATCCCTATGAAATTTATAAAAAAAATTTAAATGTGATTTTTTTTTTTTCATGTGGAAGTATTTTCAAAAAATCTGAGTGCAGCCTTGAATAATACCCTTTTTTAATTTAATTTTTGAAATAAAACTTTTAAAAAAAATTAACTTAAAACCGGTTTCAAAAAAAAACTTAAACCCAAAAATTCCAAAAAACAAGGAAAATGGTTCTTTCTTATAAACCCCCTTTTTAACAAAAATATTAAATTTAAACAGGTTTTAAAAATGTAAACAAAATATAAATTTTAAAAACAGGTTTTTTAAATGTAAAAAAAAATATCAACACAAGACAATGGCTCATTTACTGAAAACAATATATCAACATTAGACACAGTTTCTATAACTGTAAACATAATATAAACACAAGACACTAGTTCAATAACTGTAAACACAACACCCCAAAAAGGGGATGGGTTTTTAACCTTGACAAAAATAATTAACCAAAAACAAGGGTTTTAAAACTGTAAATTTTTTAAACTTTTAAAAAATTTGGGAGGGGGCTGTATTGCTTTCAAATATTGAATCATTACAATTAATTTCTGTAAATAGTAAAACACTGATGCTAGTTAAAATCATTATATTTTTGCTCTTTTGACAATAATTTTTTTTTTAAAAAAAATTTAAAACTCTATCAATCAAAAAAACTTTTAAAAAACTTTTCTGAAATCAAAAAACTTCTTCAAAGTGCTTTTGTTTAAAAAATTGACTGGGTTTAGAAAATTCTGAAAAAAAAAATTTTTTTAAAAAATTATGTAAACAAAGGGAAAAAAATTATCAATATATTTGTCTCCCTTTAACTTTTAACCTTCCTGGGGGCTAAAAAAATAAAACATGGGAAACAGTGGGAGACCAAA